ACACAGTATGTTAAAAGAGACAAATATATGGACGACAAGCAGAGATGATGGCGTAAGAAACCAGTAACGAAATCTCAACACAGAAAAGAAAAGAAAAAAAGGAAGCAAAATGTTATGTATTGATTGAAACGCGGTGAGTGAGAATGGAGAATAGAATGTCTCCGACAAGGATATGAAGCTTACCCACGACGGTTTCCATGTAAGGAATCGCCATGGCTGCCAAAACGAGTGACCTGAGCCGCGAAGAGAAAGAGATGGAAATCGAAGAAAGAAAGAGAGGTTTATGGCTCTCGGGTCGGTGTGGTGAGAGAGAGAGACTTATGTGACTATGTCAATGTAAAACGACTAAATACGGGTCCGGGTTATACCCGGAATAGCTCAAACAGTTTGGGCTGGACTTTAGGCCCATATTACATAGCCTCTCTATTTTATTTTGTCCACTCCACTAAACAATATTTAATGATCTTATTTATGTGTAGCGTTTGAAAATCTGGGATAAAATATAAAGTAGGTCAAAAAATCTGTCTTCAAATGAACTATGTGACCCTCTCTCTAAAATTGGTCAGTTGTTTCTTCGTTAAAGTATATATACTAGTTTAAAACTGTGTTAAAAATGTCTGACGACTTGATGATTAATCGACCGCCTAAGCTGTGTGCGGAGCAGAGCCGCAATTTTGTCCAAGTCAGCTCAGTTAAGCAGTTTCCAATTTATCAGCAATTTAATCGGCTAAAATTCTGAAAGTTTTTCTCGTAAGGGCATCATTAACGCTGAGACGCGACCCGTTTTTAACAGAGATCAATTAATAAAGAATTTGGACCGCGTCTTTAATTTGGCCCATCCGTCTCTTATTTGGCGACATCTGAAGACGTCTCCAGCGCCACGTGGCTATCGGTGGTTGGCTAATGAAATTGGGAAAAAAACACTAGGGTTTCATTTTCATTTCCCCGTGTTTTCCTTTCTCATTTTTTTTCTCCTCTCCACCGACGAAAACGATTTCATCCTTCGAATCTCCGATCGATTTGCAGAGGGATCGCGATTTGACTCCGCAGAATCTCCGTCATCGACGACCTCGTTAGTCGCTTTCAGATAAGTGTTCTTCCCCCTATTATCTTCCATGTTTCGTTGTTGTTTTCGTGTAATCTCAGATGGATTTTTATCCATGAATACGATTGTGTAGGATTGTTTGTATTAGGGTTAGATGTTCATTTCCTTTACTGTTAGTGGATCAATTTCATTTTCGATGGTTAATCGGTGATTTTTGAGTAAACCCTAATTTCGAAAATTGGGACTTTTTGTTTGTGGTGAAATTTAGAAGTTTTTTTCTTAAATTCGGGTTAGTTAGAGTAGATTTTGTTGTATGTGAACGCGAATTGATTTGTTTGTTGATTTTTAGTGAAACCCTAGTTTTGAAAATTTGGGGCTTTTCGTGAATGTTGAAATGTTATTGTATTTGATGAAGAAATTGAACGTTTGTGCTGTTATCTGTTGAGTCCTTCATTGTTTTTGGTTGGGATAGTTCAGTTTTTCATTCAATGTCTATGTATTTATATGTGCATTTGATCGGTGCATTAGATCGATATATATTAGTGTTTGATTATGACAGAAAAGATACATAAGTGCTTTTGATCAATGTCTATGTATTGATATGTGCATTTGATCGGTGCTCTTGATCTTGTATTGTGGTCGTATCTGTTTTTGATTTTTGTTTGTTAACTAACAAGCTTGTTTGCTTGATCTGTACAGAGTAATGCCGATAAGCTACACAAACAGCCCTTCTTCGAAGGCAAGCTATGGCCGTCACTCAGATAAGTTCTTGTTATCCTCAACTTTTCATCTTCTCTATTTTGTTTTTTAAATTATCTATACTTAAACGTTTCTGGTTTTAGTTTCAGGTCAGGGAAGGGGGCTACTGTTTAGGGTATAACTTGAAGCTGGTGTAACATTAACCAATGATGTGTCCTTCAGTTCAACGAGTAAGTTATGTTTACCTTTAACGTTGTGGTTGTTGTCATTACTATGTAGATAGCTAGGGGTTTAGCTGTTAGGTTGTAATAAATGATGATTAGATTAGGTAATAAATTGCTACAATGGTTGGTCATTGCGATTTAGGTTTGTGTCATGTCAACCTTAAACTTGAATGTTCTCTCGAACATGAAGAAGAAGCTTGTCCAAGAACTGTTCTCTGATTAGTTTTAGGGTCTTGTCATTTTCGAACTATGTCTCATGTTGTTTGTGGTTTGTCTATCGTTTAGATGATGTTTATCTATGTATCGTTTAGGATCTTGTTTTGATGTTTAAGGATTTTCTTGGGTTATCTATGTAGTGGACGCTTAATCTATGTTATGCTTCTTCTTTGCTGTTAATATTTGTTGTTCCCTGATTTACAGCAGCACCATATACACATATATGTATTTACAATGTTTTTTGCTGTTTCAGGGAATATCAGTGGTTGCGGAGGACAATATAAGCTGACTCAGACATGCGTATGACTCCGAAGATACAAACAAGTTCTGCCAATCACAAGTTGAGAGGGAATCATTTCGGTGGAAAATTATTATGTCTTGTAGTATGCTTTTTTTTATGTCTTGTAGTATGCTTTTTTTTATGTCTTGTAGTATGCTTTTTTTTATGTCTTGTAGTATGCTTTTTTTATGTCTTGTAGTATGCTTTTTTATGTCTTCTAGTATGCTTTTTTTATGTGTAGTACTCTGCTTTTTCTTACACCACTCATTCTTTCTTTATGTGCACCACTCATGTAAACGAGACAATGTCTATATATTGTGAGATGAGTATTTCAAATATTACTTCAAGTTTGTATTCGCAAGTTCATCCTTCACACTGTCTCCTTTCATCTTTATATCTTTCTTCTTCAAAGTTCATCTTTCTATATTTGTTATTAACCAATTAAATGGCCTCCTCTTCTAATATCCCAAATGATGATTCTAGTGAGCCAAATTTTGAGAACTTTTTCAAGGAAAAGTTCGCACAATACTTTCAGCAAACGTATGAGAATATGTGGACTCAATATGGAGAGGAGCAAGAGACTAGCAAACCTAAGCAAAAAAGAGCTTATGTTGAAAGAGATCGTGAAGAATGGTATAATCGATTATGGAATGATTATTTCAGTGATATCCCTACATATCCTGAAAATTATTTTAGGTGAAGGTTTCGGATGAACAAGTCTTTGTTTATCCGTATTGTTGATAAACTTTCCAATGAAGTGCGATTCTTTCGACAAAAGAAAGATGCTTTGGGAAGACCCGGACTATCTCCTCTACAAAAATGTACAGCAGCCATCCGTCTGTTGGCATATGGTGATGCAGCTGATACGGTAGATAAGTATCTCAGGCTCGGGGAAACAACTGCTCGTTCTTGTTTGGAAAATTTTGTTGAAGCAATAATCGACTTGTTCGGGGAGGAGTACCTACGGAGACCCACACAAGACGATCTTCAACGTTTACTTCATGTTGGAGAACAACGTGGATTTCCCGGCATGATAGGAAGCATCGACTGTATGCATTGGGAGTGGAAGAATTGTCCAACCGCTTGGAAAGGACAATATACTCGGGGAGCAGGAAAACCAACTATCGTTTTAGAGGCCGTTGCTTCATATGACCTTTGGATTTGGCACGCTTTTTTTGGATCTCCAGGTACTCTAAACGATATAAATGTCCTACATCGTTCACCCGTATTTGATGATATCTTACACGGTAACGCCCCGCAAGTGAATTTTTCTGTCAACGGAAGAAACTACAATATGGCATACTATCTCACCGATGGTATATATCCAAATTGGGCAGCATTCATCAAATCAATTCCACTTCCACAGGGCGAAAAAGCCACTTTATTTGCTGAGCGTCAGGAAGGTGTTCGAAAAGATGTCGAACGAGTTTTTGGTGTTTTGCAATCTCGGTTCGCCATTGTTAAAAACCCGGCTCTTTTCTGGGATAAAGCTAAAATAGGTAAGATTATTCGAGCTTGTATCATCCTTCATAATATGATAGTTGAAGACGAAAGGGATGCACGCACTCAGTATAATTTTTCAGAGTTTCAACAAGGAGAAGGAACTAGTAGTTCACAAGAAACTCATGCGTTCTCAACAAATATGGCAACAAATATTCAAAGTCTGATGGATAATCGGTTGAGAGTTCGTGACAAAAAAATACATGATCGGTTACAAAAGGATTTGTTGGAACATATATGGCAGAAATTTGGAGGTCGTTAATATAATAATTACGTTTTTATAATATGTTGTATGTTTTCTTTTTTTTCTTTTTCTATGTATTACATGTGTTTTAATGAAATAAAGTTTAATTATTAATAATACATATTTCCTTAATTTAATTAACACAAAAAACAAAAACACTATTCCTAGAGACCCAAGTCTCTCCCATTGAACAAAGTACAATTAATGGTCTCTACATACAATTTTTAAAACAACTTTTTGATATAATATTAATAAAAACCACATTTGGAGACCCATGAAGGTATCTGCATTGAGGATGCCCTAAGAATACAGGATTTTCAAAAACATTCGTTTTTTCCTTTGATTCAAGTAAGAAATCATTTGTAACTAGATATATCTATCATATTTTTGATATACGACATAAAAAGCAAGAAAAATGATGTAAATGGTGAAAAAATTATAGATGCAGCGGACTTTCTATAGAATTTGAATTAGTTACCTATTGGCTAAGGGAAGACACTAAAACAACTGAACCACGTTGAATTATTGTATTCTTTCAGTGTATAAAATATATGAAATTATGTTCATATAAAAAAAATTAATCTATAATTAATCACCGTTTAATTACTGATTAATTCATTAAGTCCTAGGCGGTCCATCGCCCGACTAGCACCTAACAATATTTTGAATATGGATTTAAGTGTAGATGATATGAGGGTAATTAAATCTTTATAGAACCTATGGGGTTAAAATCTCAACTTCAAAAGTCAAACTTTGGGTATTTTAACGGAAGTGTTCTATTTTATATGGACTAAACGAAAAAATCCTTATCCTCAAAGTCTCAAACCATCAAGAATTCGGTAGAAATTACAAATGTGCCATTGATTGTCACAAAAACGACGCTGAGCTCACTCTTTTCCTGCAGCTTTATCCACTTCGAGCCACGACCATGGCGTCTCCTTCGCTTCTGCAGTCTTCTGCTTCTTCGTTTCATGGCCGTTTTTCATCGTTAGCGGTTCCATCCTCCGCTCGGGTGCTCCCTCCGCCGCTCAGAAACGTGGTGAAAGTCTCGGCGTCCGGAACTGTGCTGGTCGAGAAATCTGAGGCGGAGAAAACCCAGCGGCTCAAAACCGCTTACCTAGAGAGAATTATTCCTGCGCTCAAAGAAGAGTTCAAGTACATTAATATTCACCAGGTAACCTCCTAATCTCTGAGCCCAAACCCTAGGCTTTGGTTCTGTTGCGATTTATGATGTTGTTGGAGTCTAATTCTTGGTGGATTTGTATTTTTTTGGGAAATATGGGGCTATGTTCTTTGAATGTCATCTGATGGGTTCGAATTCGTTTCACATAATTTGCTTTTCCTGAAAAACTTGTGGGTTTTTTTTTTTCGGGATTGATTTCATCTGGAAAATGTAGTGAAGCTGCATAAGTTTAAGCTTGTTGTTTTTGATAATGGTGCTTACGAGGAGAATCCTATTGAAAATTTTTGCGTCTTGTTCCATATTTCAACTTGCTGTTTGGAAGTGCAATTATCAAGTGTGAATGCAAATTTTCTCTGCCAGGTTCCAAAGGTTCAGAAGATTGTAGTGAATTGTGGTATTGGAGATGCAGCGCAGAACGACAAAGGCTTGGAGGCTGCAATGAAAGATATAGCGCTTATTACAGGGCAGAAACCTATCAAGACACGAGCTAAAGCTTCCATTGCCACTTTCAAGATTAGGGAAGACCAACCGCTTGGGATTGCTGTCACTCTCAGAGGAGATGTGAGCTCTCTTTCCCGTTTGCTCATTCTTGAATCTTGAATAATCAAACTCTCCTATTGAGTATTTGACACTTGTGTTGTGACAGGTAATGTACTCGTTCCTGGATCGTCTTATCAATTTAGCCCTTCCAAGAACTCGAGATTTCCAAGGTGTGAGTCCCAGTAGCTTTGATGGGAACGGAAACTACAGCATTGGTGTCAAAGACCAAAGTGTATTCCCTGAAATCAGGTTAGTTCTACTGTATCTAATCTACCCTCGAAAGCAACACTACTAACAGATGCATGAGACTTATTCTTATCCACTGGTCCATCGAGGTCAAGCGTTGGTTTACTTTAGTCCGGTATTTGGTTACAACCGAACATCTAAACTCTATGTTGTTTGGTCAATTACATATAGGTTTGATGCGATTGGAAAAACAAGAGGAATGGATGTATGCATTAGCACTACAGCTAAAACCGATCAAGAAGGACAGAAACTATTGGCTCTGATGGGAATGCCTTTCAGGGAAGGAGGCGGTGGTTCCAACACAGGTGCGATAGTGCGGAAGAAGAAACTGAAGGCTCATCATTTTGATGCTAAAGGAAAAGGAAAGGGAAAGAAATGAAAATAGCTGGCTATTGAAGAAGACATCATCTTCATCAATTGGTTTGTTATTGTATGTATTGTCTCCATGTTTCAGAAAAACTCCTTTTGTAATTTGCTTTTGTTGCATGTTTTATTCCTTTTGATGATAAAAATATTATTTAATTTGTTATAATATCAGGAAATTTGATTACGTTCTGTCTAAAATAGCGCAGGTAAAACATATTAAGGGGTTTGTATCTATTTCTTAAAAGTTTGTGGAAAAAGATGAAATTATACAAATTTAGTGGATTTTAGAGCGTGAATTCACGTGGAAAGCAGGCGCGTGGGTTGTCAAGTTCACCTTCCTCTTTGAGAGAAATCTCTCCCTCTCTCTCTCTTCTTGTAGACTTCGTTTTCTCTCTTCGATCTTCTCGTTTTTCGTCAATCGATCAAATTCAGGAGGAGCGAAATTTCTTTCCGCAGATCGAAACCTTAACAGTTTTCTCCGTTTCTCCTTCTCTCTAGAATCCGCGTTTTTCTTTTTTATCAATCATTTCCGATGGATTCTGGAATCCTTGTAATTCCCTCGTAGGGCCAAAAACCCTAGCTGTCGAAGACCTTCAATCGGTGCACGAGACTATAATTTATTTCATTCTAGCTAGGTTTGGGGTTTTCCGATTCGAAACTATTAGATTGTTGGGTGAGAATCAGGGGTTCCTCAGAATCTAATGCGAGATTAGCCTTGTGACTTTAGGATGAGCTAGTTTTGTTTTTTTTTGGTTTTTAGTGGAGATTTTACCAATTCTGGTCGAAGATCTTAGAAATACAATTTAGATTGTCCGTCTCGGAATCTTACTGTACATATAGCTAGATCGTGACCTCCTGATGAATTTCCTGGTGGTGAATCGTGGGGTTCGTTGGTAATTTTGGCTACTTGGGATCATGCGTTTCGGTTGATTTGAATATTATTGGTGGTTACTTGAGAGAGTTGAGAATAGAGAACTACAGTAGAAGAACTTGTAAGAAGACTTGCGTTTTTGGGTATTTATTTACCATAGAGAACTACAGTTAAACAACTTGATACGGCGTTGAGAACATATAGTGGTGTTTCTTGGCCTTGACCAGCTATAATCTTGTGGCGTGTACAATGAGTATAGCAGATGAACAACAATTTGCGATGGATCAACTTGTCGAAACCAATGATGAATCCAAAAAGTAAGTTTGTCTGTTCTGTCAATCATTTTCTTTACTTTGCTTTTCGTCATATTTTTCAGCCGCAAATGTAATTGATCTTTTTTTTGTGTTGTTGAATCAGGAAACCAAGAATTTCATACACGAGAGGATTTCTCTTATCGTTGAGCGATAAGGATGCGTGTAAGAAGCTGCCAGATGTGCCTAGTGAATTTAATGATTTACTGTGGCGGTGAGACTCTATTCTATATTTTATATAATTTGTGGATTTCTAGGAACTGTATAATTCTGTTGTGACCGTGTAGTCGTTTTATCTACTACACTATATGGTTTGGAGAGACATGTCTTGATCTGTACACTCTTTATATGAGCAGTGACTCCGAAGATCCTTCACCCGAGCGACACAGAATTTCTGGCGATTTTTCGTCTCATGGTTTGAGGCGGAATGACTATAGTTCATCGCCTCCCACCAGGGGTGAATTAGTTAGTAACTCTCGAGGCGTCCATGGAAGATGGGAAGGGCGATCAGGTGGATGGAGTGATAAAGATGGTGATTCACAGTCAGACCGGGACCCAGGTAGCCTGGGCTTACTCGCATCCCATTCTTTAATTGTTGCATGATGACGTTACTACGAGGTGGACTAGCAAAATAGTAATCTTTGCTCTATTTTCGTTCTCGTAATGTACTCTTGCAAATTACTTCTTTCTGCAAAAAGTGTTCATTTTTATGATTTACGAACCTATTCAGCGCTGTTCAATATAAGTAAATGTGGATTTCCACTTTCTTACGTAAGTGAATGGCATGAAGGCTGCTTTTGTCTAGTGAACTTGAAAAGAAAGCTATTGAGAAAAAGTGCTCGAATTTATGTATTATAGTTGATATTGAACTGTATATTTTGTTAGGAGAGCCTGGGAGGCGTTCTGGCATGCCATCCCGGAGGCCTTGGCAAGCACCGGAGCATGATGGTCTATTGGGGAAAGGTTCTTTCCCTAAGCCTTCTGGATTTGGTGCAGGGCCATCTGGCCCCAGAGCTCAATCTAATGACTCGTATCAGCTGAGGAGAAGCAATGAACCTTACCATCCTCCTCGCCCATACAAGGTTAAGTGCCCACTTGTCTTTTGTAGCCATCTTGAATAGTCCTTAGTATTGTTGACTGTTAAATGCTGCTCCACCATGTTGCCGGGTGTCATCAGCTGGTGTACTTGAGTAGAGCTCAATTAAGACGCAGATTTCTAAACCTCTCCTGTACATTTGTAGGCGCCACCTTACACTCGACGTGACACTAGAGACTCACTAAATGATGAGACGTTTGGTTCTTCTGACTCTACAAGTGAAGATAGAGCGGAAGAAGAAAGAAAAAGAAGAGGTATAGGGAATTTGTGAATACATGCGTCCTATAGTTAGCTCTTTACCAGTTTGTGAATACATGCGTTTTTGTATCAATCTTTAATTGACATTCTCAATTCTCTGTCAGCTTCTTTTGAGTTGTTAAGGAAGGAACATCAAAAAGTATTCCAGGAGAGGCAAAAATTAAACCCAGACTTGCGTAAAAACGACTTTGATTTTACTGAACTCCTTGGGGAATCCATAGATGAAAAAGAGCTTCCAAGTAGAAGCGATGAAGTTAGTAACACCCCAGCAATTCCTGGCTCTAGTATTCCAGCAAGTGCTGCACCCAGACCACTTGTACCGCCTGGTTTTGCAAGCACAATTTTGGAAAGAAAGCAAGGGGAAAAACCTCAAGTAAGTCACTATCTTTCTGAGATGTTCAATACCTAATATCAGTGTTCCATGAAGTTTTCATTTTTGTTTGCATATCGATTTTAAACGTTTTAAGGCTATTGAAATACCTGAAGAAGAATCAAAAGAAAGGATACTTAATAATATAGTATCAGATTCTTCTCACAAGATTTGTTCAAAATATAGATGTGGCTTTCTTTTAAATATAGTTGGGAGATAGAAGTATGTTACCAGAACTATGGAAGTCATGAATCCTGATAGAATGATTCTCAGCATCATGGACAATAAAGTCAAAAGGAAAACTCAATGCTAGTTCTGACTTTGCATGTACCTTGTGGATTAGTTGATATCATTGATCTTATTTCCTAGGAGAAAGCTAATTCCTTCCATTACTACTTCGCTGGTTGTGTTTGATACAAGGCTGTGTTCGCTTGATCTATCGATTTCGACGGAGGTCCTCGCTTCCTGCTCATCAGTGAGGGTTGAAGTTTGAGTGTGGTGGCCCTTTTCGTTTTGGTTTATTTTTTTCTTTGTAAATGCTTTGTTTGAGTGTATGCTCTGATTGGTACTTTGATTTGTACCACATTTTACAAATCCATCACTATCTTTGATCGCACCTGTTATTTACTGGTTATCACACCATTTGCAGACTGAAACTTCTCAGCATGAGAGTAGTCCTTTGACTATCAAAGGCATTAATATGGTGAATGGAACGTCTGTTGCTAATGAAGAAAAACAGTCGGGAATTACGATTGGATCAAGTGAGATGCTGGTAGAAGGTGAAGCTGTTCGTGCCTTCTCCTCTGACACAAGTGAACAGGCTGTTAATATGTCTTTATTTCTTAACAAATCTACAGATAAAGTTCATAAGGACAAAAGTTTTGGAAAGCTTTCCACCATCTCAACTGCTGCTGAAGCTCATGGATATCCTAGAAAAATTGAGCAAACTACAGTGACTTTGGACCAGAAGAAAAGCTTGGAGATTTCGGATGGGCCATCAATTCTGGATAAGATATTCAACACCGCTATAAATTTTAGTAGTGTTGACTCCTCTAATATTACTCAGGTGAAATTTTTTTTCCAAGTATTCAATTAGCTCAAATTATCCCCTTACAATTCGACTCGCATGATAGCTTATGAATCTGTAATTGTTTTGCATTTCATTTTTGGGTCCAAATGGTGCATAATTCTTTCGGATGTAGTCTCCTCTAACCAGTCGTAATTAGGCTTTTTTCTATATACTGTAATGTATTGATCCTGAAAGCATAGTTTCTCTTTTTCTCTTAGTAAGCTCATACATGTTCATGTAAACAAAATCGAATGCTTTTTCTCAGGAAATAACTGTTTCGTTGTGACATGATATGGTGTACTTGCTTATACATATTTTACCTGTGGAATTCGACGAATCTCATTCAACCTGACATTTGGTCCACATCCTTGTAGAAAAATGTAGAAAAGGTAGAAGAAACACGGACCCCTCCGACTGTTAAATCCTCCAAGTTCGCGCATCTATTTCTTGAAGAAGGTAATCCGCTGACTGTTATGCTAGATTAGTTACGTTTTACCATTACAATGACAAGAATCCAACATCCCTATTTTTTATCGGTGCAGATAACAAGCCAGTGGAAGATCTTGCATCCAGCGGGCCACCGAGAGGCTTACTGTCACTACTTCAAGGTGCAGATAAATTGCAACCTTTTGACACAAAAGCTAAGGGGGAACTTTCGATGGATTTTCCTTATCAAGGCCATGCCACTAAAAATACTGATAAGTTAAGCAACACTTCCACTAGTAAATCAGTAACTGCTGCTCCACCGGTTCTCACTTGTGAAGACCTTGAGCAGTCTATTCTGTCAGAAGTCACTGAAAGCTATCATCCACCACCACCACCACCGCCAGTTGAACAAGACTTGAGTGTTTCCTCAGTGAAGAAGACCAAACAACGGAAAGCGTCTGTTGATGACCAGGCTTCCCAGCACCTTCTTTCTTTATTACAGAGAAGTGCAGACCCAAAAAGTCAAGATACGCAGTTACTTTCAGTTACAGAGAGTAGACCACCACCATCTGTGAAACCACCTACAGCAGGAGAACCAGATCCAGCGAAGTCTTTGACTCTTGAGAATCTGTTTGGGAGTGCCTTCATGAATGAACTGCAGTCTATTGGAGAACCAGGTTCTGGAAGACCTATGGTTTCTGATGCTCCTGGGGTTCCGCTTCGATCAGACAGGTCTATTGGTGAACTGAGCCAAAGAAACCAAGCTAGACCTGACAGTCTTCCCGGAGGCCTACTAGGCCTTCCAGAAGATGGTAACTTACTTGCAATGGGAGGTCCTGCAAACCCACAAAATTTCTTGTCTTTTCCAGGATCTCATAATCAGGAGCCTGAAGTAACTTTCAACATCTCTGACAAGCTAGCTGCTTTCAACTCTGGTCCAAGGAACGAGAGACCAACAATGGGAGGTCAAGATGGTCCTTATCTTCACCACCATCCCCAACAATACACAACCGACCACTCCTCTCACTTGAATGGTTCAGGCCAAGCCTTCCATCCGTTTGATTCTCGACATGCGCATTTAAAACCTCAGCTCGATTTCATGGGCCAAGGAAGCATCATAGCTCAACATCAGGATTCGCCACCAAATCAACGGTTTCCAGCAAACATGATTCATCGTCCACCTTTCCATCATTCAACAACCAGTGGACTTCCCGAGTTTGATCGTCTTCCTCCACATATGATGCAGAAGATGCATATGCAAGAGAACCTGCAACACCATCAGCTCATGCAAGGATTCCCCGGTGGTGGTCCACCACACCATCGCTCTCCTCATGTAAACAACCAAATGCCGGGTCTCATTCCCGAGTTAAATGCTTCACAAGGCTTACCCTTCGCCCATCGCCAGCCTAACTACGCTATGCCACCACCAGGTATAACATAAGATAACCAAATCCATCTCCAATTTTTGACCCTTTGTGGACTCGAGTCTGCTGCTCTAGGACCCCGGTCTTGATGTCGAACTATGCAGGGACTTGTTGATTTTGAGTCTGGTCTCTCAATTCGTTTTTTGGCAATTCAGGTTCTCAAGTTAATAGAGGAGATCCTCCAGCTTCACTGCAGACACTCTTGGGGATTCACCAGAGGATGGACCCTTCCAAGCAGATACCGCCGATGGGTCAAGGCGGTGGTCCTAATCGCCAGGGTTCTATGGGTCATGAACTCGACCTTGGCTTTGGCTACAGGTAACTTGCTCTGCCCACAATCCTCTTAACACCCTAAGAGAGTAAGAGGTGTGTCTGCGTAAAACTAAGTTGCTTTGTGATGTGCAAGTAATCAAAATTACCATTTGTGAATTTAAGAAAGAAAAATAGAAGAAGAACACTATATACTCTCGTTTATCTGGCTGCTTGTGAGATGTGGATGCTTTTAATTAACAGTGGTAGATTTTGATGAAGTTTCGAGTCCGTGTGATTGGTATTATCTATTTTAGGTTTTTATTTACCGTTGTTCAAATCTCTATGGCTGTCTCCGTGTGTCGAAGGTAACAAGTTAAGTGTGAGACTGAGGACTTTTTTTTTCAGATCAGTTTCGTAGTTCAATTTTATTTTTTCTGTTAGTTTTGAAAGAAATCAATAATAGCTACTGTAAAACCTTTTAAGATACGTTGGAAAAAAAGTGAAAACCAACTAGTAAACTACGGAAAAAAAAATTTAAAAAGATTATGCCTTGGATAAACTGGTGAGTGATGAGAGGTGAGAACTATGAGTAACAAATTCACAAAATACGGTCAAGTCTCAACCAGAGTAAAAATTTTGCCGCGGTTTGAGAATGAGGCACGCTGGTACATCTGAGCTTTTTTGCATGGCTATAGGACGAACGAAAATAAGGTCCATATCGCTCTTGCATGGGTTCCAAATTCGGCCCATATTGTTTTTGCATGGGTTCCAAATTCGGCCCATAGAACTTTTGGCATGGATTCCAGGATTGGCCCATTCAGCTTTAGACGGGGCCTCCAAATCGGCCCATGTTTCTTTTGCTTGGGCTCTGAAATCGGCCCATGTAGCTCTTGCATGGGTTCAGAATCGGCCCATGAAGCTTTTGTATGGGCTCCAAAATCGGCCCATGAAGCTTTTGCATGGGCTCCAAAATCGGCCCATAAAGGGTTTGCATGGGTTCACAGTCCGCCCATATAGCATTATCATGGGCTTTAAATTCGGCCCAGATAGCATTAATATGAGCTTTAAAATCGACCTATGTAGCGTTTGCATGGGTTCCAAAATCGGCCCATATAGCTTCTACATGAGTTCACAATCGGCCCATAATAGTTTGTGTTAACTGTACACGGGCGATATGATTTTGATGAGTAGAGATAGGGGTGTCAAACGGGCTAACCCGCACCCATATAACCCGAACCGCCATGGTTCAGTTTCTTTTTCAGATCGTCGCGGATCAACCCGCTTGAACCGCAGGCAATGTAAACATTGTCCACGCCCGCCCCGGTTTAAACAATTGGCGAAACGGGCTAACCCGCGGGTTGTTTGTGGTTTATGATGTGGAAGAATGCAGGTCGACTAAACCACTTCAAGCTGAGCTTTAGCTGCAACGCTAACTTCATCAGCGATTCCTTGTTCCATCTCCTCAACTCTCAGCTTTGCAAGCTCTGAGTCCTGTTTTGCAGTTTTGACATCTCCACCGTTTCTGATTTTTTCTTGTACTCAGGAATCTCCTTCATGTTCTTTTTGAGCTCTTGTTCCAAAAAGTTGCATCGCAAAAAAGTTCTTGGCAATATATATATACACACACTTCACTAACTATACCTCTAATACTTGCATTCTATGTGCTTTCTAATCAGTAATCCCCCCAAATTTGGAGACAGCTTCTTTAACAGATTCAAAAGGTGATGCTGTATCAATCAAGTCTTTATAAGAATGTTTAGTTTTCGTTGTTCCATTGCTCAATGGTTTAGATGCTCCAAATATTGGGGACACGAGTGCACTTGGAGATCCAATGCTTCTTGGGAAAGAAAAAGGTCTTGGAGACACACCATTAATGCAAGCCGGTTCTACATATAACGCAAGCCGGTTCTACATATAACACAAGAAAAAGATATGGCTATACATATAACACATTGCAACACAGAGTTTAGAAGAAGATGGTGGACTTCAAAGCCAAAGACAAGTAAATATCCGATGTTTAGAAAACTCCAACACAAATCCAAGAAAGCAAACTCAAACAAAAAATCCAAGAAATCCAAGAAATCTGAGAAATAAACTTCAACAGAAATCCAAGAAAGCAAACTGAAACAACAACCTCTGTGTAGCAAATTTAAAACAAGTCTAAGAAATAAATTTAAAAACAAATCCCTCAAAAGTTTCTTCATCAACCTTCAGCATCCTCCTCAACAATTGATTCAAAGGAAGGCAGTTCTTCATCTTCACCATCAACAGTTTCGTCCTCTTCTACACAAATCAAAATGTATGGCTGTTAATATACAATATATGAATGTGTAATCATAGAACTTATTAAAACAAAGAAATTCATTACCATTTTCGTATGCCTCAAAACCTTTTAGCCAATTACGACTACATATTAACGCCTGAACATTTTTTGGAAGAAGACGGCTTCTATACTTGTTCAAAACTCGAGATCCAATGCTGAAAGATGATTCCGAAGCTACCGTTGTGATTGGAATGCTGAGAAGGTCACAAGCCATGCAAGCTAAATCTTTATAACGTTGAGAGTTATCTTTCCAATATTTCAAAATATCTAAACTCTGAAAATCGGCCATGTCTAATGCTGGTTCTTCTAGATAGAGTTCCAAAGACGACTTCCCACTAACAACAACATTAGATTTTCGAAACGCAAAGAAATCCTGCACCATTTAAAAAACTTGTAAGCTAAGCAAAAAGTGTATGAAATCAAATATTTATGTCCAAGTGAAACACTTACATCGTAGTTTGAGAAACTTCCACCTAGGACATCGCGTTCTTGATCATCTTTTTTCTGAACAGTTTCTCGTGTTTCTTGTGAAGGTGATTGCGTCCTGAACTTGCTCTCATACGATTCGAAAAGAGTCCTCAGTTTTTCACGCAAATGTTTCAACCTTTCTTCAGAAGTTCTCTTATCGAGTCTTTCGAAGCAATATTTTGCAAGTGTCATCTTTAATCTTGGATCAAACACAGTAGCCATAGCAAGAATATCGCTGTACTCTTCCCAATACTTGTCAAACTTCTCTTGCATAACACTAACCATGTCTCTGATCATCTCGTTCTCGTGAGCTGCATGATCTCTCAACCACATTTGAATCTTCCAAACTTGCATAAAATATAAGTTTGATGTCGGATAAGTAGAACCTGATATTAGACGAGTAACTTCATCAAAGGGCTCTAAAAGTTTACAAATCATCTTCCCCAAGACCCACTCATCTTCTCTTGGGAGATGCTTGTAGTTTCTTCCATCAATAACTTTCAGATTAACAAACGCAGCTCTATATTTGATTGCCCTGTCAAGCATCTTGTAGGTTGAATTCCAACGAGTTTGCACATCCAAAACTAGACCACCTTGCTCTCTTATGCCAACTGTTTCAACACATCTTTCAAATAGATTCTCTCGGGACTCAGAAGATTGAACAAACTTGATGCTATCCCTTATCTTAGCCAATGAATCACCAATCACTTTCAGTCCTTCTTGAACAATGAGATTGAGAATATGGGCTGAGCATCTCACGTGAAAAAACTCTCCTCCACACAACAAATCCTCTCTTATCAGCAACTGTGATTTCAGAATCTCTTGCATACTATCATTGCTAGTAGCATTATCAAGAGTGATGGAGAACACTTTTTTATCTATTCCCCATTCCTTCAATGTTTCAAGAAGCTTCATAGCTAAGTGCATACCTGTATGTGGAGGTGGAAAAGCACAGAATCAGTATATTCTAAATATTTGTTTTTTTTAAAAAAGACTACGTTAAAAAGAATGAAACATAAACTGATATATGAATCTTGTTAAGCAAGCTGGTGACTTTAAAAGCTGGTGACTTTAAAAACTGGCGACTTTAAAAATAAAAGCATGAAATCAAAACTGGTGACGTATAAGCTGGTGACGTATAAGCTGGTGAAATCAAAACGAGACTTTAAAAATAATCTCGTAACAAGCATATATAAGCTGGTGATGTAACATATATAAGCTGGTGACATATATAATCTCGTTAAAAGCATATACAAGCTGGTGACATATATCTCGTTAATCAAAACTGGTGACTAAGTCAAACACACCGTAACTTTAATCCCTTTAAAATAAAAAATACAAGCTGATATGTAAATCTCGTTAACTAAACATATACTGGTGACTTTAAAAACACGATTTTAGAAACGGACAATCAAAAGAATAATTTTTTTAAAAGCATACTAATAAGATTATAGCTAAGTGGTAAGTGCATACCTGTATGTGGAGGTGGAAAAGCACAAAAAGCTAGAATCTTATTCTGTAATTTCCAGTTTACATTTACATAATGCGCTGTCAAACACATGTAGCCTTCATGAGAGATCACAGTCCACAAATCAGAAGTGAAGCATATCCTTCCAGGAAGACGACTTAATTCGTTCTTCAACTTCGACGTCTCATTCTCATAAAACTTATACACATCAGCTGCAGCAGTGTTTCGACTGATGAACTTGACATCTGCATTCAAATACTTCCACACTGATCTAACTCTTTCATATTCAACATAAGAATATGGCAAATCATGTTGAATAATACACTTAGCGACCATTTCACGGAAAATCATATGGTCATATTTCCGTGACTGCAGTTTTGCTTCTGCAGTAACCAGCATCTCACCAACATCACTAGATCTAACCATGAGTTTGCATCTCTCACGATGGCGTCTTAAACATGTTGTACCGTTCTTGTGTGATTCATGCACATATTCCTTCTTGCAATGTTTACACACAGCTTTTTGACAACGCTTACCAGACTTGTCAACTTTAGTCATTACCACAAAATCATCCCACACATCTGAATGAAGCTTCCTACTCTTTTGCTCTGCTGCATTTTCGTTTGTGTCGTCGTCTTCAACGTCATGAACTGTTTGTCTTGGAAGTTTTTGTGGTCTTTTTGTTGCTGGTCCATCACACTTACTTCGATCTTTTTCAGAATGTTCTTTTCCTCTTTTCTGATGACTTTCCTCTGCAATTGTCATCTTCTACATCAAGGAAAACTCTGCTTCGATGACTTGATTTTGATGAACTATCTGGTCCATCAAACTTTCGGTTCACATGAAAGTTTTCTGCATTTTCATCACTGCTGCCTGCGACCACTCCTTTTCTCTGTTCCGGTGACATTCGATCATCATCGTCAATCAACCTCTGTTCATGTTCAGCATTTGCAGCAGCCATAAATCTCTGAGTTTCGAAATCTACTGTCAGTAGATTCGAAAAATCATGTGAATCCTATCAATAACAAGACAAAAAATCAAACAAAAAAAGTTAGAACTGATTATCAAAGTTTGCAGTTCATCACGATAACAACGACAACGATACGCAAAGTATAACACGTTATGACGTTAATTTGTAAAAGCAGAGACCAAAAGTATATAGACAACAATTCTTACAAAATTATCCATTGAATCAACTCTGCCTCAGGCTCCCAGCTTTGATCGGCTCTATAACTTTGCTCTGAAACAACTGAGTTTCTATTACAATATACATCGCAGAACAATCAAGTTAGGTCAACTGTGTTTAAAACTTGAACACTCTACTACAGACAGAGGGTTTAAATCAGTATTATGAATCAAATTGAACTGTACCGATTTGAATTTCAGCTTCTAAACCAAGTTGGTTTGAAAATAGAGAAAGCAAAGGGGAAGAAAAGGAAGATAACAAAGGACGTGAAATTTGCATTAGCTCGAAACGTATTTAAACATGAGTTGACATTGTTAGAAAAAGTCCGACATCCAAATGTTGTTCAATTTTTTGGAGCTGTCACTCAAAATATATTAATGATGATTGTAGTAGAGCATAATCCAAAAGTAAGCATATTTACTTCCTTTTGATTTCACCTTATTTCAGCAAAAGTAAGCATACTCTCTAAGATTATTAAACAGTTTGTTACTTTGTAAAAGTCGTTGTACTAGTATCGCTTGGGTGCCTGGAGGTGATGGAGCATTTGTCATTGCTCATGTCGATGGGAATATGTATGTGTATGAGAAGGCAAGCTCAGATATCAGAGAAAATTTATTGTTGTATATGACTTTTAATGTACCGAATTTTGTCTGATTCTTGATTCTGATTAATATAACTTTGTAGAACAAAGATGGTGCCACTGACTCAACATTTCCTGCAATAAGAGATCCTACACAATTTTCAGTTGGCAAAGCAAAATATAGCAAGGTACCTGAGTTTGCAACCATTTCAGTAGATCCTTATATAGGTGCTAGAAGCACATGGTACAAACTTATTCTCTAGTATCATCAGTTGGTGGTGTGGTAAGGAAATTTTGTATTACATTCTTTTTTTAATCTTTAAGTAAGTTTTGGTAGTTTTTAGTCTTGATCTTTGTAATGTTTTTTCTTTTTTTTTTCTAGGGATCGATCATGAAATGATCCAGCACTGTTAATGGTTTAAAACCATTCAAAATCAAACTCGCGGACAAAACCCGATAACCCAGAAATCTGTCTCGGTTTAATTCATTAAACCCGCTAACTGCAACGGACTAAACCGCAAGACCCGCTAATTAATGAGTTACAAATTTTGTGACCAAACCCGTCCCATGGCGGATCTAGATGGGCCGAACCCGCGGGTTCATAGCTCGTTTGACACCCCTAAGTAGAGAACAACGCTCAAGGTCCGCGTGACGGCTATTTATAGTAACGGAAAACTCAATACATATTTCAGGCTGTTTCATTAATTTGATATGATCGAAGCGCGTGACCGCTAATTCTTCTGAGTTGTGAGTATTCATATTCTTGTCTACCATTGACAATAGAACTTTTTTTTTTACAAAAAAAAAAGGTATGAAAACTTCTTCGAAGAAAGTGACTGCAGAAAAGATTAAACCGTGATAAATTCAAATATTCACTGTTACTTATTTCGAGTCCAGGAAAGTGGTAGTAGACTCAAAACAATGACAGATTTTTCTCAAAAGAGCTTATTGAGAAGATGAAATAAATAGAAAGGAAAATAGCTGATCAGAACTTTGGTGTACAATACAAGTAAAAAGAGAAGAAAGCTTAAACAAAAAAAAGACCAAGATCTAGTAGATCGTTGATTTATATCATAAATAAAGGAGGAAGAGTTACTTTGAGGCAACTTTCAAGATTACCTTACATTGATGTTCGAAACACAAATTTATATGAATTTCTATTTGCTAAGAATCCTAATTACATGGAATAATGAACTTCTTCTCATGAGACACTATCTTGGGATTCTTACGGATCCTCTTATAGAAAGAACGAAAAAAAGATGCAGAAGTAACAGAATTTCTATAGAGAGACTAACTTACTATGTAGATAATTTTTTTTACTTTCTCTTATTTGATTGATCAAAGCCTCAGTCAAACCAATACAAAAACAAAATAAAGAATCCCCTAATTTGTGTATATTATTATTAGACAGACGGCCATTGCCTTTTCTTCAACAGTCTCTCACTCACTCTATCTTGACTTTAAAAGAAAAAAAAGATGAACCACCATCTGCCGACTGAGAAAACAATATCACAGTCTCTTCTCAGATCTCGACTTGAGACCTCCTAAGATTGATCCAAACTCAAAAGAGAGTCAGTCACAAACTCTGACCTTATAAACACATCTATATACCTCTGCAAAACCCTCTATTATCCATACAAATATAGACAACATAAGACAAACAAGCGCGCTTGACTAAGACTTCACAGACATAAAAGCCAGAACTCAGTAGCGATCTAAGAGTTCACGTGTTTGGTTCTACTCGACGCCTCGGTACAATGAAACATACCTTGGATGAGTATTTGTTGCTCTCACATAAGGTCCATTGTAGCATTTTCTAACTCTATTTCAAAGCTTTCGACCTGTAAGATGATATCAACTTCCTCTGCATATCACAGCACCAAATCAGTAAAAGACGAGATCACTAGAGTACCCACCAAGAAAGATTAATATATCAGTCTTTCAAGGAGAGTGGCAATGAATGTAAGTATAGCAGTCCTTACTTGTTCTGCAAATTCGGGACTTGTCAGATTTACAGATAGATTTCTCATCAGTAAAAGAACCTGATGGAGCAAAAAGGAAAATACGAAATTAGCTTCTTTGTTTACAATCAGGATTTAACAAAAAGGCTCTGAGTCGAGACTGAGTCAGACTAAACGGGTCTCATACCGTTTCCATATTTATTGGATCCATCTGCTTTAATCTCTGGAGGTGACCTGATGTGTTGGGATCAAAGACACTTCCAATGAAGCTGTAGACTTCAGAAAAATCCGGCATCACTGCGTTGAACCGCCACAAAACAACTCATTCTCAGCGCAAATATCATTAGTCAAAAGATACATAAAGTCTAACACGAAAACAAGTCTTACTTCTAAGTGGCTTTTCACAACTTTCTCCATCATTTGGCTCTGTCACCGCACGTAACCTCCGTGTAACTTCCTTACTACTAGTGGTGTTGCAGTGATTCTTTGGGATCGCCGTGGCAAACTCTCCCGGTTCCTCTACTATCACGAATTCATTACACCATATTGTCAACACCATTCATAGATACAAGTAAACTGAAACCATTATGTCACCTTGGACTGTCGTCTCTCGTAAGCAGAACAAGTCGGAAATTTACCTTCGATCACGGGTTTTGGGGGATTTGTTGATTCATGATCCCGAGAAGAAGAGCTAGACGCACAAACAGCCGGCAATGACTGTGAATCAGAGCTGTACAGGAAACCAGGTTCAAGCAAAGGTGCATTCGAAGCATGGAGGAATCCAATGGCGTGGGACGGAAGAGCAACTGCAGCCATAACAAATCATCAGAGAGAATGATAAAAATAAGCAAGAGAATGCACACAAGAGAAGAAGAAGAAGATCAAATTCACCACTTTTGGGAGCCTTTTGAGGATATGGATGAGTCGCTTTCCTCTTTGGTCGAGGAGGAGGAAGATGTTCATTTGTACCGCTCTTTTGAACTTTGAGAAAGTACTTCTGTGCGTGGCTTCGTATCTGCCAATTACAAATTCTCAAAACATCAATATGATTGTGAAAACAAGTTCGTATCTGCCAAATACAAATTCTCAAAACATCAATATGAAACAAGCAGCCTCACATCAATATAACTGTAAGATTCATCAATTACCTGGACCACTGTCTTTGATCCAATAAACGCCTCGATTTTTTTCCAATCTCGATCGAATCTGTTGATCGATTGATCATCAAGAGTTGATTAGAATATAGATTTCGTCGAATTAAGCTCACACAAAGAAATCGAAACCCTAATTTCTCCCGGGATCCAAAAGGAAACACAATCGACTGTAATGTTAGGCAGAGGAATCACAAATTCCGATACGTACAAGTGGAGAGCTTCTAGGAATTTATCGTGTTCCTGCTCTGTCCAGTTCTCTCTCGATTTCTTGATTGTGTATGGCTTCCGAATCTTCGTCGTCGAATCCTCAGAAAACGTCGTCGTACCAATCCGTCCGGTGACCGGCATCGTAGCAATCGGAGCCAAACCGTAACCATCGGATTCCGGCGCCGCCGAATTGAAACCCGGTAAACTCATATTCACGGGATCGAAAATAGGAAAACCCTGAGCAGGTCTAGGGTTTACAGACACCATAGATGGAACTCGAAACCGCAATTAAGCTAATGCGTTTCGCAGATTCGCTTTGGGATAAAATTCGATACAGCTTTTGCGTTTCGCAGGTCCTTTCTCAATCACTAATGCTTGTATGTAGTGTGATATTGAATATTTCGGCGGAACACGTGTTATGACCTGGTTGCTTTGGGTAATATTTACATCCTACTGCCACTCACTCACGCCGTTCAAAACAAAAAAGTGACGATCTCGATTCTCGACTTTAGCCTGAAAAATGCTTCTAGAGTCATCTCGACTTGTCCAGTGTAAAGCAGCAACGTGTACACATGTTTTCTTTTAACAGAACAAATATCTAACTAGTAGTATTCTTTTAACGAGACAGTGACATGTGAAAGGTCGAATAGTAACCCTAAGTGCTAGCATCAATTTATTAACCAGTGCTAAAGTGCATGACGAAAAAATTAAAACAACTCTATTTCACCGATCTCACAAGAAAATTCATACTAGATTTTTCTATGCCGCAAGCACTCCGCATCGACTATATAATATGGCTTCTCTAGAACAAAATCGTCATGTCATGTATTTACTTCAATGGGATTACGTTTGATACCAAGACTTGGATGAAACGAGTTTTGGGTGGCTTTGGTCTTTTTCCAAAAAGTTAAGATTCTCTCTCATACAGACTTCTAAAAGTTACCGATTGGGTTTTCCGAAAAAGTGCTCGATCTGAAGACACCCTTGAGACGACGTACCACTTGTTTTAGCTCCAATCTTGAACCTCTTACCACTTCCTGAACTTGCATTGGCGTTCTATTCAATAGAGAACAACCACATTAGGCAAGTCTTTAACATCCGGATTTTGATATGGACCAAGTAACATAGCGAGAGGCGAATCATTAAGAAGAAGCAAAAAGAAACTCACAGAAAATTGGGGTTTAGATCTCAAGACTTTGATTCTTCCACCTTTACCATCAGGTCCAACAGAGATCAGATCATCTTTGCGTGAGACAGAACCTCCTAGTGAAGGAATTGCTTCGTTTCTCTCTCCTTGTTTGCTCCATCTTCTGAGATTTTGATTTGTTCCACTTGACAACCAAATGTCTCCACCACCTGCATTGAGTTTTTTTTTAACAATCTTCAAATCTGCTACACTCGATAAACCTGAAATGTGTGATGTACAACAAAAGTTACCATTGCTGCGAGGTGACACTGATGATGCCGGGTCTTTTCTGATGTTGAACTTTATATCCTTCATCATGAGATTATCATATTTCTCCTCAATATTATTATCTTCAACCTTGTGATCCTTCATATTAGAATCTGATTGTCTGATGCCAGAAATGGTGGTTTCAAAAACATCATCATCATCATCATCTAAAAAAGAGTCTCCTTTTCCCCTTAAGCATGCTCCATGATTGGTGAAGCCATCTTTCTTCTCTAACTTACCAAGTGGTGTAGAGATTTTCTCAACAATGTTGCCTGATGGAAGCATTCTGAAAGAAACCAAGCTCTCGGTTGAAGGCTTGGAAACGTCTCTGTCACTGCAGTTCTTTGAAACTTTTATATCCCTTAGAGCTTTGTTCTCACTCTCCTCAGTTATCATCTCAAGTTCCCTCACTCGCTTCTGCCCATTGAAAAAGGATAACATGAGCTCAGCTGGATAAAAGAAACAAATAAAGGTCGAATGCAATAACAGAAAGACAAACCTTTAGTTTATCTATCTTTTCCAAAGCTTTGTCAAGTTTCTCAGAAGATCGAGCTTCACCTCTGCCCAGCTGATTGCACTTTGCTAGCAACTCCTTATAACTCCTGTCAGAGGATATATATATATTATCAAGAATGGTTTTTATCAGAGAGTTCAGAAATTAAAACTTAAAGACTAAGAGAAAAGAAACGCAATTTACAAATCCCCTTTCCTCAACTTCTTGACCAACTACTTGTATTTTGTATGAGACAACTGAACCAACAAAGTACTCTTTTCACCCTCATCATAGGTCACTGAAGGTCAAACTATTTTAAAATCTCGTAACACTGGTGCAGACATAACCAATGGGAGATAATGAACCTAGTCGGCTAAGTACATGACAACAGTGAGAGCAGGGAGAATAAATGATATGTACCAACCTATTCCGGATAACCAAGGACTTGACTAGTGTGTCTATAGTATCTTTTGTCTTAGCATTATTCCCCAACAAGGCTAGCTTCAGAACATCATCTTCCTCCAAGCTTAGGTCGGAAACCCTGGATGCAAAACAAGATTTAGACTGACAAAGGTTTTACTTCTACCAAAAGATTGAATGATTATTTCAAAATCTGAAAACGTTAAAAGAGCAAGAACACATATTTCTCTCACAATTTAAGCGCTGCAAGCTCCTTGGCAAGAGCCATAGTTCTGTCTTGTAGCTTAGCGCACTGGGAAGTAAGCTGAACACATTCCTGTAACAAACATAATAAAAAAACTCAACCAAAAATGTTCTACTTGGATGGCTAAAACATCTTAAGAATGTTGAGTTTAGTTAGACCTCAGATTTTAATTTAAGCAAGTGTTGGGTCGTTGATATTTCTTGCAGAGCCTCCCACCTTTTTACTTTGTCCTCCTCCAATTGTTCCTTACATTGATGCAACTGAGAAGGAAAAAACCCAAAATATCTTCCTAAGGATTCTAATAATCAAAGAGGATGTTTCTACTCATCGCTGATGTCTTTATAGCCGAATCACTTAAGCAACGAATGAACAAATTACCTTACCGGAGACTTCAACGTTCTCCTTTTTCTGCCCCTCCAGAGCCGAAGAAAGGTTCTGTATCTTCCCTTGGAGCCGCTTCACTTCTCCTCTCAACAAGGCCGGATCTTCCTCGATTTCACCAACCTTGAGCGAGGCAATCGAATCGATTTGATTCCCAGAAGATTGAAAGTAAAGTCGGCAAGGATCCTTCAGAAGGCACTTCTGCTTACAAATCGGACAGTTTCGCTTATTCGTACTCGGGCAGTACTCAAACCATTGCTGCAAACTAGGGTTTCGGAAAAATCAATTAGCTACATTTAATCTAAAACTTGAGCGTAAGAGAACCTTTGATTGGGCCGCACTAACCATAGCTCGTGAAAGACGTGACCACAGGCGGAGATCGATTGCAGATTCTCAGCCACCGGTTTCAGATCTTCGTAGCAGATGGAACAAATTGCATTCCCCGCCGCGTTTTCGCCGGCCATCTTCCCGTGCCTAATTGGTTCCGGCAACAACCTTTGGTTTTGTAATCGCCATGTTTTCTCGAGAAAATCAAAAGGAAAATATGAGAGAAAACATGGCGCGGGAGTAAAAAAGTTGAAATTTCTGAGCAAGCGCGAAAAACTGTGCAAGGAACAAAGGATATTTCTATGTCACGTGTAAGTCACGTGAGATCAACATTCCAGACGAAGTTGCTGATTGCATAGCCCAATGTTTTTTTAACTAGCGGCCCATGAGGCCCAATTAGCTAGCAATTGAGTAATAAAATTTAAGATAAATTGTATCAGTGGAGTACTTAGTTGAATTCTTCCACTGATTGGGGTTTACCGACTAAGCTTAAAATGTCTCAGTTGTGAGATGTCGAACAAATTATAGTGAATACCAACAAAAATAATTAAGAAATTCCGTTAGTCAAACACAATGCTTAAATTATTGTTGACTTGTCTTGGCTATAGTAATATTTTATGCAGGAAAATGCGTGGGTCCACGCGCTTTGAGACTGTGCCTCGTGCAGCCCACTTGGAGCATTTTTTCTAAAAAATCCGTTCCCCTAAGGTTTCACGTGGCTCATGCACCTGACTGGGTCAGGCGATTCTCGACCGTCGGATGAGTCGAAGCATAAGAAAACTAAAAATTGCCGATATGACCGTCGGATGAATGATAGAAAGCTGCTTAGAGCGTTCCAAGCCGTACGATTGTCTCCAAAGACGAATCAACATCACGAGGCTGAGAGATAAATAAGTAACGGCATAAAAGCATTTCCGAAGGTGGGACCCATAAGGTTTTTTGGGACAGCTGTAGCACTTATTCATCATCTTATCTTTAGACGCTTAATCGCTGTGTGAACCGTTGATTCTATGAATTTGTCAACCTTTTTACTCGCGGAGATCACGCGCTCTGGTCTTCTGACACGTGTGCTACACCCTGCTAGGCTGCTACACTGGTAAATTCTTCCTTTCTTGTTTGTAAATTATTTCTTTATACATTTTTTCCGTAAATTATTTTTCTTTTTCTTACACCAATTTATTTTTAAAAATGTATCTGTTACGAATTTTATAATTTGTCGAATCCATGTATACAAAACTTGAGTGATCGAAAAATATAATATCATGTGCACAACACTTATAATTTGTTCTATTTCTAAAAATCCGTTTACATGTGCTTAATTTGTTGTTTTTTTTGGGTCAATATGTGCTTTCTGCTACAAAGTAAAAATAAACTCGATAAAATTTAATCTGGATAGAACTAAGTGAATCATATACACCCAAAAAATTCAAAATATTTGCTATGGAATAAACGTTTGAAAATGCTTTATGTCAAATATGTGATACAAGGAGAAACTATGGTGCTAAGTGACAGTCATTGTCTTTCTATCTAGCTAGTTTTCATATACATTGAGGCTGATGCAATGATGCTTATATGTAATCTTTTTCTTAAATGAAATGGAATACATATGTTATCCATGAAATTGTTTTAAAACATCAGTTCTTGGATTGAATTTTGTAATGTCGAAAGTTCACAATGATCTGGAAAGGGATGAAATGTGGCTTTTTATTCTTATCCCTTTCATTTTAAATTATTAATATCTAAATAGTCTTAACCATTTCCAATTCCGTAATCGTAGATGTTGAAAAGATAAAAGGATTTCTTAAAATAAAATAAAACGAGGTAAAAGGAACTATTTTTTAACTTCTTGTGCGCATCGATAAAAAAGTAGGCACTACGACGAAAGTATGCTTTCCCACTATTTTTCATAAAACGAAGCCATAAGCGCGTGTGAAAGACGCGTGGAAATGTCAAAGGAGTGTGAGGTTGACAAAAGAAGAGTTTGGAGATTATTCAAACCCTTTGACAAATTATTAAAGTCAACCAAAAAACAAGAAACCAGAAACCACTTCTGGATTTAGTCTCCGACACTAGACGACAAATAGAGGATAAGCATCGAGATACCCTCTTTGAAGCACATACTTTCTCTCTTTCTAGATTTGTAAAAAAAAAAAAAAAAAAAAAAAAAAAAAAAGCTAAAGAGACAATTCCTCTCTCCATCTCTACATCACTTTTATAAACATGTAAATATAAAAATACGTATATTATTATCGGCATATACACGCATCGTGATTCCGACAGTACTCATCTTTCCAAAGTGTGTTCATACTTATTTGCTTTCTTAAAACAAAAATTATTATGGCTAATCTCGTTGCATTCTAGCCAGAAAGTAAACATAATTTCTGACCAAATGTCAAAATAAAACACAACCGATAAAACTGAAACGAGATATTCGCATAAAAATGGAATCAGTTGTAAAGGATTCCATTTTTATATATGCTGACACGATATTATCTAGTTTATTTTCACTATTAGTTGCTAATTTAATGTTTATTGATTGATTTAGTATGTTACCATGTAGGCAAGTACCACCATCCGTACTACATAATTTTTAACTTTTGAGTTAATCTCTTTTTTTTTTTATAATCACAACAATATCATTTCCAGCCCACTTTTGTTGTCATCTGGAATTTTCAGCTCACTAAACTTATATTTCCAGTAAAAAATTAGATATAAAAATGGTTCACATATGGAATAATTGCAGTGTCAGAACAAGAGAACAAAACAAAATTGCATTTTACACTGTATTTTATACTTTAATAATTAATTTTCACCTCAAATTTTCAACCCTTTTATTTTTATTTTTTTCCTCCTTTCACTCTCTTTATAAACATCTCTCTCTGCCCTTCAAAAGTCAGCGCTCTCTTTTGTCTCCTCTGCTTTCTCTTCTCTCATCAGAGATTCTCGGAAGCTTTTGTCTCCCCTGAGAAACCAAATCAATGGCCGACGACTGGGATCTCCACGCCGTAGTAAGAGGCTGCGCAGCCGTGAGCTCATCAGCAACCACCACTACCACCACCGTCTTCTCCGGAGGCGTTTCATCTCACACGAACCCTATGTTCAACTTCGAACGACAGAGTAATGACGTCGTCTTCGGAGAGATTCGAGATCTCTACACGCCGTTCACACAAGAATCAAATGTCTCCTCGTTTTCTTGTCTGAATTATCCAGAAGAATCCAGACAGAGACAAAACCAGAAACGGCCTCTTTCTCTCTCTGCTTCTTCCAGTAGCGTCACTAGCAAACCCACAGGCTCCACTAGCTCTAGATCTAAAAGAAGGTTAGAACTTTAACCAGTTTTTGTTTATAAATAACCAGAAAAGGCAGAACCTTTTTGTCGAATCCATCAAGAAATTTATTAAATTTGCGTTTGAATCCATCAAGGAGTATATGTCTAAAAAGTCTCTGTATTTCGTTGCTTGTTTCAGAAAGATACAGCATAAGAAAGTGTGCCATGTAGCAGCAGAGGCTTTAAACTCCGATGTCTGGGCATGGCGAAAGTACGGACAAAAACCCATCAAAGGTTCACCATATCCAAGGTAGAGTATATACATATTATCAAGATAAAATCTTCTTTACCCAAAACTCATTTATTGTTCTTAAAAGACATAATTTATAAATATGTGTATTCTTTCAAGACAAAACCAAAAAAAACTTGTCTGTTTTTGGTGATTCCGTTTGCTTTTAGTTTGTTAAATCATCCCTGTTTGTTTCTAATTAAAATTTCTTTTCAATTTTCGTTAAAAACAGAGGATATTACAGATGTAGCACATCTAAAGGATGTTTAGCCCGTAAACAAGTGGAGCGAAATAGATCCGACCCGACGATGTTTATCGTCACTTACACGGCGGAGCATAACCATCCAGCTCCTACCCACCGTAATTCCCTCGCCGGAAGCACCCGTCAGAAATCATCTGATCAGCCGACGACTAAATCTCCGACGACCACAATTGCTACTTATTCATCATCTCCGGTAACTTCAGCCGACGAATTTGTCCTCCCTGTGGAGGATGTAGCGGTTGCAAATCTCGACGGAGACGAGGATCTGTTGTCTTTGTCGGATACGGTCGTTAGCGAGGATTTCTTCGAGGGATTGGAAGAATTCGCCGTCGGAGATAGCTTTTCCGGGAACTCTGCTCCGGCGAGTTTTGATCTCTCTTGGGTTGTAAACAGTGCCGCCACAACCAGCGGGGGAATATGATTCGTCGGGGATTAGACGACGGCTTAGGATACTCTTTTTAGGAAAGATATAGGATTAAGGAATTATTCTCGGATTATTTGTAAAAATAGGAAAAAAAAAATTGTTCTTTGTTACTTTTTCGGGTTTTTCTTCCTCTTGTTTCTAAATAACTTAGAAATTTTTAATTGTATATTCCTTAAGCCCCATATTCGTACCGGATTTTTAACCGTTACTGAGACGAAGAAGATTAGCTAAGATCTCCGTCATAACAATAAAGATTAGCTAAATATTCCATCGCTATTAAGACTTGTCACAAAAACCATCGTTATAGGAGGATTTAAATGGAAATTTTGAGTAGGATATAAAAATTTTAAATACCAAGTAATATAAATATCTTATTTATTCCTTTGTTGATGCTCTTTTCGTTTATTTTTTTCCTGACAGCATGCTACAGTATTTTGGTTTTAAATTTACAATTTCTTAAATAATAAGGATTTGTTCTAGTATGTTAAATTCATTCAGACATAATAAACAAATGAGTAAGGGATACTTATGAGATAGAAAGCTCCAATACTTCGTACATACCGTCTGGAAACACTATATTTCCATCTTGAGATTCTTAACCGATGAAAGAGTTAAAATAAATAAATGACAAAGTTGTAGTTTCATTAAATGCTAAACATAGCACATGATATATATTTTGGGTAAGGCATGGGGGAAAACAATTCCCATCGCTGCTTTTACCTTCACCGAGTTGTTTTTAGTTTGGGTTGAGCCTTGGGCCGACGTGAAGGCCCACATTTACAAGTAGCACACTGATGAATCATCTAATCATCTTCCTGTGAAGGTCGAGTCTCAATCCAGTAAAGTGTAAACAATGCGCATCTTATTCGCTGCAAATCCTCACCCTACCCTTTTTATTTTATAAAAAAAATACTGTATACACACTTACTTCTATGTACAATTAATACAGCACAATAATGAGTATTCAAAGTCACTAATTTAACTTTGTGTTAGGAAAAAAGTGATTTACGCTTGCAGAGAAATTTCATAGTTTATATATGTATAAAATATATATATATATATATATTACAGATAACCTATGTTGATGTATCTTGGTATGCAGATTGGTGTTTCTTTATTGTGCTATGTTGTACATAGTAGTAAGATTTGTAGTAATATACCATTTTATTGTTCTACTTACTCTGCGGTGTTAGATGGTTAATAACATTGGTGGAAAGGGAGAATCTCATCGTTGGTTATGAAATATTAACCAAATATGCTATGTTTGATCCGGAAAGAAAACTATAACCTACCAACCTAACATATTATTTCCCGAAAAGTAGAATAGAGCGGGTATTTAGAACACCTATAAATAATAATGGGATGTGTAACGTATTAATTTGGAAATATGGGGTGTAGCTCGGGTAATATAAATACTCTGCCGCAGCATAATTAAGAGTAAGAGCAATAAATAAAGGAGCAATAAATAAAGGAGCAATAAATAAAGGAGCAATAAAATAAATATCAACAATTCACGATTCACCGTTGCACATCTCCGGTTAATTCTCTCATCGGCTTCCGGCGAACGAAGTGTTTCTCTCCTACGATTAGTGAGAAAATGGCGTCTTCTTCATCGGGCTGCTTACCACATCGTTCTTCCCGCATTCTTCGCCGTGAATCTGGAGCCCAATCGTTCCCGGTGTCTCTCCGGTAATATGGAATTACGAACCAGTTGTTAATTAATAATATTACTATTATTTAGATAAGTCTGATTCAAGTGCTTCGGATCCACAGTAGTCGGCTTTTCTCATTACTTGCTTCTAAATTCTCAGTTTAATTTATTAGTTTCCTCCTTAAAATCTGCAATTTTTCAAGGGTTTTCGCCTTTTACCTTCTACCATCGTGGAATTCCCTAAAAACTTCAGAAATCTCCATGTGCGCTTTACGCTTGTGGTTTAAGTATGTTGAAAGTTATTAATTTTCCAAGGATTAAATTAAATCCACTAATCAATCCCTAGGTGAACGGCAAGATAACATAAAGATGAAGTTAAAGTTCATAAACTTTACCCCTGCAACCAGAATTTCAAGTATTTAGAAAGACAAAACAGGATGAGGCTATTTCGTGTTCTTGTGGTATCAACAGATGGGAAGATGCAATCATATATCTGCTGAAGTTGTTCAAGATTCAGTTTTGTATATTTGGGGTGTTTATATTGATTTTGTGGTTTGTACAGAGCTTGAAGGATGGGGAAGACGAATGTATTCTCGAAGATTAGATCTTTCAATGGCATCAACAGACCCATATATGTGTTGGCTGGTTTGGCATTTCTCATCTCAGTAGCTACTCTGGCTAAGTTCAATTACATCACACCACTAAGCTTCTCTGATCGGTTCTGCAACTCTCATGGAAGCTTCGAAGGAGACGGCTTTAACATCAGGAGCCAAATGAGAAAGACGATCGAATCTGCCATTTTCAAAATCCACCAGGAAATGGATGATCTCAAGGCATTAGAAGCTTCTTCTTCTTCTCCACCATCTGATTCATCGGCTTCGGGATCCATGTTCAGACATGTAGCTTTTCTTGCGGATCTTCTTTCACTTATTCAATCAGTTCACATGGAACTACCATCGTTCGAAGAAAAATTTGTGGTGGATCATCCGTTGAAGAAGCAGAACGGTGACCCGGGAGAGCATTTTATGAGGGAAGAGATAAAGAAATACATAAAGATCAAACCGAACCGGCTTGGAAAGCAGAACTTCATGGGAGCTAACGGGACTTTCACTTCGATCGGTCACGCTTGTTTCGCGATGAAGAAAGATCTTGAAGAGTATATGGACTACGACGTTGGAGAAATCTGCAACGACGACTGGAGATTAGCTCAGAAGCTTATGGTTCACGGATGCGATCCGTTGCCTAGAAGACGCTGCTTCTCTCGTGCACCGCAATTATATCACAAACCGTTTCCGATCAACGAGTCCTTATGGAAGCTTCCGGATAATCGGAATGTGAGATGGGGACAGTATAAGTGCAAGAACTTCGCTTGCCTCGCTAGCAACACAACAGCAAGAAAAGGGTTCTTCAAATGCACTGATTGCTTTAACCTCACGCACCACGAATCGCCGAGATGGGTTAACCGAGGCGAAATCGATCCAGAGACGAACCAAACGGCGGATTTCTCGGTACAAGAAGTTTTGGAAATCAAACCGGGAGAGATTAGAGTAGGACTAGATTTCAGCGTTGGCACGGGAACTTTCGCAGCGAGGATGAAGGAACGTAACGTCACCATTGTAACAGCAACAATCAACCTCGGTGCTCCGTTCAACGAGATGATCGCTCTTCGTGGTTTAGTTCCTTTGTACTTAACCGTGAACCAACGGTTACCGTTTTTTGATAGCACGTTGGATATGATTCATACGACGAGGTTTCTTGATGGATGGATTGATCTGATACTTCTTGATTTCGTGCTGTACGATTGGGACAGGGCTTTAAGACCTGGTGGATTGTTGTGGATCGATGGTTTCTTTTGTCTGAAAGAGGATTTGAGTGATTACATGGAAGCGTTTAAAGCGTTGAGGTATAGGAAACATAAGTGGGTTGTGGTGCCTAAGAGAGATAAAGATGATAAGGAAGTGTTCTTCTCTGCTGTGTTGGAGAAACCTCCAAGACCCTTTAGATGATTGATCATATTGCATAGTCTTTTGTGTTTACTATAAGCAGAAGATGTCAAAAGTGAGTAAGATATAGTTTGATTACATGTTCCTGTTATTATTTTTTACTAATTAAAGATTTTAAAGGTGTTATTTTGTGAACCACAAATAAAAAAAAAGGTGTTATATGTTGTGAAACAAAAATAAAAATGGTGTTATTTATCTGACATTATGTTTGTTCAGGAAGAAATAGGTTCCAAATTGATGTAATTTTGACATTTGTGACTTAAGAAACAATAAACGACACCGTTTTCGAAAATCACACGAACGTTTTAACTTTGAACCAGGGGATGTAACTCTCTATACGAGGAAGAGGGTCTTCCCGTATTCCTGAACCACCAGGCTCGGACCGGTCGGTATATAAACAGCTTTGCCTCTTTAATTTCTGGGTTTGGAGAGAGATTTCTAAATCGGAGAAGAAAGAAGAGCATGGAGGAGGAGCATCTTAAGATCGTAGGGCCATTGGAGGAGCCATTGATGGAAAACATCGAATCAGAGGAGGTTAACGGCCTGGATTCGCTTTCATCGTCAGATACTGATAGCGAGAAACCAGATTCTCCCGTTCCCATCAATGCTCCGATCTACCGGATGTTTGGTAGAGAACGACCAATCCACATGGTTCTCGGCGGAGGTAAACGTACGAGCACTGATCTCTACACTCTTTCGCTTTTCGTTTCTCACAGATTTTGGTTGCTGCAATTAGGGTTATTTTTAGTCTGATATGTTGATGATGATCAGAGTGTCTTCCATCAGATTTTCGTGATTATATATATTGGAGAGACTTTATCGATATTTGTATAGAGAGATTCATGCATGGGGATTTGATTATGTGACCTAATCACCAAATGGTTGGGGTTATTATATTTGTTGAAGCTGCTGATGTGTTGCTATGGAGGGACAAGAAGGTCACCGCAGGATTACTTAGTGCAGTGACTGTCATTTGGCTTTTGTTTGGATTCGGTCATTGTCATCTTCTCACATTTGTTTGTCGTGGATCCATCCTCTTCCTGCTTCTCTCATTTCTCTGGTCCAATGCCCTCAACAAGTACAGCTTTTACTTTTTCCTGAAATATAATGCAAGTAAAACCTGATCCTTTGTTTGCTAATCTGGAAAATTTATATATCATTTTATAGTTCTCCAGAGAACATAATGGAGATTTACATCCCTGAGAAGCCATTACTCCAGGCTGCTTCTGCATTGACCTTTGAGCTTAACTGTGCTTTTGCAACCTTAAGGAGCATTGCCTTAGAGAGAGACATCAAGAACTTCGCAATGGTACTTGTTTTAGTGTCTCAAAGTCCTGTTCATAGCAGTCTCTGAAATGATTTATGAACATTTTTCTTCTTTCTTTTTTTCTGAAACAAAGGCTCTCATAGGACTTTGGCTCGTATCGATCATTGGAAACTGGTTCAGCTTCTTGTCATTGCTCTACATCTGTAAGCAACAGACAACTCGTTCTCATCATACTCTCGTTGTTTATCTATCTAGTAATTATGTCTTGACCTAATAATAATATATTGTTGAAATCCGCAGGCTTTGTATTTATTCACACGGTGCCAATGCTTTACGAGAAGTATGAAGATGAGATTGATCCGATTGCAGAGAAGGCTGTGATTGAGATGAAGAAGCATTACCAAGTTTTTAAAGCCAAGGTTTTATGTTAGATCATCCACCATTAGCCAAAACAACTCATTAATCGAAATTAGATTCGATTAGCCTAGTTTAGTTCATTTATTTATTCATTGAAAATGTAGACACCAAATCGTTTTTCGTCATTCCTCTGTTCAGGTGGTTTTGTTTACTTCCTACTCAAGCCATCTAGACTATTTTAAGTGGATAGATGACAATTTAAGTTACAACCAAAAAGAACAGTACAATTTACAACAGATTAGGCAGGCTTTGTAGGCCTCATTTGAAGCCCATTTAATACCGACAGATCCAATATTACTAGTAGGCGATTATAAAAGCGATTAAAAATTAAATTGAATAAAAGAAAGGAAAATTATACTCTTCGAGCACCATTGTTGTTTCTTCTGTTTGAGATCTCCCTCCACACCATATCATCAGATCTACACTATCTTCACTCCAGAATTCGAAATCCTTCTGTGTAATTAGTTTTCTACACCCAATACTCGATTCGAATCCATCTCTCCCATTTTTGTTTTCTCTCCTGCTACAAATCCGTACAACAAATGGCGCAGCAGCAACAATTCCTTCACCAGCGTCCCATCCAAAACCCATTCTCAAACCCTTTCTCTTCTTCTCCTCTTTCGAATTCTTCAGCCTCAAACCGTCCCATCTCTCTCCTCAGCCGCAACGGTCTCCTCCTGCTTCTCGCACTCCTCGTTATCCTCGGTGTATTCTTACCCTGGGCAGGATCTCCCTTATTCCCGTTTCCAAACAGAAGCTCTTCTTCTTCTTCTTCTTCGCATTCCAAATGGCGCGAATATTCCCTCGCTCAAGCCGCCAAATTCGCCGCTAAGAACGGCACTGTGATCGTCTGCGCAGTGAGCTATCCGTACTTGCCTTTTCTCAACAACTGGTTGATCAGTGTTTCTAGACAGAAGCACCAGGACAAAGTCCTCGTGATCGCTGAGGATTACGCTACTCTGTACAAGGTTAACGAGAAATGGCCTGGTCACGCCGTTCTCATTCCTCCGGCGCTGGATTCTCAGACCGCGCACAAATTCGGCTCCCAGGTATAATCAGATCGGTATTTGAGTGTGAATACTGATTCACTTAGATAGATCATGGATGTTCGTTGATTAGCTAGTGTTATTTCACTGATTGCTCCAGATCATAAGTTTGTGTACCCATGAGGTTTCGATTTTGAGCTGTGTTTAGTATTTCCAATGGCTGATCCTACGAATGACAATGGATTGTGAGCTTGTGGTTTTAGTAGCAGTCGTTTTCTTCATGAATTTGATCGAGTTGGAATGATTATGTAGCTTAGCTTTCATAAGCAGTCAAATTTAGCTAAGAATGGCTTAGAAATTCAGATTTTATGTATGTGGTTTCTTTATATAGTTAGATTTGGGAGTATGGATTTCATAATATCTACTATTTGATTAGCCAATGTTATTAGTGGTTGCTCGGATAATTAGTTTGTGTAGTCCCTCGAGGTTATGGGTTTGAGCTGTGTTTTGGTACATCCATGACTGATAGATATAATGAGTAACGAAAGATGGTGAACTTGTGGATGTAGTGGCAGCCACTTTTCTATCTGATTTTGATCGAATTTGAATGATAATGTATCCCCTGTTTCTGATTTTGATCAAATTTGTATGAATCAGTCCTTTAACTATTATAACATATATCCTGTTAGGGTTTCTTCAATTTTACATCTCGGAGGCCGCAACATCTCTTGCACATTTTGGAGCTAGGTTACAATGTTATGTACAACGATGTTGATATGGTCTGGTTGCAAGATCCGTTCCAGTATTTGGAAGGAAGCCATGATGCATACTTCATGGATGACATGACTGCTGTAAGTAAATTCACACATCTCCTTGACATGTCTGCAACTTTGCATTCAGATTATTTATTATCTTCTTGATTTTGGTGCCAGATTAAGCCATTGGATCACTCCCATGATTTACCACCTCCGGGTAAAAAGGGAAGGACTTATATATGTAGCTGCATGATTTTCTTGCGTCCCACAAATGGCGCAAAGCTTCTGATGAAGAAATGGATTGAGGAACTTCAAGACCAACCTTGGTCGAAAGCAAAGAAAGCAAATGATCAGCCTGCTTTTAACTGGGCACTTAACAAAACAGCTCATCAGGTATGTCGCTTCCTCCAAGTTCCACAGTAAAACAGTAACTTGCAGTAAATTGGTCTTAAGCTTTTGTTACACAGTTGTTGTGTTTGGGTTCAATAAAATTGGAGCTTGAAAGAGTGAACCTTTTTGGTACTCTGAGATTCAGCTTTATCTAGCACATTAGCTACTCATAACTCCTCTAATCTTACTTACGAATCTTCGATTATGGTATTATGGATTTTTAAATCTCAAAGGTAATTTGATTTGTTTGAAATCATTCTCAACTCTTTTCGGGTGGATCCTTTTGTTCTGCAGGTGGATCTTTACTTGCTTTCTCAGGCAGCTTTCCCAACAGGAGGATTGTACTTCAAGAACCAGACATGGGTTAAGGAGACAAAGGGGAAACATGTCATAATCCACAATAACTACATTCTTGGTTTCGACAAGAAGATCAAACGTTTCCGTGACTTTGGTTTATGGCTAGTGGATGATCACGCTCTTGAGTCCCCGTTAGGAAAATTACAGTAGCATTTAATGCCGAAAAAGATTGTTTCTCTGTCTCTCTCTTTTCTTGTTAGTGAAATTTTTTCAGGCTGCGTAAAGAAAGAAAGATCCACTTGAGATAAATTCTTTACTTGTTTCTGCTTCTAGGAGTCCTCAAAAGTTATGTGAGAGTGTGTGATAATCGCTACTTCAATATTTTTTGTTGAGTTTAGTAATCCAGTGATAATGTTAGATTGCTAAAATTGACAATTGGGTCATATCGAATTCACACCATATACATAAATATAGGGGATCACAGTATCTGCACATGGAATTAAAGAGGAAATAACAAATGATTCCAAATCGATGCTTAGACTAATTTTAGGAACATATGAAGTATAAGGTATTTTTTACCATATGAAGCATTCGTAGTGGTCAATAAATTTTGAAAGTTGAAAGATTTTAGTTGGGCAACGGCTTTATTGGATTGATATTTGAGAGAAATCTATTTCTAGGAAAATAAAAACCTTTGACAGGTTAAATCTGAAACGAATATGAAGTAGAGGAATTTAACTGATAACGAGTTTTGCAAAATCTATAAAATTTCCAAAACTAGACTGACTGCTGCTGCTTATTTAAGATTTACCGTAAATGGAAAACATAAACTAAAAAAATTATCAGAATCGCAGCTACAAATAATTCTTCACTTGATCAATGTTGGTCACTGAAGCTCATCTCAATTGTTTTTCTGGTGGGTTTCTTAAGGCCCATCGAATTAAAGCCTATCTCAATTAAAGACTAACCCACTCTCATTCGCCGGTATCCTTTGAATCGATCCCTCGACTCTCTTTCTCTTTCGCAGCCGCAGACTCGTAAGAACCCTAATTCACCTTTCACTTTCTCCGGCGATCTTTCCTCAAACCATGGCGGCGAGTAAGAAACCTCCCTTTCTCTCCTCTATTTCTCTTAGTTGATTTTGTGTCAGTATTCAAAAATAAATTACTAATGGCGTCTGTATATACAATATTTGGCAGATACTGTTCCTGTGAAGATGTTTTGGAACGCAGAGTTCATGCCATCGACTGCGACAGACGAAGGGCTCGTTCCCAAGCTGAACGCGGCGCTGAAGAGACAGGATGAGAGGTATTTCCTCAATGAGATCTTCGTCTGCGCCAGCGAAAATTCGCGTCAAGCTTGACGCGAAGAGAAGAGGCAAGATTGCTACACCAGAGTGTCCCATGACCTTCATGGAAGTTCCAGTAATCAATGCGAGGAGGAGTCCCGATCAGTCAAGTTCTGAAGCTGCGGACTTGAGAGTGGCCGCAGAGGTTTGGTTTCACGCTATTGGCCAAAGAGGTTCGGTGATGTTAGTCGTAGCCTCTGGTGACCTTTTTTCGTCAACCAATGATCTAGCAAGTGAAGGCTACACCATCCTGTCAGCTGTTGAGGATGAAGCTGCAACGGTGGGTAATGCATCGAGTGTCTGTTGGTTGTGGGAAGGGATGCAGCAAGGGGCTGCTCCATTAAGGACTCGTCAAATGCCTAGCCGCGCTTAGCTTTTAGCTTAATCTGCTGTAACCCTTTAGTCAGTGTTAGTGTTGTTTATTTTTCTGAATGTTGCCTCCAACTTTTTTAGAGTTGTGTGTTTGAATCTTCATTGAGACTATCGATCGATCAGTTCTAAATAATTTGTTATCTACTTGCTCTTGTTTGATTGATGAAAGCCTCATCTTATTTGATTGATCGTCTGCGCTATGAGTTATTATTACTTGCCTACTTTTAGATTAGTGTTTTGAGATAGAAGCATCAGGACAACAACAAAATCCTCGTGATGCTGTTCTCATTCCTCGGCGCTGGATTCTCAGGCAGGACACCAATTCGGCTCCCAGGTATAATCTCTGCACTTGAGTCCAATTTCAATCTTTAGCTTAGCTTGAAAATGGCTTATAAATTCGGGTGTTTTCCTATCCGTCTTCATCAGATAGGTATCTGAGAGTGAATACTTAGTTTTCATCATACTGATTCACTTAGATCATGGACGTTCGTTGATTAGCTAGTGTTATTTCACTGATTACTCGGACCATTAGTTTGTGTAGTCGATGAAGTTTCGGTTCTGAGCTGTGTTTTTGGTAAATCCATGGCTGATCCTATGATTAACAATGGATTGTGAACTTGTGGTTTTAGTAGCAGTCGTTCTGAGCCGTGTTTAGCTTTCATAATCTTTCGAAATGAGCAAGAAAATGGCTTAGAAATTCAGAATATTACGTATGTGTTCTCGTCAAATAGTTAAATCGGGGAGTGAGTAAGTATTCATTTGATTCTCGTGGATATATACAAATTCTTTGATTAGCTAATGTTATTATAGTGGTTGCTCGGATCATTAGTTTGTGTAGTCCCTCGAGGTTTTGAATTTGGTGCATCTACGACTGATCTTATGAGTAACAAAAGTTGGTAAATTTGTGTATGTAGTAGTAGCAGTCACTTTTCTTTCTGATTTTGATCGAATTTATATCGTTCCATCTTTTAGCTAAGAATCCTAAGATATCATATATCCGGGAGTGAGTAAGTATCAATCTGATTCTCGTGGATATATACTGATGCTTTCATTAGCTAATGTTATAAAAGTGGTTGCTCGGATCATGAGTTTGTGTAGTCCCTCGAGGTTTTGTGTTTGGTGCATCTGTAGTATGACATGGATGACATGACTGCAGTATGTAGCTGCATGATTTTCTTGCGTCTCACTAATGGCGCAAAGCTTCTGATTAAGAAATGGATTGAGAAACTTCAAGACCAACCTCAGTCGAAAGCAAATGATCAGCCTGCTTTTAACTGGGCACTTAACAAAACAGCTCATCAGGTATGTTGATTCCTCCAAGCTCCACTTAACTCGGCACTTAACTTGCTGTAAATTCAACTTGCCTTAAAGTTGTATGAGAGTGTGGATAATAGCTAATTCAATATGACTTGATGAGTTTAGTAATCCAGTGGTAATGTTAGACTGCTAGAACTGGCAATTTGAGTCGGGCACTTCTATGCTTACTTCATTGAAGTCATATCGAATTCACATTATATACATAAAAATAATTATTTATGGATCACAATTTCTTCACATGGAATTAAATGGAAGAAATACCGAGTTTATTGATTTTTTTTTTAAAAAAAATTGGGCAACGGTTTAAATTATGGATTAGAGTTGTATTTGATAGACAGTAAAAATCTATTTCTTGAGAAAAAAAAAAAAAAAAAAACCTAAAAGGCTAAAAAAAAAATCTGATTTACTACAATTTAGAGTTTTAAAAGGAGGATGGTGCTTAGGTAAGATTTACGGTGAATGAAAAACGTAAACTATAAAAATGGTCGGATCGGCTTCTGATCAAACTCCAGAGAGAAACTAATTATTTGAATTTCACATCAGTACTACCTACGACTACGAGCTTCTCTTATGGGTTTCATAAAGGCCCATCGAATTTAAGCTCATATATCAACTAACCCCCTCTCATTCGCAGATCGCAGTCGCAGGTATAATAAATCTCCTCCTTAGCGACCGATCGACGCTCAGGATCGACCAAACCCTATTTCATCCCACACCTTTTTCATTTTCTACGATCTTTCCCGAAACCATGACCGGTAAGAAAATCTCTTTCTCTCTCTCTATCTCTCACTCTCTCGTGTGTTACATTTCTATGTCTCTTTTAGAGACTCACGATGTTCTGGACAGCAGAGAGCATGAGGTCAACTGCGAAGGACGAGGAACTTGTATCCAAGCTCAATGCTGCTCTGAAGAAGCACGACAAGAAGTTCTTTCTGAGTGAAATCCTAGTATGCGCTAAAGAGGATGAGATCGACGCAAGGAGAAGAAGCAAGATCGCGACGCCGGAATGTCCAGTCACGTACATCAAGCCCCCTGATACTCAGCTGATATGCGATGGATGTCACGATGAGTTCCGACCAAGCTTTGCTGCGGATAAAGAATTGTTGATAAAATTTCTGAGGCACGCTCATGAACATCCAGGTTCTGTTATCTTAACCGTCGTAGCCTCTGATAGTAGTTTTTCTTGGTCGATTGGGGACTTGGTGAGTGATGGCTTCACAGTACTGTCTGCGGTAAAGGAGAGAGCTTCAAGGGTAGCCTATGCATCTAGTGTAGTTTGGCTTTGGGAAGGGATGCAACAAGAGGATGCTCCATTTGTGACTCGTCAGATGCGTACGCGCACTTAGCTTTAGAGAAAAGTCGTTTGTTTGTTTGTTTGTTTGTTCTCATCTCTCAATGTTTGTGTCTTAACTTAGCTTAAAATCTGTTTTAACCGTCAATGTTTGTGTTGTAACTTCTAGAGTTGTGAATCTTCATGGAGTCTAGTCTATTGATCCATCAATTTCCAAATAATTTGTTTCTACTTCCTCTTATTTGCCTCAGTAACCAAGAATAAAAACAAAAATAAAGAATCTTGTTTGATTGATCGTCTGCGCCGTGAGCTCTCCTTACTTGCCTTTTTGAGACAGAAGCATCAGGACAACAAAGTCCTCGTGATCGCTGAGGATTACGCTACTCTTTACAAGGTTAACGACAAGTAGTGGCCAGGTCACGTCGTTCTCATTCCTCTGGCGCTGGATTCTCAGGACCGCACACAAATTCAGTTCCCAGGTATAATCTCTACACTGACTTTCATCTCCTCAATCCAATTTTATCTCTAGCTCAAATGAAATTGGCCTAGGATTCGGATTTTTTTTTTTTATGTATATTTCTTTATCAGATAGGTATCTGAGAGTGTATGCTTAGTAACTGGTTCACTTAGATCATGGATGTTCGTTGATTAGCTAGTGTTATTTCACTGATTACTGGGACCATAAGTTTGTGTGGTCGTTGAGGTTTCGGTTCTAAGCTGTGTTTTTCTTTACTCGGACCATAAGTTTGTGTAGTCGGTAAGGTTTCAGTTCTGAGCTGTGTTTTTCTCAAGTCCATGGCTTGATCCTATCAATGACAAAAGGATTTGTGAACTTGTGGATTTTTAAGTAGCAGTCGTTCTCAGATATTACCTATGTGTTTGCGTCAAATAGTTATATCTGGGAATGAATACTTGCTTATTATCAATCGTCGTGGATATATACTGATGCTTTCATTAGCTAATGTTATAAAAGTGGTTGCTCGGATCATGAGTTTGTGTAGTCCCTCGAGGTTATGTGTTTGGTGCATCTGTGACTGATCTTATGAGTAACCAAAGTTGGTGAATTTGTGGATGTAGTAGTAGCAGTCACTTTTCTTTCTGATTTTGATCGAATTTGTATGAATCGGTTTTTTAACTAATATATCATATATCCGGTTGGGGTATCTTCATTTTTACATCTCGGAGGCCGCAACATCTCTTGCACATTCTGGAGCTAGGTTACAGTATTATGTACAACGATATTGATATGGTCTGGTTGCAAGATCCTTTCCAATTGTTATGTTGGGTTCAATCATATTGGAGCTTGAATCTCAAAAGACTGAACCTTTTGGTACTCTGAGATTCAGCTCTATCTAACCTTGGCTACTTATAACTCTTCCAATCTACTTATGAATGTTCAATCACGATTTTCGAGCTTTTATTACTCAGTTGTTGAGTATAAAATGATATTAAAGCCTAAAATCTCAAATGGCCGAACCTTTTGGTAGTCTGAGAGTCCTCCTCTTTCGTCTAACACCTTAGCTACTCATAACTCCTCTACTTAACTTATGAATGTTCGATTATGGCATTGTTTCAATCTCGAAGGTAATTTGATTTGTTTGAAATCATTCTCAACTCTTTTTGGGTGGATTCTTCTGTTGTGCAGGTGGATCTGTACTTGCTTTCTCAGGCAGCATTCCCAACAAAAGGATTGTACTTCAAGAACGAGACATGGGTTAAGGAGACAAAGGGGAAACATGTCATAATCCACAATAACTACATTCTTGGTTTCGACAAGAAGATCAAACGTTTCCGTCACTTTGGTCTATGATTAGTTGATGATCATGCTCTCGAGTCCCCATTAGGAAGTAAATTCTAATGCCGAAAAAGATTGTTTATCTTTCTCTTTCTCACGCTTCTCTTGTTATTGGATTTTCAGCAAAGAAAGAAAGATCCACTTGAGTAAAGTCTTTACTTGTAAGTTTCTAGGTAGGAGTCCTTAACGTTATGTGAGAGTGTGTTATATTAGCTAATTCTATATGACTTGATGAGTTTAGTAATCCAGTGGTAAAGTAACACTGTTAGAATTGGCACTTCTATGATTACTTCATTCAAGTCATAACTATGATGTGGATCACAATTTCTGCACATGGAATTAAAGAGGAAAATACAAAATGATTCGGAATTTATCTGGAGTCCAAATCGAAATTTAGACTAATTTCAGGAACCTATGAAGTATAAGGTATATTTTTGTTTTTTTACCATATAAAGGCATTCGTAGTGGTCAATAGTTATTGAAAGTAAAAAGTTTTCCTGATCATAGATTAAAAGTTATGACGGCTAAATTAGTAAACAAAAATAGTGATTTAATTGGATTTTTTTTTTTTTAAGTTGGGCAACGGCTTGGGTTGGATTGATATATTTAATAGGCTGTAAAACTATTTCTAAAAAGTAAAAACTGTTATAACACATATCATATATGGACTCTTATACCGGCCCATTAGGCCCATCAGGACATTGTACTTAACTTAGATTCCCTATGTACTCTATATATACATTCCAGTGATTAATAAAGTTTATAAGTTTTCACAACACGTTATCAGCACGATAAGACTCTCTGAGCGAAAAACCCTAATAAATCCGGCCATCACCAAAACCCTAAAAGAAGTCGAAACTTAAAAGACGCATATCTTCCAAACCGTGAGGAACCAGAAGACGATCTACATATCAAATCGAAGCCCTCGACGAGACGAATCTACTGGTGAAAACCGTTTGTCGATCCAACGTCGGACGCGCCCTCACGCACACTTACAGTACACGACGATCAACCGAAAAAAAAAAAAAAAAACCAGATCCGAGTTTTTCCTTCTTCAACCAGCAGCTTCTCCAGTTTTGGTGATCAATCCTTGGAATTTGTAGCGGCTAACTGAGGTCTATTAGCTCCCAGTTTCATTAGCCTGTCAGAAATCCAAAGGTGGAAAAGCACACCAGCAAATGGAAATCATAGTCGTAGATAGTGGATCCAGCCACACTATCTTAAGAAACAAAAGTTACTTCATAAACCTAACCTATCAAACCGCAAATATTAGCACCATCGCGGGTCCCTCAAACCTTATCGAAGGATATGGCCATGCCTATGTGTTGCTATCAAATGGCACACAACTTGAAATACCAGATGCTCTATATTCTCCTAGTTCGAAGAGAAATCTTCTGAGCTTCAAGGATATAAGACAGAATGGTTTCCACATAGAAACCCAAGGTCAAGGGAACAAAGAATCCCTCCTAGTCACTAAAACCGTAGACGGCCATAAACAAATCCTCGAAACCATACCCGCGCTCTCTACTGGACTTTACCATGCTAAAGTCAGTATGATTGAAGCTAATACCACTCTCAAAGCCCGATTTACTGATTATACTATTTGGCACGAATCGGCTCGGTCATCCCGGTGCAAATATGATGCGTAAACTAATTCAAAACTCTCAAGGGCATACCCTCAAAGAAAACCGAGCTTATCCTCAACACCTCATGTGCACAGCTTGTTCTCAAGGCAAATTGATCACTCGGCCTTCACCAGTTAAAATCTCTAAACAAACACTTCATTTCCTAGAAAGAATCCAGGGCGATATCTGTGGACCTATACATCCATCTTCCGGACCATTCCGGTACTTCATGGTCCTTATAGACGCATCGACCCGTTGGTCATATGTTTGTCTCTTGTCCTCTCGGAACCAAGCCTTCGCTAGGTTCTTGGCCCAAATCATCAAATTGCGGGCCCATTTCCCTGACTTCCCACTAAAGACTATCCGCCTTGACAATGCTGGTGAATTTACCTCACAAGCGTTTAATGACTACTGTATGGCCATGGGGGTAACCGTGGAACATCCTGTAGCACATGTCCATACTCAAAATGGATTGGCTGAATCATTCATTAAACGCATTCAATGGATAGCCCGACCATTACTCATGAGATCAAAGCTCCCGGCCTCAGCATGGGGACATGCAGTATTACATGCTGCTGAACTCATACGCATCCGGCCATCTAGTGAACACAAATATTCCCCATCCCAACTACTCTCGGGTCATGAGCCAGACATCTCCCATCTCAAAACATTTGGGTGTTCAGTATATGTACCCATTGCTCCACCACATCGAACCAAAATGGGACCTCAAAGAAGGATGGGAATATATGTTGGTTTTGACTCTCCCACCATCATAAGATATCTCGAGCCAACCACTGGAGATCTTTTCAAGGCCAGATATGCGGATTGCCAATTCGATGAATCGGTATATCCCTCTTTAGGTGGTGAGACAAACAAGCTGGTCAAAGATCTTTCATGGAATCAAACATCATTAAATTGGCAAGATCCTCGGACTCTAGAATGTGATTCAAAGATCCAAAAGATTATTCATTATCAAAAGCTAGCTAATCAATTGCCAGATTCCTTTGCTGACCCGACCAAAGTAACCAAATCGTACATCCCAGCTTGTAATGCACCAGTACGAATAGCTGTCCCAACGGGACAGACCCAAGTTGCTACAGAGTCTGCACCACGTCTCAAACGGGGCAGACCTCTCGGTTCCAAAGATAAGAATCCCCGGAAATCAAAGAAAGGTGCAATAACCGAAACCGGGATTCCTGCAATATCAGACATAGCCGCGGCTGAGACTCAATCTAATGAACCCTCAAGGGAAGTTCGGGACGCCGAATCTCCAGGTTCAGAAGATAACAATGAGATCTCCATCAATTACAATATGTCCGGAATACAATGGAATCGAAAAGAAGTCGACTTAAATGCACTCTTTGCATACAAAGTAGCACTTGATGTTGCGCTCACGCAAGAGGATATAGAACCCACGTCAATAACACAGTGTACACATCGAACAGATTGGCTAAAATGGAAAGAAGCCATAAACGTGGAGTTAAAGAGTCTCAAACTCAGAAACGTGTTCGGTCCGATCATCCGGACCCCATCACACATCAAGCCAGTGGGCCATAAATGGGTCTTTGTGCGCAAAAGGAACAAACTCGGTGAAGTCGTTCGATACAAAGCACGGCTTGTAGCACAAGGATTCTCACAGAGACCCGGAATCGATTATGAGGAGACTTATTCTCCAGTGGTGGATGCAACAACATTCCGATTCCTCATAAGTCTGGCCATAAGAGAAAATCTTGATCTGCGGTTAATGGATGTTGTAACCGCATATCTCTATGGGCCCCTGGACAACGAAATATATATGAGACTCCCAGATGGCATTGAACTAAAAGACAAAAATGCATCTCGAGATCAATACTGCATCAGGCTGAACAAATCCTTGTATGGACTGAAACAAAGTGGGCGTATGTGGTACAACCGCCTCAGCGATTACCTCATCAAAGAAGGCTACAAAAATGACCCCATCAGTCCATGCATCTTCATCAAGAAGTACTCAAACAAAGGATTTGTAATCATAGCAGTATACGTGGATGATCTAAACATCCTCGGAACATCTGGTGAGATCTCCCAAACAGTCGACTGCTTAAAAGCAGAATTCGAAATGAAAGACCTAGGCAAAACAAAGTACTGTTTGGGATTACAACTTGAGTACATCAAAGGAGGAATCCTTGTGCATCAATCGGCTTATATCGAAAAGGTACTCAAGCGATTTAATATGGACCAAGCTCACCCATTGACCAGCCCAATGGTAGTTAGAAGCTTAAGTGATGACCCTCTTGGTCCCAAAAAGGATGATGAAGAAATCCTTGGTCCTGAAAAGCCATACCTCAGTGCTGTAGGAGCGTTAATGTACCTGGCTAGTCACACTAGACCAGACATATGTTTCGCCGTGAACCTCCTCGCTCGATATAGTTCATCTCCAACTCAGAGGCACTGGAACGGTATAAAACATCTCCTAAGATACCTTCGAGGTACTCAAGACTTAGGACTCTTCTATACTAACCAAAATAAAGATGGGTTAGTCGGCTTCGCCGATGCAGGATATCTATCAGATCCGCACACTGCCAAGTCTCAAACTGGCTACGTTTTTACGCATGGAGGAACAGCCATCTCTTGGAGATCAATGAAGCAGACACTCACTGCCACTTCATCAAACCATGCTGAAATCCTAGCCATTCATGAGGCTAGTAGGGAATGCGTCTGGCTGCGCTCCATGACTCAGCACATCCGCAGAGATTGTGGTATGGACGAAGACACACAGCCCACGGTGATGTATGAAGACAACGCGGCATGCATAGCTCAGCTCAAGGAAGGATATATCAAAGGAGATCGGACGAAGCACATTCTACCGAAGTTCTTCTCAACCTCAGACTGGCAGAAGGACGGCACTCTCAGCGTTCAGCAGGTCCGATCCAGTGAGAATTCAGCTGACCTCTTCACCAAATCATTGCCTACTTCAACACACCGGAAGCTCGTCAAACAGATAGAAATGTATAGACTTAGAAATCTGCAGTGATGCTACAATCAGGGGGAGTAATGCGTGTTGTACTCTTTTTCCTTCACCATGGTTTTGTCCCACTGGGTTTTTCCTGGTAAGGTTTTAATGAGGCAACATTCCCCAGCGCATTATCGAGATCCCGATTGAGTAGCTGACCCGGTTCACTCGTCCAAGGGGGAGTGTTATAACACATATCATATATGGACTCTTATACCGGCCCATTAGGCCCATCAGGACATTGTACTTAACTTAGATTCCCTATGTACTCTATATATACATTCCAGTGATTAATAAAGTTTATAAGTTTTCACAACAAAAACCTTTAAAAGACAAAAATCTGATACAATATATGAGGTACAGGAAATTAACTGATAACGAGTTATGCAAAATTTATAAACAATCCAAAACTAGACTGACAGCTAGCAAATGATATGAGGGTCTACTTGCTTATTAAAAGTATATAAATTTGTATGTACTGTATATATCCAGTTATCCACACTTTGCAACATGTGACTGCTTTTACAATTAAGACTTTTAGGAGCATGCTGCTTATGTAAGACTTACCGTAAATGAATAACATGAACTAAATTACCAGAATCGCAGCTAGAAACAGTTCTTAACTTCTTAACGTCCAATGTTGATCACTAGACTTTTCATTCGTTTGTCACTAAAACTATTTTATTCGTAATGTTCTTCTTTTGTCATCTATGGTTTGTTCATCATTTAGAACTTGTTATGCATTTGAGTTTAATAAAAATATGGATTTTAATAAATAATGTTGGGAGTGCAAACAATTGAGTAGCCGAAAATCATTGTATTTTTGGTCTAGCGAACGCAGATGGATATGCAATAGGTAGCAATAGTAAGGTTCGTCTAAACTTGCAAACGCAAATGATCCACACAACGTGATCTTCTCTGTTAAGCAAATCAAGAATTTTATATGATGACAAAAAACCATATATGTTTTTAGTTATCTTTGGGTTCAATTGTTAGTTGATAACAATGCCCAACTTACTCTTTACCCTTTTGATTTTTCTTCTCTGCATCTCATCTAAAATTAACTACCGTTCCATCCAAAATTTAACTATCTCTTACCTCTATAGATCCAAAACACTGACTCTTTTAGTTATTAGATTCATGTTAAGCAATCATATAAACATTTTAGATATAAACTTATGAACTTATATATTCAAAGTTTTGAGACTCTCCTTGAGTTCTTTTATATATAGCGGAACTTTTGACAACAAACCCAAATCCAAAAAATAATATTTGTAAAATATTAAAATGGATATCATATTAAAACGGATTTTAATACTCGATAAACTAATTTATGTGTGTAGCATAAGAAAATTGTAAAATATTTCTCTTGGATACGTAATTAAATAAATTGAATAACCTAAAAGGATAATGGGGGATAACATATTTTTTTTTAGTCGCACCAAAATGAAGAAAATAAATTAAAAAAGTGAAATTACAAAGACAGAGAAGCAAAGATTCTTGCACCCTTCGAATCCGCAGCTTAGAAGCGAAAATCTGATTTGTAAAATTCACAGAGATTTCTCACAAATTTCTCTCTAGTCTTCTTCCAAGTCTCTTTCTCTCTCTCTCTCTCTATCCTTTGCTTTTTACTAAGCTCACAAGAATCTCTACGCATCTGTGCGCTGCTGATGCTCTACGTCGTCAACTGAATAGCTACACGCACTTCTAGTGCTTTCTCTCTCTCTCTCGAGTCGCTTTCGTGAGCTGTGATCTCGGCGGTATTTTCATTCGGATTTTGGAAATTTCCTGTCGGATGTGTTTTGAGATTTCGTCGCATCTAACTGGATTCAGATTGCAATTTAGGTGGTGGGTTGAGTTCGTAGCTTGTGTTAGGTTGCATTTTCTTCTTTGAGATTCCGTAAATCTCGCTGGAGTTGCATGTAAATTCTCAGTTAACAAAATATGGGTTCTCTGGAATCTGGGATTCCGGCGAAGAGAGAGAGCGGCGTGAGAGCAGCGAGGCAACAGCAACACCCGTTCTTGCAGAGAAACAGATCGAGGCTCTCGAGATTCTTCCTATTCAAGAGGCTCGATTACCTCCAATGGATTTGCACCATGGGTGTGTTCTTCTTCTTCGTTGTGCTATTTCAGATGTTTTTGCCGGGTCTGGTCATCGATAAATCCGATAAACCGTGGAGTAACAAGGAGTTTTTGCCACCTGATCTGGTTGTTTTCAAGGAGAGAGGGTTTTTCGATTTCGGTGAGGATGTTAGACTTGAGCCCACCAAGCTTCTGATGAAATTCCAGAGAGAAACCAATGCTTTGAATTTCACATCATCTTCTCTCAATACAACTCTGCAGCGTTTTGGATTTCGAAAGCCCAAGCTAGCTCTGGTCAGTACTTATGATTAGAAATGAAATTTGCTCTTATGCTTGGTTGAGATCTGATGACTGCATTGTGGTTTTCTCTTCTTCAGGTTTTTGCCGATTTGTTAGCTGATCCAGAACAACTGTTAATGGTCACTGTCTCCAAGGCACTGCTAGAGATTGGCTATGCAGTTGAGGTATAGATTTGTTGCTTCTTTGTGGGTGTTTGCCAGTAATCTGAAGTATGATAACACGATACCTGTCTTGGTAGGTTTACTCACTTGAAGACGGTCCAGTGCATGGTATTTGGCAGAACATGGGAGTTTCAGTCACAATTCTCGAGACTAACCATGCATCGAGCTGTGTTATCGACTGGCTTTCGTATGTATTACATTTCCCGTGCTATATATGCATTGCTTGAAAACTGTAGGAGAACTAGTGAAGCATTTCTTGATTAGTTCACAGCTCGGAATTAATCTTGAGGGTATAATTTGTCTAATGCAGTCATGTGATGAGGTTGATCCAATGCATTATTGGTTCTTTTCTTTGATTATTATAGTGCAAAATTTAGTTGACTTAACTTGGTCAATGAGATGATTTCTGATCATTGATAATTCATAATCTTCTTTGTTCTTATCTTGAAGCTATGATGGCGTAATTGTAAACTCTCTCGAAGCTAGGAGTATGTTTACTTGGTAAGAGTTTTCTATATCACGCAGTTCTGGTTTTGGTGTTTAATCATGGTATATTGAAATGAGAATTTATATAATGTGTATAGTACACACACATATTGTTACCTATGTTGATTTTTTCCAAAGTGCTTGATAGCTCAAACTTTTATTATTCTTTTGACAGCTTCATGCAAGAACCTTTCAAATCTTTGCCTCTTGTTTGGGTCATCAATGAAGAAACTCTCGCTGTTCGGTCTAGGCAGTATAACTCAACAGGGCAGACCGAACTCCTAACGGATTGGAAAAAGATTTTCAGCCGGGCATCGGTTGTAGTCTTTCATAATTATCTCCTTCCGGTAATACTTTATGATTAGTGTGCAACCACCTAAAATATTCTTTTTGTTTCTGCTTTGAAATCGGTTTTCTGGAGTAGCTTTGGATAATAACTTTTTCAGTTGACTTATACTGTCTCAACTTTTTGCTTCATGCAGATTCTCTACTCCGAGTTTGATGCTGGCAACTTTTATGTGATTCCCGGATCTCCTGAAGAAGCATGGAAAGCAAAGAATCTAGACATTCCACGGAAAGATGACATGGTCATTTCCATTGTGGGAAGTCAGTTCTTGTACAAAGGTCAATGGCTGGAACATGCTCTACTTCTGCAAGCTCTACGGCCGTTATTTTCAGGCTATAACAGTGAACGTTATAATTCCCGTCTCAAGATCATAGTTTTAGGTGGAGAGTCAGCTTCCAACTACAGCGTAGCTATCGAGGTATAACAAAGTCTGCTTTGCTATTGATTAAATCATTTGTGGCTTTTGAAGATAGAGATTACGAATCACTAACCTTGTTCCTTGGTTTGTTTTGAACTTCTTTAGACAATTTCCCAGAACCTGACATATCCAAAAGAAGCTGTGAAGCATGTAAGCATCGCGGGGAATGTTGATAAGATACTCGAAAGTTCTGACCTTGTTTTATATGGATCATTCCTCGAGGAGCAGTCTTTTCCAGAAATTTTGATGAAGGCGATGGCGTTGGGGAAACCGATAGTTGCACCGGACCTCTTCAATATTAGAAAACATGTATTGCTCTTTGTCCTTTGCTTGTTTTCTCCATGGAAATGTGTTGTGGTGTGTTCTCTGATCATTTGGCTGCTTACTGACTGTATTGGCAATATAAAATAGGTCGATGACAGGGTTACGGGGTATCTTTTCCCCAAGCAGAATCTTAAGGTTCTAACGCAGATTGTGCTTGAAGTGATATCAGAAGGGAAAATATCTGCTTTGGCGCAGAAAATTGCTTTGATGGGGAAAACAACTGTTAAAAATATGATGGCGCAGGAAACCATAGAAGGTTATGCGGCTCTACTAGATAATATTCTCAAGTTTTCATCGGAAGTTGCTTCTCCTAAGGATGTACAAAAAGTTCCTTCAAAACTGAGAGAAGAGTGGAGTTGGGATCTGTTTGAAGCCTTCCTGGATGCAACGCCTAATAATAGAACAGCAAGAAGCTATGAGTTCATAGCGAAGGTTGAGGGACATTGGAATCATACCCCAGGAGAAGCTATGAAATTTGGGGTTGTTAATGATGATTCATTTGTATATGAAATATGGGAAGAAGAGAGATATCTTCAAATGATTAATATTAGAAAAAGACGAGAAGACGAGGAGGTAAGCATTTCAGATGAGAGTTCTTGAAATGACATTCTCATTTCCATTTCCTACATGTATATTTATTTTTGGAGTTGTTATGCAGTTGAAGGGCAGAGCCTTGCAGTATCATGGGACTTGGGAGGAAGTATATAAAAGCGCCAAAAGGGCAGACCGAAGTAAGAATGATCTACATGAGAGGGACGAAGGTGAGCTGCTAAGAACGGGTCAACCTTTATGCATATATGAGCCCTATTTTGGTGAAGGAACCTGGTCGTTTCTTCATGAATATCCCCTCTATCGTGGGGTTGGCCTGGTGAGTTCTCATGTGCAATACATTGTTGTCACGACGGTCCAAAAGAGGGAAATTTTTTCTAGACTGATGTGAATGAATCATATTTGCAGTCACTTAAAGGACGGAGGCCTAGGATGGATGATATCGATGCATCTTCACGTCTTCCGCTTTTCAACAATCCGTATTATCGCGATGCTCTTGGTGACTTTGGAGCACTTTTTGCAATTTCAAACAAGATTGACCGTTTACACAAAAATTCATGGATTGGGTTTCAGTCCTGGAGAGCTACTGCCAGGAAGGTACATATCTTTTTTGCCTAAAAAAATACTTCATCATTGCTACAGTAGAAATCTGTGTCCAGTAATAATATATACGTGTGATGTAATTTGGGACCCTTAAACAGGAAACTTTATCCAAGATTGCTGAGGACGCATTACTTAATGCTATACAAACACGGAAACACGGAGACGCCTTATATTTTTGGGTTCGCATGGACAAAGATCCGAGAAACCCTCTGCAGAAACCCTTTTGGTCGTTCTGTGATGCCATAAATGCTGGGAATTGCAGGTAAGACACTACAGATTTCTTGAAATATAGCTTTATAACAATGTTTGAGACTTTTGGCTCGTTTACCTGACTGTTTGCAATTTATGGGCTTGGATGAAGGTTTGCTTACAACGAAACTTTGAGGAAAATGTACAGCATCAAGAAATTGGACTCACTGCCACCAATGCCCGAGGATGGGGATACGTGGTCTGTGATGCAGAGCTGGGCATTGCCAACAAGATCCTTCTTAGAGTTTGTCATGTTCTCAAGGTGCTTGCTTGTTATTACTTATTGATTGTCTCAAGGTAACCCTCTTTGGAAAGAAAAAAAAGAGTACTTAAGAGAGTGTTTGTCTCTTGTTTGTAGGATGTTTGTGGATTCATTGGATGCACAGATATACGAAGAGCATCATCGAACAAACCGTTGCTATCTGAGTGTAACTAAAGTAAGCAACTCATTCCCTCTGCTTCCAAAGTTCAGATGAGGGTTTAAGATCTAAAAATTCAGATCAATCCATTTGGGTTTTTAGGTGAGTAATTGTGTTTTTGAAAAACTTTCTGACAGGACAAGCATTGCTATTCACGGTTACTAGAGCTTCTGGTGAACGTATGGGCTTACCACAGCGCGAGGCGCATAGTCTATGTAGATCCTGGGACTGGTTTGATGCAGGAGCAACACAAACAGAGGGACAGGAGAGGGCAAATGTGGGTGAAATGGTTCGATTACACAACTCTGAAAACAATGGACGAGGATCTTGCAGAGGAAGCAGACTCAGACCGTCGTGTGGGTCACTGGCTATGGCCGTGGACTGGTGAGATCGTGTGGCGAGGTTCGTTAGAGAAAGAGAGACAAAGGAAGAATGTAGAGAAAGAGGAGAAGAAGAAGAGAAGTAAAGATAAGCTGAATAGAATGAGAAGTAGAAATGGTCGCCAGAAAGTAATCGGAAAATATGTAAAACCGCCTCCAGATAACGGAACTGTTACCGGAAACTCCACTTTGTTAAACGGAGACGCTTAAAAAACAGATTAAAATTGTGCCTTTTTTTTTCTCTTTTCCTTTTTACCTTAGGTCATAAGATTTGTTTCATTCATTGTTTTTTTTTTTTTTTTTGGGAAAGATGATTACTGTATAAAAAGGTCTCAAGTCTCAACCATTCTCTTTCTCTCTCTCGCTCGCATCACTCTTCGATTTAACCGACGGCTTAAACTCTCCGGCGGTGAGCTTCACTGTAAAAGACGAAGAGAGCGATGGAGGCTGGGAACAGTGACAAGGAGGAGTCACACGTTCTTGAGCTCAATCTCATCTCGGCGCAAGGACTCAAAGAACCGACGGGAAAGCTCCGGCGATTGCAGACTTACGCATCTGTCTGGGTTGATTCCTCCAACAAGCTCCGGACTCGGATTGATCGTATCGGCGCTGAGAATCCGATTTGGAACGACAAATTCGTTTTCCAGGTATCTTCGGACTTCCTCTCTAGCGAAACTTCCGGCGTTTCCATCGAGATCTATGCCGTTGGTTACTTGCGGGATCATCTGATCGGAACCGTACGCTTCCTCGTGAGTAACTTCCTCCCAACCGCCGCCGTGAAGGTCCCGTCTCTCGTCGCGCTTCAGATCCGTCGCCCTTCTGGAAAGTTCCACGGCGTTCTTAACATCGCCGCCATGGTGATCGACGCTTCTGAACTCCCGGATGATTTCTTCAAGTCCGTTCAAGAAAAAGTGGCGGAGAGCCGTCGGAGTCGAAGGATGAGAAAGTCAAGATCTGCGATCAGTTCGTCGGAGAACAGTCTCGCTGATGACGCCGAGAGTTCGAAAGAGAATTCGTTAACCGGATCGGTGAATTTCTCCGACGACGGTACGGACTCGACGGCGTCTTCTCCTCTGCCGTCTCCACTCAGAGACTGGAACGCAATTCGAAATCTGGCGGGAAAGAATCACATGCGATCGTCATCGGACGGCGGAGGATTTATGTGCTGTTTCTTGATGAAATCGTCGGGCATGTTTCGAGGAAGAGAAGTGATGGACGGCTGAGATCTGTTATCTGATTCCCACGGTTCAGATGTCTTTTGGTTTATAAACCACATGTCTTCGCCACGTGCACCTCTATCAACGGTTCAGATCTCACTCAACCTTACGCCGTGTTGTTTAGGCAGTTATGGCGGTTATGAAACTAACAAATTCTCTTAGTTTGGAATTTTCTTATTTTTGCCAACACTCAAAATTCTCTTCGTTTTTTTCTTCTTTCTCTGTGAACACATAAAAATTCATTTTAATCTGAATAAGAAGAGAAATAATATCATTTTTTGTCATATTAATTTTTCTGCATGACACATTAATAGTGTGTGTACAAATGATATATGGTTACAAAATGCTGTAATTCGTTTCTGGAGTTTAGGAGATAATTGTTGCCTCAACGGCCAAATTAGTTAAAACCAACGATTCGTCCTACCAGAAAAAACAAAATCATCTTTTATATAAAAACAATCTTCAAATTTTTCTTTTGATACAATTCACTCACCCTGTTTCGTCTTCTTCATCTTCTCTCCTTATAATCAGAAGCTGCAACTCGTAAATAAATAAATAAAAACAGGTAAGTATCCTCTATTTTCGTCACTGTGGCGACCAATATATAAAAAGTTTCAGTTCATGATTGTCGTGTTGCTATGTCGTCGATTTAGGTTTTTTAAATGGCAAAGTTTACGAGGGAGATATCAGCCGTGGAGGTGAGAGCCACAGAGGAAAATCGAATTCGATACTCTACAAAGCACATTAAACAATTGCCACCTGGCACAATTACTGAATTTGATTGGAAGGATTATTGTCCGTCGGGTTTCAGGTTATACTGTTGATTAATGTTTCATGTTATTTCTTTTCTTTTGTATTAATAGTTGATTGCTTTTTTTTTTAATACAAAAACTATGTTTTGGTTGATTTTTTTTTTTATTTGGTTCTTGTAGACTTATACAAGAACTTGAAGATATTGATCATGATGATTACATGCATTCCATTTGCAATGATGAGACTCTAAAGAAGCTTTCTTGTGGGAAAATTGGGAATGTCTTCCACATTTCCACTGATGACCGTTTTCTCATCAAGATTCTTCGAAAATCCGAGATTAAGGTATTCAAACAAAACATTCTCGTTGAAAGAATATGAGTCTTCTCTTTTTATTTTTATTGAAAAACAAATTATGTGATTTATTAGGTTATACTAGATATGCTTCCCGGCTATTACCGACATCTTCATAATCACAGATCATCGCTATGTTCAAGAATTTATGGTGCTCATGTTGTGAAGCCTATTGGAGGTGTTAAGGTGAGTTAAGGACTACATATACTAAGTCGAATGTTTTATGTTTAGAGCCATTAATTAGTTACTTAATCAAAGTTTTATGTTTGTTTTTATTTGTAATTTGCATACAGACGTATTTTGCTGTGATGTCAAACATGCTACATTCGACGGTCTTTATGAACAAACTCTATGACCTAAAAGGCTCCCCGAAAGGCCGGACTAACAAGAAAATTGAAGTGAGAAATAATACTGTATTGAAAGATGTAGATCTCGATTTCTGTTTCTACGTTGATCCACTGGCTAGACAACGCATCATCAAGTATATCTCTCTTTCTCTGAACCATATTGAATATTCTAGTGACCAATTTATTGTTCAAATGCTCAAACACAAAGGGTCATATGACGTTTCATTACAGGCAAACAAAGCTAGATTGTGAGCTCTTGGAAGAGGAAGGTATAATGGATTACAGCTTATTGATTGGTTTACAAGTAAAAGAGTCATATCAAGGTGATAATCCTATCTATAATGTTCCCTCTTTTTCTTTGTTTTATTTTTGTTTTTATTAGTGAAAGTGTTTCGTATTAATTCCGGATTTATCTCATCCTAACAAATCACTCTTAACAGATTCACTTGATGGAGTAAATCCGGTTTACGGTAGCTACACACCTCCATGTAAAAAACTTCACCAACATTCGTCTATCTATGTTTTATGTTATTCGGCAATGACTAGAACATATATGTAATATATGTCTATCGATTGAAATTGCAGGCTCATTGAAAAGTGATAGCGCAAAGTCGATGAGGACAGCTCTAAATTCTCCAGATAGATCTTGTGAAACAATGTACTCATGCTCTCCCAACAGAGGTAAATCTTTTGCTTTTGTAACAATGTATTATCAACAACAAAAAAGCACGCAATGTATATTATATTTTTTTTGGTCTACTCCAAAGTACTTAGGAACACACAAAAGAAGAAGAAAACATTTATTTGATTCTTAACAGATTCAGTGGAAAGCAGCGAAAACTCAATGACAAGCGATAGCACAAGCTCAGAAACAAATCTGATAAATAGAAACAGCAAATTAGCAACACTCAGTGACCTCTTTGTCAACAGGTAAAGAAGCCTTAAAAACATTAATGGTAAGAAACTCCATATCGAATTTTTAGTAAATATATAATCTCTTTCTTTTGTTTATTCAGACGATGCACCTCGAGCACCAATTTTGGTATGAAGATTCCGGCGAGAGCACGGCGAGTGAAGAGAGCGGCGGCAGAAGAGGAGGAATGGTACGATGTGGTTTTGTATTTAGGGATCGTAGACACATTTCAAGACTATGGTATGAAGAAACGCATAGAACATTGCTACAAAACCATCCAACATAACTCAAACTCAATCTCGACCGTCCATCCTAAGATCTACTCTTCTCGATTTCAAGACTTTGTCTCCAGCATTTTCTTACCTCGCGACGACGACGACGACGATCTCTCTCTCTAATACTATTAATTATTGTTTGTTGTACGTAATGATTTCGGTTTAATATAATTAGAGTGTTAAGAGCATCAACCTTACGATCCAAGCTGGTGTTTGTTGTCCAAAACATCCTTTTTTATTTCTACGTTGATCAATCGTATGTGAAGAAAAATATGCTATTAAAGGTTGATTTTGGTTATAAAAAAAACAATATTAATCACAGTAGTTCTTATAGAATTTAAAGAAATTAAAAACTCAAGATAAAAGAATAACTCTCTTTATTAGCTTAAGAAAATAACTCAAAACTCAAGCTCTCAAACTCATAAGTTATACCACAACTTAGGTATCTCCTTATATAGATTTAGCAACTCCTAAACCTAATGGAATTAGATAACTCCTAATTTCCTTTTTCCTAATCCTATTCCTTTTAGTAAAACACAAAGAAGATTCTAGAAACTTGCACTTCAAGCTTTCTTCTTCAAGCTTACTCCAACATTGTCCCCCTTAAGCTTGAAGTCTTCTTTAATCACTTCATGAACTCCAATGAAATCTCTCATCTTTTTGAACTTTAATCTTCCAAGTGCTTTCGTTAGAATGTCTGCCTTTTATTCAGTTCCTAGAACATGTTCCACACTAACTTGCTCATTCTCCACACACTCTCTTATAAAGTGATATCTTCTATGAATATGCTTGCTTCTTCCATGGAAAACTGGATTTTTTGTCAATGAGATTCCGATTTTTTATCAACCCGAATTGTTACCTTTTCACAAGCTCTTCCGGTTACTTCACTTAGAAGTTCTTGAAAGCATATTGCTTGCTTTGCCGCCTCAGTAGCTGCCATAAACTCAGATTCACAAGAAGATAGTGCAACAATCTCTTGTTTCTGCGAGCACCAAGTAATAGGACACTTGTTGAGATAGAAGATATGACCTGTAGTACTCTTCCCATCGTCGATATCAACATTGTGACTGCTGTCACTAAAACCCACTAGTCCTATGTGATCGGATCGGACAAATGTTAGACCAAGAGCTGATGTACCTCGCAAATACCTCAGAACCTGTGTTAAAGCTGCTCCATGAGATCCTTTTGGATCTTGCATGTATCTGCTTAATACTTCTACAGCATATGAGAGATCTGGCCGAGTATGAAGAAGATATCGGAGACATCCAGTATTTCTTCTATACTTAGTTTCATCAACACTTGTCTCTTCTTTTGCTTTTGATAACTTCAGTCCTGATGAGTCCATAGGAATATGCACTAGATTGCAATCGTTCATTCCTGCCTCTTCAAAAATCTTTAGTGCATACCTTTCTTGTCTTAGTGTAATACCGCCGATATGTTGATACACCTCAATACCAAGATAGTATGTTAGCCGACCTAAGTCACTCATCTCAAATTTTGTCGACATTCCTCTTTTGAACTCAAGGATCATCTCCAAGTTTGATCCTGTGACAAGTAAATCGTCTACGTAGACAGCAACAAGCAGAAGTTGTTTCCTTTCTTCCTTTCTGTATTGCGAGGCCTCTTTAGAACACTTCTCAAATTTTAACTCTCTCAGGATGTTGTTTAGCTTGTTGTTACAGGCTCTTGGTGCTTGTTTTAGGCCATAAAGAGCTTTATGTAACCTATACACCTTATCTTCACTTCCTTTAATCTCAAATCCTTCTGGTTGTAGCACATAAACCTCTTCCTTTAATTCTCCATGAAAGAATGCAGTTTTGACATCAAGATGATGGACTTCCCATCCATTAGATGCAGCCAAAGCAATGATGAACCTCACAGTTTCGATCCGCGCAACTGGTGCGAAAACCTCATCAAAATCAATACCATGTCTTTGAAAATAACCTTTTGCAACTAGCCTTGACTTATATTTGTTGATACTTCCATCTGTATTGCGTTTGATCTTAAATACCCATTTAAGACCAATTGGTTTTGCTCCAGCTGGAAGATCCACCAAACTCTAGGTTTTATTCTTAGAGATTGATGATATCTCTTCGTCGCAGGCATCTCTCCACTCTTTGTGTTGATTTGCTTCCTCGAAGCTCCATGGTTCATCATTGACTGATAACAGAAGTCGCTCGCACTCCGACTCTGCAAAGCATACGTAATCGCTTAGATAACTTGGCCTTTCTCTCAGCCTTGTTGACCGTCTTAAAGATGGTGTACTCTCTTCACCAATGGTTTCTGTTTCATCATTAGGATTCGATCCTTCTTCTGTACTGATCTCGTCATCAGTGTTTCCTTTCTCTGGTTCCCCTGCTTCCTCTGTTCCTTGAGGATTGTTCATACTCCCGCTGAAATTTCCGAAATCCACTAGTGATCCATCGATCGTATTATCTGTTTCTTTCTTATTGTTCCACTTCCAGCTTCTTTGTTCGTCGAAAACCACATCTCTGCTAACTATTATTTTCTTGCTGCTTGGATCAAACAATCGATAGGCTTTAGAGCCTGGTTCTATTCCGAGATGTACAAGAGCTCGTGAACGATCATATAACTTCTTCAGATTTGGTGTTTCAGTTTTTGCATATCCAACACAACCAAAAACTCGCAGATGTTCAACATTTGGTTTTCTCCCTTTGAAAGCTTCGTATGGTGTCTGATCGATCAGAGTCCTTGTTCCAATTCTATTTATAAGGTATGTTGCATGCCTTACTGCTTCCCCCCATAAATAGTTTGGGACATCCATATGCTTCATTATGCTTCTGGTCATCCCTAATAGCGTTCTGTTCCGTCTCTCTACAACATCATTCTGCTGCGGTGAGTATGGAGCGGTTAGATGTCTCTCAATGCCAGATTTCTCACAAAATTCTCGAAATTCTTGAGATGTGAACTCCCCTCCTCGGTCTGTTTGACACGTTTTAATTGTTTCCCTGGTTTCTTGCTCGATAAGTGCCTTGAACTTTGTGAATTTGTTGAATGCATCTCCCTTTTCCTTTAAGAGCAGAGTCCACATATATCTTGAATGATCATCGATCAGGACGAAGATATACCTGTTCTGTGCTGCTGTCGAAGGGGTGATTGGTCCACAAAGATCCCCATGTATCAGCTCAAGTACATGAGTAGCTCGATATGTTGTTGCTTGGGGAAAACTTCTCCTGCTCTGTTTTCCGAGTAAGCATGAGGAACATGTATTCTTCTCAATACTGATCCTTGGTATCCCTGTAACAATTCGATTTTTCACCATTGTCTTCATGTTCTCGAAGCCAAGGTGCCCAAGTCTGGCATGCCATTTAGCTGATTCACTTAACGTCATGAGCTGTAGACACTTCAAGTTGTGTACTTCCATAGAAACTTTGTATAGTCGATTTTTCGACCTTGTTGCTCTTACAATCAGTTTCCTTTCTTGGTCGTACATGTTTAACTGATCTTTCTTCATCCTTATGTCGCACCCAGCTTCTGTAGCTTGTCCGAGGCTGATGATATTACTCTTCAGATCAGGGATGTAATAAACATCAGCTAAAACCTTATGTTCTCCGTCTTTGCTCACAAAAAGGATCGCACCTTTTCCTTTAATATCAATGCGAGAATCATCTCCGAAACGCACCTTCCCCATGATATTCTCATCAAGCTTTGTAAAGAATTTGCGATTTCCAGTCATATGATTGCTAGCGCCATTATCCAAGTACCAGACATTGTCCTCGTCTGATGCTGTTTCAAACTACTCTGGTTTTACATTCTGTTCGTTGAGATACACCACCTCGTGCATCAACAACTTATTAGCTGTTTCAGTATCATCTTCTACGGTTTCCTGTGTTTCTTGCAGCTTGAGAAGACGATCAGGACATGCCGATGCATAATGTCCTTGTTTGTCACATCTGTAGCAGGTGATGTTACTCATGTCTCTTTCTTGGCGATATCCTCCACCTTGATTGTAATTTCCATAACGTCCACATCCTCTTCCTCTGCCAGAAAATTGACCACCGCGACCTCTTCCTCTACTGGTGCCATTACTTTCTTGCGATTCCGTATTGGCATACATTAATTTGCTTTGGTCTTCTTTGTGATCTTCTTCATCACAGATTCTCTCTTCGTAGGCTTTAATTCTTCCCACCATATCCTCGAATGTTGTTGTCTTGAGATCTAGAACTTGTTCAAGAGCAGCAACAATGTGAATATATCTGCTTCGAGGTAGAATTTTAAGGAATTTTTTAACAAGTTTTGATTCTTCGAGAGTCTCTCCCAAAGCAGCTGATTTTGATGCTAACTCAGATAGTTTGCCAACAAAGTCATCAATGGTGTCTGTTTCCTTCATCTTCATTCGGTCAAATTCGGACATAAGGGTTTGGAGTCTCGCCTCCTTTACTCTGTCTGCTCCCATATGTCTCGTTTTTATGGCCTCCCATACTTTCTTTGCAGTATTTAGTTCTCCATTTGAAGAACTAGGGTTTCGGGTATGGACTGAAAAATCAGGGCAGTAGCGATGTCATTCTTCTCGACATCGGTTGATTCTGTTTCCACAATATCCCAGGCTTTGTGGACCTTGAGCAGGCTTCTCATTCTGATGCACCAGACCGTATAATTTGTGGAATTCAACATCGGGCATTGAATAGAGGAGCTGCTTGCTTCCTTAGGTCGTGTAACAGGTACGATATCTCCCATCGTGTGATATCGAATGATCTTCGTATTAGAATTGTGTTTAGATCGATTCCTTAAAGGATCGCACCTTTTCCTTTAATATCAATGCGAGAATCATCTCCGAAACGCACCTTCCCCATGATATTCTCATCAAGCTTTGTAAAGAATTTGCGATTTCCAGTCATATGATTGCTAGCGCCATTATCCAAGTACCAGACATTGTCCTCGTCTGATGCTGTTTCAAACTGCTCTGATACCAAATATAGAATTTAAAGAAATTAAGAACTCAAGATAAAAGAATAACTCTCTTTATTAGCTTAAGAAAATAACTCAAAACTCAAGCTCTCAAACTCATAAGTTATACCACAACTTAGATATCTCCTTATATAGATTTAGCAACTCCTAAACCTAATGGAATTAGATAACTCCTAATTTCCTTTTTCCTAATCCTATTCCTTTTAGTAAAACACAAAGAAGATTCTAGAAACTTGCACTTCAAGCTTTCTTCTTTAAGCTTACTCCAACAGTTCTTTCATTTTCCATTGATGAATACTTTTTTGACAGTCGTTAATTAATATTTGTATGTATATTTTATTATATAAAACTTTTAAGTCTGTAATTAATATGAACGGAACATATGACTATAGGAGCTAATTCGAATTGATTAGAGTTTCGATACAAATAAATAAGAAAAGGTAAAAAGATTTTAAGATTTCTCCAATTAAGTTAAAAAAAAAGGATTCTATCATTATTAATTACTAATCCAAAAAAAAGGATTCTAATTGCTCATCCCCTATGTACATGCTATAAACAATTTGGTTCTTTCTCAAATTTTCTCTAAACAAACTCAAACTTTAATAATCTCTTCCAAAAATATATTTGGTGGAAATTTACTTCTTTATCATTTTTCTTAAGATTTGGTTATGTAATTGTGGGTGTATGTTTGATTTTGTTCATATTTGGTTTGTTCATGATTAATAATTTATGGATGTACGCACAATCTATCCTTGTATACGATTTGGAATTAATGAATGAATTAAAAGTTAAAACAAATATATATCTTTTTTGGGTGTGTATTTGGCTATGTAATTGTGGGTGTATATTTGATTTTGTTCATATTTAGTTTTGTTCAATATTGATGTATTATGGATGTACCTACAGCTTACTCTTATATACAAGTTGGAATTAATGAATGAATCAATTTAAAAAAAAAAAAAAAAATTGGGTATATATTTAGTTATGTAATTGTGGATGCGTATTTAATTTCGTTCGTATTTGGTTTTGTTCATTATTGATATATTATGGATGTATTTATAGCCTATTCTTGTATACGATTTGAAATTAATGAATGAATCAAAAAAATGTTTTAAAAAATAATATTTTTGGTATATATTTGGTTATGTAATTTTGGGTGCGTATATGATTTTGTTCGTATTTGGTTTTGTTCATATTGATGTATTATAGATGTACTTATGTATACGATTTAGAATTAATGAATTAAATCAAAAGTTTTTTAAACAAATAATCTCTTCCAAAAATATATTTATTGACTATATTATTATGAGATTACGTGGGTGTGTATATATATATACATATAGAGCGCGTGAGGTGGGCGCGCCACAAAGGAAACGTTGAATGGTTCCGTTATAGCCAATGCGGTTTACATTTAAATTTGCAAACCCTCTCTTTCGATAAATCTCTTCCACAGATTCGCTCTCCAGCTCTTGAATCGGATTTTCGAAATTCGAAACCTTCGAATCAATTCACCCAAATAGATTAATTAATTAGGGTTTGGTATGGAATCCGACGCCCATTTTGGGTTCGCCTTCAACAACGTTCAATTCTCCGATCGCATTCTTCGGATCGAGATCACTCGTGGCGGCGAGGATAGTTGTTCGAGTATCGTCGATAGGGTTCGAGATCGCAAACGCAGGAGAGAAGATTCCAAGAATCAGACTCATGGTTTGTTCATTATATCTTCTTCATCCCAATAATTCATCTTTCTTTCTTTTATTTTTGTTCTGCCTGTAATGAACTGAGAAAAGTATTGGGATCTTGTTAATTTTCCGAAAACTTCTTCATGGTTTTTTGTATAAACGAATTAAGATATATGATTTTTCAGAGTTGGATCTTGCTACATGTCAAGTGGAGCCTGACTTGAACAAGAAGTCATGTGAAAGGAATGGTGAGAATACAAGCAGCAATCATGAAGAAGCAATGGTAGCAACTAACCAAGAATCAGAATCAGGTTATATATCAGTATGAACATTCCTTGCTCTGTGATTCACTTCTTTCGAAAAATCTGATTGATTCATTGGTTTCAGGTGGTGAAGATGAGATTGATCAGCATAATCCTTCAGTTCTGAGAGTTATAGAATTACATATAAGCTCTCCGATATTGGCAGCCAGTAGCCCCTTTTTCTACAAGGTATCACTAACTATATTAGACGTAAATTTGAGATATAAATTTGATGTGTGTACAACAATTGTTAGACGTAAGAGATGGAATCTATAATACCTCTTTTGTACTATAGTTGAGAGAAAAAATTCCTCTGTTTTTTTCTCGCAGCTATTCAGTAATGGAATGGTTGAGTCGGAGCAAAAACTTCTGACCTTGAAAATAGATGCTTCTGGTATTGTACTTGTCTAAATTTGAATACTACTTGTTGTATCTCTCTGGTGAAATATAGCAATTTGAAATTTCCATATTTGTTTTGCAGAGGAAGCTTCTCTAATGGAGCTACTGAATTTCATGTATAGAAACTCATTATCAGTCACGGAGGTCCCTGCTTTGCTCGATGTTCTCATTATCGCTGACAAGTTTGGGGTTGATTCGTGTATGAAGTATTGCAGCCGTTTGTTGCTAAATATGCCTATGACAATAGACTCTGCATTGCTTCTTCTTCATCTTCCTCAGAATGTGCGCAGGAATGATTTCGTAAAGCCTTTGACACATGCCGCAGTGCAATTCCTCATCTCGCACTACAAGGACATATCCAAGTATATATATATATATATGCCTTTTTTGTCCTCAAAACTTTCAGAACATTCCTTTTCTGTTTTTTTTTTTGTTTATCTAAATGCATATTCTCACAATTTTGATAGGATTTCCCCGGAGGAGTGGATGGCTTTACCGTTAGTAGCTATGATGACCATACTGGCGAGTTCTAGTCTAATGGTTTCGTCTGAAGACAATTTATACGAACTTGTCTTGAGATGGGCAAAATCAAATTACTCTGTTCTAGAAGAACGCCAAGCTATCCTCGCTTCTCATCTCGCTCCCTTCATCCGATTCCCTCAAATGACATGTCGCAGACTCAAGCAAATCTTGACCTCAGACGACTTCAAACCTTCTTTCGCATCGAAACTAGTCCTTGACGCTCTCTACTTCAAAGCAGAATCAGTGACCCTTCGACGCCAGTTTGCCACTGCACAACCATCTCCATATAAGCGATGGTTTTTTGAACGAGCCTACAGATTCAGACCCATCAAAGTTGTGGAGTTCGAGGTTCCTCGCCGTCAATGCATCGTCTTCTTAGACTTGAAACAAAACGAATGTGCGGATCTTTATCCATCAAGTCGGATTCTTTCTCAACGGTTTCCACTAGGAGGACAAGAGTTCCATCTCTCAGCTGATTGCAACATGGACCAGCTGAATCTGTCTCACCGTTTTGGATTGTATATTTGGATGCATGGGTCGATGAGTCTGACTGTGGACTACGAGTTTTCAGCGAGGTCGAAGCCAACAGAGGACTTTGCCGTAAAATGCAGAGGAAAGTATACGTTCACCGGAGGCAAAGCTATTGGTTTCAGGGACATGTTTGCGACACCATGGGATAGTTTCATTGCTGAAGATTCTCCCTACTTCATCAATGACGTTCTTCATCTCCGAGCCGAGCTCTCCATTCGTAACAGCTCTTGACTTTGTTACCTGCACAGCCTTTTTTCCTTTTTTCTTAAGTTACAACTATTGGTTTAACGGCATTCAAATACTTAGGTTGTGTGTGTCTGAAGCAACCATGACACTTGCATATATGATGTATATACATAGTGGTTTTCAATGCAAGTTTTGATCACCTTAGTCCTTAGAATTGGAGTCAATTTTGAGGTATGTATATGTCCTGAAACTAATTTGTTTCAATGCCCATGAATCTAAGATAAATAGTTTCAGACAGCAGAAGATATATTGTTGAAACAGAGAAATTGTATAATAATCATCTTACAGGAAAACCTCATAAAGTAAACTGGTTTTTGTTTTGTTTTTGCAATGAATCTATTCGGTCCCTGCGATCTTCTTCTTCAAGGAATCAATGTCCTCAGCCAATTCCTTTCTGCTTGACTGAAAGAAGATTGATCATCAGATTTTTTTGATTCATGGCAGATAATTTATATAAAGAGTTTGTCGCAGTTTTGTTACCTTGAAGAGAAGGTATCTGTAGACGAACCATCCTGTGTACCCGAGACCGACAAGTTCCATAACTTTCGGAAGCTACACTCAAAACAAACAAACAAACATACATCATTCTGAGTCAAACCCATTCCACTTTCTCTGATATCTAAACGGAGTTTATAGAGAATGTTACCAGAGGAACAGAGTTTATGGCACCAACAACAATGGAAGATAACCAAACAGCAACAATGGCTCCTCCTCCATAAATAAGAACTGTCGACTTGTTCTCAAGACCATCCCACTGCATCAAAAACGAAAGTCAATACATAACACAGAGCCAAGCCACTCGGGTTATTTTTTCTTACCTTTTCCTTCAAGTCTGTGATGAGTTCGTTAGTGTCAATGGACGTTGAGGTCTCTTCTGATGAAGAAGCTCTCGTCTTCATCAATTCAACCTTCTGCAAACCATTCCCTGCGATTGAACCGGAGATTCCAATGTTTCGGTTTAGATTCACGAAATCAAAGTATTAAACTCCCCTACCTAATTTCGGTTTTGAAAATCAACACACTCTTTGAGTAGCTTACACCATCCACACCGGATATACTAAACCGGGTCTATCGAACTAAATTTTGAATTTTAACCACTATACCGAACCGTCGCATCGCTGAATTTCAATTCCGGGCCGCAATAATCTAATTTTCTCAGGCAATTACGCAAGTTTACTCAGGCATTTCTAGATTTTATCAAACCCGGAAAGAGAGATACGGGAAAATAAACCGGTCACCTGCAACAAGCTTCAGCGGAACAGTGAGAGAGGATCGGCCAAAAGAGCGAGGAGGAAGCGGAGGAAGGTAAGGAACGGCGGAGCAGCGGGCGGAGACGGCGGGTACTCGTGTAATCATCACCGCCACAGAGGACGAAGCTGCTACTGTCATCGCCATCGAAGCAAACCGATAATTTCTTAGTCGTCTTCTTCTTCTGCCTACTACTTCTCGTCTTCTTCTTCTCTGATTTCTCTCCACTCTCGACTTTTTTTCTGCTGCGCTTTTTACTAAACGAGATTCCGTCTACGACACGTGGACGTTCCTCGTGCTCTTATTGGTTGCTGCTCTTATCTTTAGAAATCCAACTCAGTGGTGTTCGTAGAATGCTAACATCCTGTGGGGTTTAAGGCCTGTCTTCGGCCCATTTACACTATGGACTCATTATAAAGCCCATAAAATTGATTCTTTTGTTATTTCCATTTGTTAAGATACAATATTGTAGGTGAGGAAACATGGACAATTGTGCAGACCAGAAAGAGGATTTCGAACAAGGAACTTTAAAATACTACTAATCTTGTAAATGAATTTAGAAAGAATTGTGCTAAAAAGAAATGTATATATAACAAACCCACTAAAACTGAGTGATTGTACAGCTCTTCGACCCTTATACTTCGCTGGCGCTTTCAACTACTAACCAAAATACTCCATTTCTCTTGATATTTAAGAAAATATTTGAAGTTTAAACTCTATTTTAATCTTATTTGGTAATCCTTTTGTAAATAATATTACTAAGATACCTGTTCATCTAGGAAGAGTTGGCATGAAAAAGTTCACTACCTGTTTGATTTTTTTTGTTTCCAGCAAAATTTACTATTATAACATATGTATCATTGTAATTTTTATCAATATATGTGAGACAAATCCATGTAATACAAACTTTTTTATTTTTGAATGTAAACCATGCTAATTTGGTTCAGTCAATCAAACATTTCTTTTTATAAAATTTTAAACTAATAAAAAATGCAAAACCAAAGAATGGCAAGATCATTACATCATCCGCACATATAACAATAGCCGACATCTTCCTTATATATCCATTATCATTTTCTGATTAATGAATAAAACTTCGAATTCAATTTATTTTGGGTCAATAACGTTTCTTTTTAGTACAAAAACAAAATAAAAGAAACGAAAAAAACACCCACCATTAATACAGCTCAAACCCAACTTTCTCTCCCCTTTTTTCTTTCAAGTTTGAATATCTAAGCACGGTCATTATTCTGAATTTTTTAAGCAACCATATACACATTCATCAAATCCATATTCATGCAGCTGTTACATGACCTTTATTATATGTCCATGACTCCCTTTTGAGTGTGTATATGTGCTTAATTATATCCCCTCATCTCAATCTCAATCTCAATCTCAATTATGTTTCCAAATCTCAATCATGTTTTCACTTTGATTCTGATCTATCTGGATTACAATTCTATTCGTACCCTTTAACCAAAGACGATACCTTTCTGATGAAGATCACCAAAACTCAATTGGGTCTTCGTCGTCGTTCTTGATCTTTTATTTTTTGTTCCCTCTGGCAATGGGATCTATAATCAGTGCTAATCTTGGTCTCATCGTCTTCGTCTTCTGCGTCATCTTTAATTTACAATCGATGGTTCAATGTATCAACATTCAAGATTTGGACGATCTGATTCGTTCATACGCGGCTCGTGGCAATACAAGAAGACACACAGGCTCGTTGTACGAAATTCCACTACCGTCGAATATTTCCGACATCAAAGCATCGGTTGTTACGGTCCGTAACAGTATGTTCTGGAGAAAAGGAGCCAACTTTAGTGGAATTTACATTCCTCCGATGGTTAAAACGACGCCGTACGCTAAGAGGATAGCTTTCGTCTACAAGAGTCTCGGTGATTACTCCTCATCGGTTTACTTCCGGTTAGCTGATAATTACTCTTTTGTGTCTCCGGTTATTGGATTCACAGCTTACGACGCGACGAACACGAATGATCTAAAAAAATTGAATCTTTCGATCAAGAGAGACAACCCAATCTCAATCAGGTTCGATGCTTACGTTTCACACAATCATGAAAGAAGAAGAATCAAATGCGTAGCCTTTGGAGATAATGGGTTGTTGAATTTCAGCAATATAGCACGGAATTACGAATGTGCCACTACGAATTCTCGTGGGCATTACGCGCTTGTGGTTGTAAACCAGAAGCCGAAACCCGAACCGGAGTTGGTTCGGAGGAAGTGGTGGTGGTTCGCATTAGCCGTGACCGGAATATCGGTCGTGGTTATTGTGGTGATTGTTGTTGTGGTGAAATTAGTGAGGAAGAAGAGGTTAGGAGAGATGGAGAGAGAGTCGGAGAAGAGTGAGATGATCGGAAATATTTGGATTGGTCGGAGTAGAATGCCGGCGGCGACGATGGTGAGAACTCAGCCATGTTTGGAGTATCATGAAGATCTTCCTTCTTCTTCTTCTAGATTTTTGTAGTTTTTCTCAACAGTTTTTTCCCTGTCTCTGTACAGTAAGAAGTTACATTTTACAGCTTTCCAAGTTTGTTTCTTTTTTTTTAACTTCTTTCCAAAACTTGCTTATGCATGAGTAAACTGTTCGTCGTAGTTAGATGTTGGATCAGCCAATTATTTCTGCTAAGTTTGCCAGTCTTTACGTAGAATCAAATATATTTTAAAAATGATCTAACAATGATGGAACTCGTATTTGAATAGTAGTAATTGACTCATATGTATAATATCAAAAAGAAATGTCCATAACAACAAGATAGAAGATCATTCGTCACGTACACTTCAAAAAAATATTTTAGAATCGTTAAGAAAGGTGACGAAGAAATGTCACTAGTTAACTATTTTCTCAATCCAATCAATTAATTAAGGAGAATCAAATGATTAGGAGAACAATCTATCTGTAAAGCATATCACACAATTTTAAACTTCTACATATATATATATATATATATATATATATATATTATATAATTTTTTGACCAAAAAAAAATATTATATATTTTGTCGCAATATGCTTAGTTGGTGGATATTTTAAAAATCCACATTTAAGCATTTAACAACTAGTATAGCTCATATCGTAATTAAGATGCACATAGGTTACTGAGTGTGAACGGAGGATCTGATAAAGAACCGTCAAGGATGGCCGTGGAAATGCGGTGGTTTGCAGCCTCCGTCATGTGAATTCCATCCCAACTCACATAATTGTGCGGATCATGACAAGCTTTGGCCGTCACAGTAGAATTTCTGATCACTTTGCTGGTGCCACAAAATAACTTCTGATCGAAATTGTACGGATGTCCACCGTGACCACAACAAGCTTTAATACCATGTTTCATACCTTTCATATTTTTGTAAGAAACAAAAATATTAGGTTGGGCAAATACAAAAAAAAAAAGGATTTTGATTGGTTATGGTAAAATATGAAATAAATCGAATTTGAAAGTTTTGACAGTACATACCATAAGAATTTGGGTATTGAAAGAGGTCGAACAATATCTTGTGAGTATCTAAGTAAATTACGGTAGCGTTTTTTACTTCGGTTCTGGTTTTGGATAATGTCTTTTTTAATAACGCGTTGTAATATTCAACAGCTTTGTTAACGGAAATTAGACAACCAAATTTGTCTAAATCCGAGGCGGTATGTATGTAACCGGTTAAAATCGACGGATAACATCCAACCGGTGCTAAATTCAATACCAAAAATGTCCGACCACCAATTCCATATATCTCCTACATTCAAAAATAAAAATTTTACAACAAAAAAAAAAGATGTGCTAAAAAACCATAGTACATCTTGAAATGTTTAAATTTTTTTGACCATATATCTTCTATAGTACATGGTTGAAACATTTTATTGTACTAAAGATGTACATTTTTTACAACCATATATCTCCTATAAACCATTTAAAAAAAATGATTTCAAAATAGAAAATTTGGAATCATTGTATTAATGTACTAAAAAACAAGATGCAGTTCAATGAAAAGACTAATGTTTCGAGATAGAGAAGGTTAAAATTTGATAGTAAAAGAATAATGCGTATAGTCTAATCTTCTAAACAAAATAAGTTATAAAATTTGATGGTAAAAGAATAATGCGTAGTCTAATCTTCTAAACCAGAAAGGTTATGGAGTTAATTAGTAGTTAGTACCTTAATCGTTCCAGCAATCTGGCTTATAACTTGTGGAAGATACTGTTTCACGCCATCCACTCCAATGGCTGCTAAATTGGATGTGAAATCATTTTGACCAATATAAAATGTGTATAACGATTTTCCGAAAACATCCCTAGACGGCAAGATCTTCAACGCTACAACACAAGGTTAGTTATGTTATTATCTGGTTTTATGTTGATTTCATTTGAGCGTTTGGAGATATATACCTTGCTGGTCCGAAGAATGGGTCTCGTCGACTTTAACCTTGAAATGTTTCATCTGATTAAGCTGAATAGCGAGTGAGAATGGGCTGATTCCGGAGACAAATAAGGATGTGTTTGGCAAAAGAACCGTTGATGCTAACGTTGCAAAGTTTGCGCCGTGTCGGAAATCCGACCCAATAGACTGCAAATATGGGCTTAGGAAAGGCATTCCAAGAGATTCCGCTATCATTAATTCAACATTATGTTTAGTAACGTAGTGATACCATTGGACCCGGTACAGAGCACATGCAATGCAAATGAAGCTTTAGAAACAAATATGGAAAATTTAATAATACTCATTACCCAAAAAATCAATTATGAGACGGCCGTCTGAAGCACGACCAGCAGGTTTCTTGAAATAAGTCATTCCCCATGGTCCGGATTGAGCAGGAAAAGCAGCCCAAAATCCTCCTGTGTCAGAGTTCGAATCTCCGAAATTGAAAATTGCTTTGAAATCACATTTGGAATCAGCGTTATACGAAAGTAAGGTCACAATGATCAAGAAAAGAAGAGAGAAAACTATCCTTCTGTCTAGAACGGAACCCATTTCTGATTTCTCTCACTGTGAACCAAATGTTTGTTTGTGTCATTGTGTGTGCGTGTCAGATAGACGATGAGATATTTGGTGCTATATGACTTTTGTATTTGTCCGGTCCGTGACTCAACGTGTGTGAGTGTGTATGTACGTATATACACACAAGCTTTAATTAGGATACATATATACTAATATACATATGTGTGGTCTCTTTTGTGTCAAAAGAAACTTCAGCTATTGTGTTATTTAATTACTTGGGTGGCAAGAGAAAAGTTATGGGATTTTTAGGTAGAGTAAAAAGAAATGAATGATTTTTGAACTTCATTTTTTACTATACATAATGTATTAAAAAAAATTATTAGACGATAAAAGATCTGTCATTAAAGTTGATGTGTTTCACCAAAATCAGATATGGCTTGCGTTGAATGATTCATGGTGGGTTTAAAAAAATAGCAATAATCACAAGAATTTGTTTTGCTCACAATCATGGGAAAAAATGATCATGCAATTCCCCAGTTTTTCGAAGTACTCATATTAATTCCCCAACTTATATGTTAGTAAAATTCATTATTCAAATTTGTGTTGACCATGCAAAATTAGGCTTTATAAAATCAATGTTAACGGTGTCTAATTTACCTTTTTAAAAATCCATTCAAAACGTAATATCTCCCAAATCAAATTGTAGAAGAACTCAAATCTCTAATTCTATTTTTTTTTTCTCCGAAATTGTTTCCATGAAGAACAAAAACTCTAAGGATAAAGGCCATTTTTAATTTTGTTTGGGTTTACCATTCATTTGTGGCAACTGGCAATAGCCGTAAAAATTGGCGGGTAAATAAACCATATAGATATAGAATTTTGTCCCTTGGGTCCGTGACGAATTCAGATTTATTGATGCGCGCATTCCCTAGCCGAGAACATATTCTGTAGTTCAATGTTTCTTATAGAAATCGATCTTCTCGGATATTCGGTTCGGTTTCGGTTCGGAACCAATCGGTTCCGGATATTTCGGATAGAGAGAATTAGAATCCATCGAATATTTTTATAAATTTCGGTTCGGGTTCGATACCTTTATTTCGGTTCGGTTCCGGTTCGAATAATCGGATCCGGATCTTTTGCCTCAAATTTTTAATTTGACTCACACTTTTTTAATATAAATTATATCCAAAAATTTTAAAAATATATATATCAAAACTTAAAAATATACCCAAAATTCCCAAAAGTAAAGAAAATATATCTCTAAAACCAGAAATATATACTAAATATCAAAAAAATATAAAAAAACTAATATTTAGAAGGATATATAATTATACTTTGGATAATTCGGGTACCCAATCGGTTCTCGGTTCGGTATTAGTTCGGTTCCGATTCTTCGGGTATAAGAGTTTAAGATCCATCAGATATTTTTCAAAATTTTGGTTTGGATTCGGTACCTCCATTTCGGTTCGGTTCCGATTTGGATATTCGGATCCGGGTTTTTTCCCCAGGCCTATTCTTAATTTTGATAGATAAATATGCAGAAAACTCATTTACGCCAAGTTTTTTTTTATATATATCTGAGGAAGACCAAAGTGTAGCACTTATTTTTGTGAGATGTACCAACAAAGAACTAAAAGAGTTGGGCTTGATCATTCAAAATACGGTCCAATAATAACCCAATTACAAATAAGGCTTACGAGGGTATTGACGTAAATGTACCGTCTCCGATCTGGTTTAACTGTACGCATCAAGTGGTCCTACTCAGAATTAGCATCAAGTACACGTCACCTTGTCGGATTTACCTGAATTTAATTACGAAAAGTCCATACGTACATCCATCATTAAAAAGAACAGCTTTGTTAAACAGATTACTACGCCATACGGATTTGATTTACTTCCTTTTTAAGTTACCTTCTTAAATTGGCACTGAATCTTCTTCAATCCAGATTGATGATTAATATTGTGATTATCTGTATAAGTATCAAAATCTGAATCCAACGTGGCGAAAACTGAGTCATCGCTTGAAATGTTGTCGAATCCCACGTTGACCGTAGGGACCACAACGGTATTCCTTATTCAGTGGGACACGTCAGTATCCAAAACCATTGACGGCCGACACAAGACACAGTAGATCGGCGTGGGGACCACTCTAATCTTTCTGGTAAAAATAAATCTTTTGCTGCTTTAACTAAACTAGTAAACTGATTGGTTAAAAAGCATTCAAGGGGGTAAAAAAAGATAGCCTAATTAGGTTAGTCCACGTTTTCGTCACCCGTGGATCTCAAATGAATTATACACTGCAGTTTAATTCTATTTATTGGAAAGAAAATCAGCACCACGTCAGACTTTGCAGTGATCTCATGACGAACGGTGAAGATTATGACAACGTGTACCAATCAGTTTTTAATTAATAATTAAATTATTCCAGCGCAGATCTAGACTAGCCAGCTCAGCATATGCGCCTACTTTATTAGCCCTTGTAGATGTGGACACGTGTACGGTGACGTGTGCATCAGCCTTGGCGCTCCCTTCTCTCTCTCGCCCTTTTTTTCTCTCCCTTCTTCTTCTTCCTCTGTACCGAACTCTTGTTCTAGAGAGAGAAACCATTTTTCGAGTGAGAGAGACGAACTTCATATTCGAATTGTTTTGTTCTTCTTTCTGGAAGCAATTTTGAATTTTTGGCTCGAAACTCCAGGTACGTTTTTGGATTTCCCACATCATTTTAGTTTTGTAGCTTCACTGAATTTCAGAACATATTTTTAGAGTGATTCTATATATGAACGCTGTGTTTTCCCGAGAAAATTTGGAAATTGCTAGGAAAGTGAGGTGGATTCGTTGTGTATTTTCTACTAAAATTGTTGACAAGTTTGACTCTGGAAAATCCGAGAAACCCGCGGAAATTTCGAATTTGATGAATTCTTATTGGTGGATACAGTGATGCTATTCAGATCTCTCTCCTATTTATCATTTTTCGGTTTTAAATCTATCGTTTGATGTCGAAATTGCAAGATCTAAGTTGAATTGAATACCGTTCCTCTAGATTTATGCTTTTACACAGGAATTTACTGAAAGATCTGATCATCCTTATGTTTCGTTAAGTTTCTGTGTCAGTGTTCCACTACTCTGCAACGAGAAATGGGTAGCAACGAAGAAGGAAAATCCACAAAGTCTGATAAGCCATCACAAGCTGCTCCTGTAAGCACCTTAAATAAATGGAAACTGATTGGTTTAGTCACAAGATTTGTGTACGGGAATCAACAAGCCATCACAAGTTGTTTCTTTCGTTTGTAAAATTATACAGGAGCAAAACAATGTTCATGTGTACCATCATGATTGGGCTGCTATGCAGGTGACTTGCTTTTGACCTTACTTGTTCACCAATAATAATTAATCTCCGTGTGCTCATATATAGTTGTGATGATTTGTAGGCATACTATGGCCCTAGAGTTGCCATACCTCAATATTACAACTCAAATGTGGCGCCTGGTCATGCTCCACCCCCTTATATGTGGGGTTCTCCATCGGTACTAACTTCTAATTTTTGTCAAGGATTAGCTGCGAGTTTGTTGTTATCTCTTCTTTTGGATTGAGTATGACTTTTTTTTTTTAACTGTTCCAGCCAATGATGTCTCCTTATGGAGCACCATATCCACCATTTTGCCCTCCTGGTGGAGTTTATGCTCATGCTGGTGTTCAAATGGTAATCATCCCTTCTTTTGATTGTTTCTTTTGATATTGTTTCCATGTCACCCACTTTAGTAAACAAATGTCCAACCCATCTTTATGAATGCATTGTTTACTGATTCATGTTTTCACTCCTCTTACCAGGGCTCACAATCACAAGGTCCTGTTTCTCAAGCCACACCTGTTGTAAGTCATTGTCTTTTGATTTTTTTGTTTTTATGTAAATGGTGGCTAAACGATTAAAAAAACGATATGATGGATATGAACGTGAGAATGTTTGCAGGTTACGACTCCTTTGAACATGGATGCTCCAGCTAACTCACCTGGAAACACGGATCACGGGTTCATGAAAAAATTGAAAGAATTCGATGGACTTGCAATGTCAATAACCAATAATAAAGTTGGAAGCGCTGAACATAGCAGTGAACCTAGGAATTCTCAGAGGTTTGTCAAACTAGCTGAACTCTTTCCTGATTCCAAGAGACCTCGTGTCATTATTTTTCCTTGTGTGTTTTATTCTTTGATAGAATCTAACCTGTTTTTGATATCACTAGCTCCGAGAATGATGATTCTAGCAATGGTAGTGATGGGAATACAACTGGGGTATGGGCTCCCTTCTTCTCTCAAAATAGATTTAAATTACTAATGTTTTTTTTTGGGTTCTTTATTCATATCCGTCTTTTTTACCACAGGGAGAACAATCCAGAAAGAAAAGAAGCCGGGAAGGATCACTAACCAATGGTATTTCTCCTTACTTTTGTATCCTGAGAAAGAAGACAACCCAAATAGTTGTGTTCTTCAATGGTTATAACTATTCAAAGCTAATGGCTACTAAGTCTTTCTCGGGTTCTTGATAGATGGAAAACCTGCAGCTCAAACTTCTGCTCCTTTTAGAGATGAAAATGAGAAACCCGCAGCGACCATGGTGACTCCTATTATCCCCACAGCAATGGATTTCCCACAGCCGTTCCATGGTGCGCCCCATGAAGTCTGGGTAAAGTTGTTAATATCATTCTTGCGCCTCTCCTCTCGTAATGGAAATTGTGAAACTAGTGAGAGCTGTAGTAAGTCATGTGAGTTTTGTATTTTGACGGTGTGTTTTTCTGCAGAATGAAAAAGAGGTTAAACGAGAGAAGAGAAAACAGTCAAACCGAGAATCTGCTAGAAGGTCGAGACTGAGGAAGCAGGTGATTGCTACAAAACTTTGTACCTAAAAGACTAAGGATGGAAGCTACTAAATTTATCTAATCAACTTTGGTTAAGACAACGTGTTGTGTTGATCACATAGGCTGAAACTGAAGAACTGTCTGTCAAAGTTGATGCACTAGTAGCTGAGAACATGACTCTGAGGTCGAAAGTAGGCCAACTAAACGATGAGTCTGAGAAGCTACGGCTGGAGAACGAAGCTTTATTGGTAACAGTCTACTCATCATATCACACATTTTGAACAAAACCATGAGTGTATGGGTGATAATAGCATAAGTTAAATTCCTGTCCAGGATCAACTGAAAGCTGCGCAGACGCAAGTAACTGGGAAAACAGAGAACCTTATCTCTCGAGTTGATAAGAACAACTCGGTATCATCTAGTAAGAATGTGGAACATCAGCTGCTAAATGTAAGTCTAAGAACCGATTCTGTCGCGGCTAGCTGACCGTGGCCCAAAAGTGAGAAACCCTTTTATATCTTCTTACATGGTTCTTATTGTAACTGAAACAGAAGTTTTTACTCTCTTAGAATTTCGTAGTTTTCTCTGCATTGTGAGCAGAAACTGATGTAATATCCTTAACCAGATGAGATTCAATGTGGTCTGGTGTGCTGCGACCACTTGATTGGTGATAGATAGGTTTAATTATTGTAAGCGAATGGATTAGAGATAGGAGAAGACGTATTTGATGATCTTTCGCTTCGTAATCGTTTGTGTATTCCATTGTTTAATAAAACACTTTTTTGTGTGTGTGTGTGTGTTTTTTTTCCTTCAGTTTTACGTATTTTAAGGCTTATCATATTATTCTACATCTACGTGCTTCCCTTAACCGGTAAACGTGTGTGTCGTCACGACAGAGATGAATTTCAGAAAGTGGCCAAAGTGTCGGGAAAATCTTTTCTATGTATTATTGTTTTGTTGGTTAAGGATTTGATCACATTTTATTGAACATTCTCTTAAAATATTTAAAATCACAATGAAAGATTAGAGATCACAGAAAGTCCTACGAATCCCTCCGGCGACGAAAAAAATGGCAGCGGAGAATATTTTAAAACCGGTGCTTCAGAAACCACCAGGCTATCAAGAGCTCCACGCGTCACCGGAAACTCCAAATGCACCATCATCGACGCTTCGTCGCCGGCCACCAAAGCATATGATTCCGGCGTCGTTTTACCCGGAGAAGAAGAAACAGTGGAGTCGTTGCCGCGTCTTTTGCTGCTGCGTCTGCATCACCATCGCAATCTTCATCCTCCTCTTAATCCTCACCGTCTCCCTCTTCTTCCTTTGGTACAGCCCGAGACTCCCCGTCGTACGCCTCGCCGCCTTCCGCGTCAGAAACTTCAATTTCTCCGGAGGAAAGTCCGGCGACGGATTCTCGCATTTGACGGCGGAAGCCACGGCGAGGCTAGATTTCAAAAACCCTAACGGAAAGCTACGTTACTATTACGGCGACGCCGACGTGGCGGTGAGCGTAGGAGAGGGCGACTTCGAGACGAGTCTAGGGTCAACGAAAGTGAAAGGGTTTGTGGAGAAGCCGGGGAATCGGACTGTTGTGATCGTTCCGATCAAAGTGAAGAAACAAGAGGTGGATGATCCGACGGTTAAGAGGCTTCGAGCGGAGATGAAGAGTAAAAAGTTGGTGGTGAAAGTGACAGCTAAGACGAAGATAGGATTGGCTGTGGGAAGGCGTAAGATTGTTACGGTGGGGATTAGTCTCAGATGCGGTGGCGTGAGATTACAGACGCTTGATTCACAGATGGCTAAATGCACCATCAAAATGTTTAAGTGGTACGTCCGCTCCTTTTTTTTTCTTTTTTGGGTAATTAACAGCAACGACGTTCTTTGACTAGTGCAAACAAACTTGATTAATGTTCCTATTGGCAAATAAATAATTAAAATGCAGGATTAAATTGCACTCATAAGTTATTATGATGATGATGATGGATGTGTTCTTTCATCGAAGATTCAAGCGTGAAGACGTTGCAAACGTTCAGACAAGTGTATCTGTATTTATTTTTTTAATTTTTTCCCTTCTTGTTCAGTTGTTCTCACTTTTCGCTTTCATATAGTGTAATTACAATCCAGTTCAATCATTTTGATGATTTTAACTACGGTTAATTAACCAGAACTGTCTTAGCGTTTTGAAGGTCTGAAACGCCTTTAGCAAACCAAAAAGGTCCCAAACGCCTACAAAACACTTTTCATTCCAATAATTATTATTTTAAAATATTCATATAAAATTATACTACCCGTAATTCAGAAAAAAATATCCATTTTTAGTTCAAATGACAATTATTCAATTAATAAATCATAATAATCAATACAACAAACTTTAAAGAAAAATAGTAGACGTTTTCGGAAAATATACTAAAACTAAAAGCAAGATGAAAAAAAATTATGAAGAAGTTTTACAAAATAAGAGTAATTTTTTTCATTAAAGTAAAGAAAATAAAGAGAAATGTCTTCTACTTCATTAAAAGTTAATCGAACAGTAGTGGCATACAATATATAAAAGGAAGGATGTTTGAAATGTGAATATGTTGAATCAAAATATACTCCATGTAGTACATTGAAACTGTCGTAGATATGAATGAAGAAGACTCATATTTCAATAAGCTAATACATTTTTAGTTAGAATATTTTTTTAACGAAATGTTTTTCAACCACCATAACTATCTCAAAAATCAAAACAAGATTTTAATAAACAACTAATGTATATATATATATGATACAACATGATTGTGTCTATCACTTAAGTTTTTTCATAGATCTAAAACATAACACCTTTTAAACTAACTAAATCAAAGTGAGAAAGCTTACGGTGGAAATCAAACACAGAGAAAAAACAAGTTTACGCCTTGTCCCCAAATCTTTTACCATCAGGCTGTCAACGCTTGGTTAATAGTTTCAAGTCTTCTTTGCATTTTATTTTCTTTTTGTAATCATCTACTCCGCTTATGTTGTTTTTTTTGCAACTAAGTCAGTTTTTTTCATTTGATCATATTGTATAAAATATCTGTCAATATGTTGCCAATTGCAATTTAAATGATAGAGGAGTGTGGCCGATTGATTAGCTATCGGCCGATAAGACCTCTCCATAATTGAAAGCTTGGAGCTTTCGATATATGACAAACACACAAATCCCAAAAAAGCAAATCAAAATAATGTTAGCTTTATTTCGTCAATAATGTTAGCTAAATCAATAATCGAGCTTCTTTTTGAAGAAAAAAATGGGACATATTAACCTTTTTCTACGTACTCTTTAACAATTTAACCACATACATAAATTTCTATAAAGTGATTAGTCTAAACTTAGGTAAAATAGTTAATACCTAGATGAAAAATATAAGCACAACGATGCTTATAATTGAAAAAAAAAACATACATTTTTAAGTCGAGGGTGATGAATACCTGTGTATTAAACTAAGCAAAATGTTTGGTTCAATTTTTTTGTTTGTTTGAGAATATTTATATATAATTTAAAACCCATATATGTGTATAGCATCAAAAATAGCTAAACAATTAGTGATTTTGATGTAATAATCTCTCTATTATCTAAACAATTAGTGATTTTACGGTTGCACGAGATACACGTTCCTAATAATTTACCTTCTAGAAAAAGTAATAATAATACAGGTTCTAGAAAAAGTAATAATACAAAATAGCCACTTATTACAGTTTATGACGGTCTTATATGAGTTTTTCACCTTTTTCTAACTAACTTTTTCAACAAAAAAAAAGGGGAATGTTTTGGTTTGATCATTATATATTTATATGAGTCTTTTTTTTGGGTTTTGCACAAGATGAGCAATGCGAATACAATAAATTGATATACCAAGTGTCTTAAGCCATAGTCGTGCAACGATTACAGATTTTGGCCTAGGAGTCCTCCAGGTTTCAGGTACCTGATCCAATCGAATAGGTAAACTTTCTATATTCTAATATTCAAAACATTCATTTTTATACCATTTTAAAAAGAGACAAATTAAAACTTGATTAACCGATTGATCTACATTTTGATGTAGTATTATCTTTATTTTGTGTAGACAACCACCTTTTATTTTGTTTGGCCCAACATCTATTTTTCATCAACCAAACTCTTAAATTATAAGGGATTAGAATCTCCATAATTTTGTTCATGCTTCCTTTGTTCTACTTGGTATTTTTTGGCTTTGATTTGACTCTTTATCCACCTGAACATGAGACTTCACCCTTTGGCACTATAGAATACAACTATGGAGCATAATTCATACATGAAAAAGAGCTTCCTTTGCTACCCTATCCACCACACCATTTCCTTCTCTAGCTTGAAACCAAATCGATGCTTCTTCAAGATGAGACATGAGGAATCGTAAGTATATCATGTATAAACGGATTGAGACTAGGCCATATATCCTCACCTTTGACTAAAGATAACAACTCTTCTGAATCAGACTCAAAATATGATCTTGTTGTATCCAAACCGCTTGAGTGATCCATGTAGCTCACCTCAAAGCTTATGCCTCTGTTCCTATCATTGATCTTAAATCTCTGAAGCATTATTGTCTCCAATCAGAGCACTTAAACCTTGATCATGATTTCTTATGACCCACAATCTGTCTCCCTCTATTAGCCAGAGACCCCATCAACGTTACACTCAACCCATTCCTGATTGAGGTGGAATCCATTTTGACAACCACCCACTTTGTGTTGCACGAGATTCACGTTCTTTACTTTGAAATATGTAACTTCATTATATAAGCCCATACCGGAACAACTTCCCCAATCCATTCAACATCCAAAACCAGTAAACGAAGCAGAGGAGAGAGTGAACTGAAAAAAGAAACCATGCCGGAAGAAGAAATCCCCGTCGTGGATCTAAGTAACCCCGACGAGGAACAAGTGGCGCGTGCGGTGGTGAAAGCGAGCGAAGAATGGGGGATTTTCCAGGTGGTTAACCACGGGATCCCGGCGGAGCTTATACGACGGCTCAAGGAGCTAGGAACAGAGTTCTTCGAGCTCCCGGAGACGGAGAAAGAAGCGGTGGCGAGACCAGCTGACTCAACAGACCTCGAAGGATACACAACGGATTACAAGAAAGATGGACAAGGCAGAAAAACATGGGCCGATCATCTCTTCCACAGGATCTGGCCTCCCTCGAGAATCAGCTACAGATTCTGGCCTAAAAACTCCCCAGATTACAGGTAAAAAATACACCTTTACCCAAAATCAATTGATTTCTCTCTCTGAATTAAACTAATATCTGGAACAGGGAGGTGAATGAGGAATACGCAAAGCAGATAAAGGAGCTATCGGAGAAACTCATGGGGTGGTTATCTGAAGGGTTAGGGTTACGTCGTGACGCGTTGAAGGAAGGTCTCGGCGGAGATACGGTGGAGTATCTGATGAAGGTCATCTTCTATCCGCCGTGTCCAGATCTCAGCCTGCTCTTCGGAGCTCCGCCTCACACTGATCTCAATGGACTCACATTCTTAATCGCTAATGAGGAAGAAGGACTTCAAGCATACCAGGATAACAACTGGGTCGACGTCAAGTATGATGACTCCAGGATCGTCGTCATCGTCGCCGATCAAATCAGGGTACAAATCTCTGCAACTCTCAGATCACAAAGTTTTTGTTTTTCTTTTTGACTAATTGTTTTTGTTTTGATAAAGAAAATTTAAATTTTGGATTGATAAAAACATATTTTTTTTTTTGCAGAGGATGAGCAATGGGAGGTATAAGAGTGGGCAGCATAGAGCGACGATGGATACGGAGAGGACGAGAATCTCGTGGCCGGTTTTTGCGGAACCGAACCTTGATCACGTCGTCGGACCTTTGCCGGAGCTAATCTCCGGCGAAGATAACGCTCCCAAATTTAAGCCTTATGTCTACAGAGACTACAAATTCCTTAAGATGAACAATCTTCCTCTCGACTGAGATCAAATCTCATAATCCAGAAACAGAGGAGAGATGATGATGAACAACTGTTTCCTTTTTTTTTTTGGATTATTGCGTCTCGGTCTTGTCTGCTTTAATGATTGATGTTCATGTTTCAGTTAATTATGTCTTGTATGTGTGTAAATTTTAATGGTGACATTTATATATCATTGTTATTATGCATTGAATTTTGCTTTCTTTTTGGTTTTCTACTACTCACGTAGATTTGACAACATCAACGGTATATTATTACTGACCATAATTAGGTTCTACGTTCCGTTTTTTTTTTATTATGCCACTGACTCTTGGACTAGAAAACGGCATGCACTTTTCAAAAACACCATAATTTTTGCTTTGCAACGCCTCTCCAGTCCTCCCTTAAACCCATCTCTCTTCTGTTTGTCTGTTGTTGGGGTCGATTTCCACCCCACACAGATAAACCATCCCAAAATAACTAAGTATAGAAAATGGGAGAGCCGTGATCATCAAAACGGGAGAGCCGTTCTCACCAAGGCAAGAAGGAGAGCCGTTTCCACCAATAAAGGTGGGAGAGCCGTTTTTACCGAGAAAGGCGGGAGAGCCGCGATCGCCAGATGGGAGAGCCGAGAAGAAGGAGATGGGCCGAGCCGTATAACATAACATAGGCCGAGCCCCTGTCTTAAATACCTGGGCCGAGCCGTGCTGCGGAGAGGTGGAGCGAATTATGCCAAGTGGGCCGAGCCGTAAAGAAAGCATGACGGGCCGAGCCGAAACCTTGAAGAGGCGAAGCCCACGAAAAACCCTAGGCGAGATGCAAAGTCGGTCAGCCGCACGAGGCGATAAGGAAATATTCCGAAAATCTCGCCCGAGATTCTCGGCTAGGCGGTTTAGAAAATCAGTATAAATATGTGGTGTATGTAATTCATTCCGCCAACTTTTTGGCAAACCTAAGCAATAAGAACGAAACACTTTCACAGCAAGAAAAGCTCTCTTTTGATCTTACTGTCTTTGGCGATAAACCCTAGAAGTTTCCGATCCCTTAGTTTCTTTACAAATCTTTGGTTGTGCGAGTTTTGGCTCACACAATTTGGCGCCGACTGTGGGGACACGAAACTTTCTTACTCTATATCGACAACGCTTTAAGATTCGAAGAAAATGGCGAGCAACGCTAACGACGACAACAACAACACCGGTAACGGCGCGGATAAGGACGCTCCAGGATCAGGCACAACGACCGCGCCGACAACAACGGCGACGACCGAAACCCATGAGGAGATGCGATACATGATAGCTGCGTTGATGAAAAAGATCGACGACCAAGACAAAAGAAACGAGGCGATTACGGCGAGGCTCGACGCAATGGCAGCAGAGCGACAGCATCCGACTTGGAGAGCCGGAGTCAACGACCCGATGGACGGAATTCGGAGACGCTTCGACTTCTCGACGCCCGCCGAAGCCTCAGGGAGTGGTGCAAGAAACTCCTCTTTTCTTCGTCCCCTCGACGAACGCACTCCTGCAGCAACCCGGGTCAACATGACCGAGCCGCCTCCACTACGCCGCAACTCCAGGCAACGAGCCGGTGAGGAAGGAGACGACGCGATCGATGTAGACGCCCAGCAAAACGACGAGACCATAAATCCGCAACAAACTGGCTCGGCTCGTCGAATCAGTGAAGAAGAACTCGCCTCGGCACTGAACGGCATCCGGACTGACGAAGTCTCCGATCCAGCCCGAGGCGATAACCCAACCGAAGCGGACGAAAATCCCCAATGGAACGAGCAGGAAGAGCGCGAAGACGAGCCGAGGCGAGAGGAGCGGGAGCGACTCCCCCAACCAAAGGGAATGACTCACGCACAAACCCTCGAGTTTAAAGAGCTGCGGGCCTCTATGGCTCGAACGGTAGCTGAAATACGCGCTATGAAATCCCAAGTGCACAACGCGACAAGTGCCGCACCCGAAATCGACCGAATGCTCGAAGAAACCCAAAGAACCCCGTTCACTACAAGGATCACGGAAGCCAGGATTCCCGAGCCAGGGAAGGTGAGAATTCCGTTCTACGAAGGAACAACCGACCCAAAAGCACACATCACAGCGTTTCGAATAGCGATGGGGCGAGCCTTCACAAAGAACGCCGCTAAACTCACCGAGCGCGAAGTGGATGCCGGATACTGTGTGCTCTTCGTGGAGCATCTCAAGGGAGCCGCACTCGAGTGGTTCTCAAGGCAGGAACAAAATTCAATCGGCAGTTTTCAGCAGCTCTCCGCCTTGTTCCTTAAACAATACTCGATGTTTATGGACAGAGGAACATCTGATGCCGATCTATGGACACTATCTCAAGGACCGAACGAACTGCTTCGGGATTACATGATGCGATTCAAGGCGGTCGTATCCAAAATAGAAGGGATAAGCGACAAGGCTGCACTCGAGGCTCTGAAACGATCCTTGTGGTACAAATCCGAATTCCGCCGCGAGATGGCTCTCAATACGCCGCAAACAATTCAAGACGCGTTGCACCGATCATCAGACTTCGTCGTGAACGAGGAGGAAATGAAAAACTTGGACGAGCAGTACGAAGCCACGAAAGCAGCGATCCGAAGCTCAATTTTGCCACGCCCAGCGAAGAAGGGCAATCCATCAAGCAACGCGGCAACGCAGAGTTCGGAAGAGCCTAGGAGCGGAGGTGCCCATAACTACCAGGTCAGCTCCGGACATGGAAGAGGAGAGCCGCGCAACAATACTTGGGTAAGAAAGTCAGCCAACTACGACGAGAAGGCTTTCTGCGAGTATCACCAGACCTACGGACACTCAACGGCTCAATGCCGGACCCTGGGAGCAAAGCTCGCAGCCAAAATGGCAGCAGGAGAGCTCCAAAACGCGGTCAGCCTCAAGGACCTCGTCCCTAACGAACAACAGGAAAAAGCCGAGCCGAACGGTGCGTCGGAACCAGCGAATCCTCCCCGACGAGGCGACAACCCCAAGCGCGACAGGCGAGGCGAACCTGAAGAGCGACCCGAGCCGAGGCAAAGGATCAATATGATCATGGGTGGATCCCAGTACTATCAAGATACCGTGTCCTCAATCAAAGCCTATCAGCGCCGAGCCGAAGCAAAGGAGAATTGGACAGAGCCGACTGACATCCCAAACACGGTGATCTCTTTTGCTGAGGAGGAAACAGCAGGAATCGATCGACCTCACAATGATCCGTTAGTAGTTGAGCTAATGATCAGGGATCATGACGTAGCAAGGGTGCTCATCGATACTGGAAGCTCGGTGAATGTCGTCTTCAGGGAAACGCTCAGAAGAATGGGAATCGACCTCTCCGAGGTGGAGGCAATCCCCAAACCTCTAACCGGATTTTCGGGAGAAACGACGATGACTATGGGAACGATCAGGCTTCCTGTGGTCGCTGGCGGAGTCACCAAAATCGTCGAGTTTTGCGTCACTCACCTCCCAGCCATCTATAACGTCATCATGGGAACCCCTTGAATCAACGGGATGAGGGCGGTACCTTCCACCTATCATCTTTGTCTCAAATTCCCAACTCCATCAGGTGTCAAAACGATATGGGGAAATCAGAAGGAATCAAGAAATTGCTTCCTAACCGAGCACAAGCTAAGGAACCCCGTCACCGACGCACGAGCTGACATAGACCGCAAAAAGATGAAGACAGACAGAGAGCCCGCGAACGAGCTCTCCAAACTCTTATAGCAATTACAGATCGCGGAGAGCCGCGAAACACGCACCGAGCCGATATGTGATGCAGTGGACTCGGTGTGCATAGACGAGGCGCATCCAGAGCGGTGCCCCTGAGAAGCAAGCTCCTTTCCCTCCTCAAGGAAAACATCGATGCCTTTGCCTGGACAGCGGAAGACATGCCAGGCATCAGCGTCGACGTAACCTGTCACGAGCTTAATGTGGATCCAACCTTCAAACCAGTCAAGCAGAAAAGAAGAAAGCTTGGTCCAGAACGAGCTAAAGCAGTCAACGACGAAGTTGAGAGATTACTCAAGGTAGGATCAATCGCCGAGGCCAAATATCCGGACTGGCTCGCAAACCCGGTGGTTGTGAAGAAGAAGAACGGCAAGTGGCGAGTCTGCGTGGATTTCACCGACCTCAACAAGGCGTGCCCAAAAGACAGCTTTCCCCTGCCACATATCGACCGGCTCGTCGAGGCTAATGCGGGGAACAAACTGTTAACGTTTATGGACGCGTTCTCCGGCTATAATCAGATCCTGATGCATCCTGATGATCGGGAAAAAACGGCATTCATAACCGATTGCGGGATATATTGCTGCAAAGTCATGCCGTTCGGGCTCAAAAACGCAGGAGCAACGTATCAACGGCTCGTCAACAAAATGTTTGCAGCTCAGCTCGGGAAAACTATGGAGGTATACATCGACGATATGTTAGTTAAGTCACTCGAGGAGGAAGACCACGTCGCGCACCTACAAAAATGTTTTGAACAGTTGAACAAGCACAACATGAAGCTAAATCCGGCGAAGTGCAGGTTCGCAGTCACCTCGGGAGAATTCCTCAGCTATCTGGTAACCCACCGAGGCATCGAAGCAAACCCCAAGCAGATTAAGGCGTTAGTTGAAATGCCCTCTCCAAGGACGAAGCGCGAAGTACAAAGGTTAACAGGGAGAGTCGCTGCGCTAAATCGATTTATCTCCCGTTCCACGGACAAATGCCTGCCTTTCTACGACACCCTCAGAGGAAACAAGAAATTTGAATGGGACGAACGATGTGAGACGGCTTACCAAGAACTGAAGACTTATCTGGCGAGTCCGCCAATCTTAGCAAAACCGGTCGAAGGAGAGCCGCTCTTCCTCTACATCGCGGTGTCTGCTACAGCTGTAAGTGGGGTATTAATCAGAGAAGAACGATCCGAGCAAAAACCCATTTTCTACATCAGCCAAACACTGACCGACGCCGAGACCCGCTACCCACAAATCAAGAAGGTCGCCCTAGCCGTCGTAGTCTCGGCTCGCAAGCTGCGCCCATACTTTCAGTCGCATTCGATTGTTGTGCTCGCCACCCTTCCGCTGCGCTCGATCCTGCACAGCCCAAGCCAATCCGGTCGGCTCGCCAAGTGGGCCATAGAGCTGAGCGAATACGACATCGAGTATCGGAATAGGTCGTCTGCAAAATCACAAGTGCTCGCTGATTTCCTCATTGAACACCCGGCCGAAGCAACAAACGAGCCAACCCTAGACGAAGTATGGACATTGCACGTCGACGGCTCGTCATCTAAACATGGCTCGGGAATCCGCCTTACCTCTCCCACCGGAGAAATACTTGAGCAGTCTTTTCGCCTGAACTTTCACGCCTCGAACAACGAAGCGGAATACGAAGCACTGATCGCCGGCATACGACTAGCACAAGGAATCGGAGTTCGAAAAATAAGAACCTTCTGCGACTCGCAGCTCGTAGCATGTCAGTTCAACGGAGAATACGAGGCAAAGGATGGACGTATGGGCGCTTACCTCAAAGTGGTCCGGGAGTTGGTGCAAAAGTTTGATGAGTTCGAACTCACTCGCATTCCCCGAGGAGAAAACACCTCGGCCGACGCCTTAGCAGCACTCGCTTCAACCTCGGACCCGGACCTCCGACGAACGATCCCAGTCGAATTCATCGAACGCCCTAGCATCGAAGAAGTAGAAGGAGTTCGGCTGATAAATCCCCCTGAACAAGAACCAGAAGACGACGAAGCCATTCCGATGGAGGAAGACGCCTCGTCGGCCGAGCCAGAATACGGCTGCGACAAAGAATGGCTCGGGGCCATCCCAACGTACATCGCCGACAGAGAGGCGCCAACCGACAAATGGGAAGCCCGCAAGCTTAAAGCTCAGGCAGCATGATATGTCCTCGTCGATGGCGAGGTGTTTAAATGGAGATTTTTGGGGCCTCTCACGAAAGATCATGCACGAGGTGCATAGCGACGCGTGCGGTAACCACTCCAGCGGAAGGTCGCTCGCTATCAAGATAAAACGGCACGGCTACTTCTGGCCTACGATGGTCAAAGACTGCAAGAAATTCACGGCGAAATGCGAGAAATGTCAGCGGCACGCTCCAACAATTCACCAACCTACCGAGCTGCTCTCGTCAATTTCGTCGCCCTATCCATTCATGAGATGGTCGATGGACATCGTCGGACCTCTATATCGCTCGAAACAAAAGCGTTTTCTGCTCGTCCTCACGGATTACTTTTCCAAGTGGGTCGAGGCCGATTCTTACGCAAGTATAAAAGATGTTCAGGTCGAACACTTCGTCTGGAAAAATATAATCTGCCGACACGGGGTCCCTTACGAGATCGTCACCGACAACGGATCCCAGTTTATTTCAACACGCTTCGAAGCTTTCTGCAAGAAGTGGAAAATCCGCCTCAGCAAATCCACGCCAAGATACCCTCTAGGGAATGGACAAGCCGAAGCAGCCAACAAGACGATCCTCGATGGTCTGAAAAAGAGGCTCAACGAGAAGAAAGGACGGTGGGCAGACGAACTCGAAGGAGTCCTTTGGTCTCATCGGACAACTCCGCGCCGAGCCACTGGGGAAACTCCATTCGCTCTGGTCTACGGATCGGAGTGCGTAATTCCCCCCGAGGTGGACTTCCCAGGTATTCGACGAAGACTTCTACCAGGACAAGAAGGTTTAAACCACTTAATGATGCTAGATGAGCTCGACCTAATCAACGAAAAGCGCGACCAAGCCCTAGTTCGAATTCAGAACTACCAACAAGCAACGGCGCGGTACTACAACAAAAACGTTCGTAGCCGAAGATTCAAAGAGGGAGAGCTCGTCCTCCGAAAGGTCTTCCAAAATACTGCCGAGAAGAACGCAGGAAAGCTCGGAGCAAATTGGGAAGGTCCTTACAAGATCACCAAAGTGGTTCGTCCGGGAGTCTACGAACTCGCGACACTAGCCGACGAGGCGATTCCAAGATCATGGAACGCAATGCATCTGAAGAAATACTATCACTAAGGATACAGCACGACCATCATGAACTACGGGACGGCTTGATCCCTGCAAAGGGTACGTAGGCAGCCCGTCTTCGGACGGGTTCAGCTGTCCCCCCCCTAAAAAGGGGGGGGGGGGAGTGGGTACATATACACATACCTCCTCTAAACTCTATTATTTTGACTTACCGATTTAGGAACGTCGCCACTTCGGCATATTTCTCACTTCATTTTTAATCATCTACTTATTTCACTTGATTTCTAGTTAAACTATTATCGCTTCGGCTAGCTTCACATTGTAACAAGCTCGAATTTTTAAATTTTATCACTCATCACTTCGGCAAGAAATCATACCACTTCGGCATGATATCATGACCCGATTACCTTGGACCCTAATCGGTACTCAATTTTAGTTCGGCAAACTAAGCCTCTGAACGCCTAGCCTCGTTGCTGGCCACAACGGGGCAACAAGTACAAAGTTCTCTAAACGGACTTTTACCACATTTCCTAGGACGAGGGTGCAAGTTACATCCTCTACAGATAAAAATTAAGCGCGCTATACAAATATCAGACCAAAAACGTATCTGGCCGCCACGGTTTACTATCGCACACGAGAATATAAGTCGAGACTACATCGCTTTCTCTAAAAACCGAAGTAAACTCTTAAACCCGGGTAAACATACTCGAGAACACCGGTCCTTAGACAGGTTCGATAACACTTCAACCTCGGCTAACAAAAGCAAAACGCCTCGTCGCCTATACAGCTCGGCGTCACGCCAAGCGAAAAAACGCCTCGTCGTTTACACGGTTTGGCAAAATACGCAGCAAAAACGCCTCGTCATTAAAAAATGGCTCGGCATTACCAGACAAAAAGTCGCCTCGACATTATCACTTTAAAAAGTTTTCCAGCATCACCTAAAAGATGTTCCACAAAACTAACTCCCACTTCGGGATTAAGAATCCAAACGATGTCCTTAAACGAACTCAACCCTTAGCCAGTACTTCTATCATTTTCAAAGGATTCGGCTAAGGAAGCAGTTAAAATCATTACAACAGTTTTATCCTCAACAATTTTCTCTATTCCAAGGGTTGAAAATAAGTACATCAAATCCTAAAACAGCTAAGGGAAAGAGAACTTATTCATAAAACGAAAGTAAAATGTTAGATGGATAAAGCCGTCCAGGCATCAGTTACAAAGAGAGTTCAAAAACAAAAAAAAAACCTAAGTACAAAAGGATTAAAGACGAGACAGGGGAGAGCAGAGAGAATCAGGCCGCGGACTGCATCTCACGTTCGGCGAAGAGGTTTCAGAGGACTGGCGTGCCCGCGTTCGATCCGTTCGGGTCCACCACACCTAAGTTAGCCGCTGTCTCTTTGAGCGGCTTGTTCCCGAAGGTGGTGTCGACCGAGTCCGGCGATACGGGGGAATAGTACAGCTCGCCCCGAATCTCGGAAGCAATGCGCTTGTACGCCCCTTCGTCGGCATACTCGCTTTCCCAGCTTTTCAGCTTTGCTTCCTCGTCGTCGAGCGTCGGGGCATCTGGTTTCTTCAGGTCGGCAATCATCGCCAGATTGCCCTTAATCTGTCCCAGATCATTCTCGTCATTCTTGGCTTTTTCAAGCCGAACCAGACCCTCCTCCACCTTGGCGAGGCGTTCTTGAAACTTCGCTGTAAGCTCTCGCCTCGCCTTCTTTTTCGCCCTCTTGACCTTAGCATCAAACAAGGCATCCTTGGCCTCGATACGCCTCTTCAGCATCGCCACCTCGGCACTTTTGGCTCTCCTCGCCTCCTCAAGGCGAATGATCGAGGCGGAGAGTTTATCTACGTTTGCACGCAGGACGATCTTCTCCTCTTCCAGCCTGGACGCCCTGGCCGTCGCCTCGTCCAGTTTCCCCTTTACCGCTGCGGCTTCGGTCTGAGCCTCTTCCAGCTTCGTTTTCGACGATGCGGACTCAATTTTGGCCTCGGCCAAGCGACGTTCAACCTTAGACAGGTCCGCCTCGTACTCGGCCATTAGGTCGTTAATGGCCGCGACAAACTGCAGAAAATAAACTCGTGTCAAATACTTAGCGAAAATTCACGAAAGCAAAGGAAAGCAAAATGGAATGTACCTTGGTCCCGCGCTGCGCCATTGCGCCGTAGGACCTCGGCCTCCTCAACTTCTCCGGAGAAGGAAGACGCGTGTTCGCGTTATTTACACGCGAGAACATTATGGTGGAGGCGTCGGGGTCATCGACGACCAACTTGCGCGCGGCGGATTCTCCGGACGTCGGCTTCCGTCTCTTCTTTGACGGCTCGTCCCTCTCAACAGCGACCCCCTTCGCTTTATCAGCAGCCGAACGTTTTCGGCTCGGGTCGTGTTTCTGCACGACGGAAGTCGGGGGCCTCGTCGACTTCGGGAGGGTTAGAATAGCGTAGTTCGAAGGCTCTTTGTTCCGAACCGCTGAATCGCCCCCAGACGCCTCGGGAACAATTTTGCCCTGTTCCACCTCGGGCGCCACATCTCTTTCGACCACCTCGGTCGTATTACCCTCCGCAGCTCGGGTCGTCTCATCCCGGTTCGCCGGGTCGGTTTGAGGGGTGGCCTCGGCTTGCGCCTAAACCACCTCGGCTTGCGCCGGAACCACCTCGGCCTGCGCCCGAGCCGCCTCGGCAGCTCGTCTAGCGGCTTCTTCCTGTTCGCGTCTCTTCCTTTCTCGGAGGGTTAAGATCACCATCTTTTCGCAGGTATCTCTGGAGGAACTGGAGGATGAAGAGCTGACGGGAACTCCTGCAAGAATGGCTCGCGCCTTCTCTACCCTCTCGAGGGTGAAATTCTTTCTCCAGTTAACCTTCCGCGCCGAAAGAGAATCTCGAACGGTGAACAGTCGGGAATCGGGGGAAGATAGCACCGAACTGCAAAACAAAGCAAAAAAAAGATAAGTGTCAGAAAAGGAAGAAAGTTTGAACTGAATCTCCGAGTCGAGGCAAAGCTTCGGGTCGGCTACCAAGTGGTCCCCAAGCGGTCTTGGTTCGGCAAACGTAATCCTCGCCGACCGACGCCTCGTTCACTAAAACGTAGAAGAAGCGTTCAGTCCAGAGCTGGTCCTTGCTGGGAAAACCGCCGATAATCCGTCGTTTCGCCTTGTTGGAAATATAGAACCTGTTTCCTTTCGGAGCCTTCCTGATTTCCAGCAAGTTCAGCAGGTGGTTCAGCTCAATGTCAAGACCGCATTTGAAGCTTCGGACTAAAATGCCGATCATATGCCGCAGTCCCCTCGGCATAATCTGCCCGATCGAGATCCCATGTTTCCAAAAGTATTCGAGGATCACTCCGGGGATTGGGAACCAGAGGAAGCAAAGCTCGAAAAACGCCTCGTACAGAGTGAAATGATTCACTGGAGGGTTGTCGGCGCGGTCGCTTTTCTCTGGTACAACGAACTCTACCGCCTCGGATATTCCGAAGCGATGCCTCAGCACTTCGAGCGACTCAAGGGAGCAGAGTGAAGACCCAGGCGGGTCGGGTTTTTGCCTCTTAACTCTCGGCGTTCGCCCAGATGTGGAAGCACCTCGGGACGCCAGGAGGCGTTCCAACTCAAGCTTCGCCTCGAAAAGATCAAAGGGAAATGCCTCCTCCTCGGCCTTGAGCGCGGCTCGGTTAATGCCCTCGTTAGGAGCGGGATCCTGGGGATGGCTCGTCGAAACCGACGGCTCGCCATCCGGAGAGCCGACATCTGATGGGTTTTCATCATTTGACGCCTCGTCAGATGGACGGTGAGAACGGCTCGGCGAAGCAGACGCCTCGGAAGAATCCATCGCACCCCTTGCCTCGGCGTCTATACGGCTCGGCTCGTAGTGGTAAAGCGGATCTAACGAGTCGTCGGAACGGTTTGACATACTTCACAACTATTACAATGAATTACAACTTGACTCGGCGAGCCTCTACCGGAAAAAGATCTGGAGCGGCGGAGACCTCGGAAACCCTAGCCGGAAAATAAATAAACTAGAGAGAGAAAGAAGAGAGAAGGGAGAGCTACCTTTAGTAAAAACGAGTGAGTCGGGAAATAATGAGGAGAAGTGAAGGAGGGCACCTATTTATAGAAAAACGAGGCGCGTGAATTCCGCGTGAACCTCGGGAAACCGTCCAACAGCGCGTAGGGTCCGCGGCGAATTGGTCATACCGGGTTGCGTCGTTGGCACGCGCCGAAAGATCCGGAACTTCCTCTCGGAAGACCAACAGTCAGGGTACCCAGGATAACGAAATGACTTGGTATAGACTCTCTCTCACTTGTATCGCCTCATCGTCTAACGAAAAGGCTCGGCATTATCTGTCTCTCTCGAAACGCCTCGTCGTTAAACGAAACGGCTCGGCATTAACTATTCTTCCTGAAATGCCTCGTCGTTAAACGGCTCGGACAAATCTTTGTTCTTGAAACGCCTCGTCGTTAACCGGCTCGGCACAAATCCTTGTTCTTGAAACGCCTCGTCGTTAACCGGCTCGGCACAAATCCTTGTTCTTGAAACGCCTCGTCGTTAAACGGCTCGGCACAAATCCTTGTTCTTGAAACGCCTCGTCGTTAACCGGCTCGGCACTGACCCTTGTTCTTGAAACGCCTCGTCGTTAACAACACGGCTCGGCATGAGCTTTCACTCGAAACACCTAGCCATATAGTCGGCTCGGCATAACCGTCACCAAATCGCTTCGTCCCTGATTCGCCTCGGCATCTTCGGCACTCCTTGGAAACACCTCGGCACTCACACTCCCAAAACATGAATCTGGGCTCGTGTCGTAGCAGCTCGGCTCGATGGTTTATCTCGTGGTCAGGAGTAATGTACCTCGTCACTCTCGACTCCGAGATTGACGAGCTGGGGGGCTAACTGTTGGGGTCGATTTCCACCCCACACAGATAAACCATCCCAAAATAACTAAGTATAGAAAATGGGAGAACCGTGATCATCAAAACGGGAGAGCCGTTCTCACCAAGGCAAGAAGGAGAGCCGTTTCCACCAATAAAGGTGGGAGAGCCATTTTTACCGAGAAAGGCGGGAGAGCCGCGATCGCCAGGTGGGAGAGCCGAGAAGAAGGAGATGGGCCGAGCCGTATAACATAACATAGGCCGAGCCCCTGTCTTAAATACCTGGGTCGAGCCGTGCCGCGGAGAGGTGGAGCGAATTATGCCAAGTGGGCCGAGCCGTAAAGAAAGCATGACGGGCCGAGTCGAAGCCTTGAAGAGGCGAAGCCCACGAAAAACCCTAGGCGAGATGCAAAGTCGGTCAGCCGCACGAGACGATAAGGAAATATTCCGAAAATCTCGCCCGAGATTCTCGGCTAGGCGGTTTAGAAAATCAGTATAAATATGTGGTGTATGTAATTCATTCCGCCAACTTTTTAGCAAACCTAAGCAATAAGAACGAAACACTTTCACAGCAAGAAAATCTCTCTTTTGATCTTATTGTCTTTGGCGATAAACCCTAGAAGTTTCCAATCCCTTAGTTTCTTTACAAATCTTTGGTTGTGCGAGTTTTGGCTCACACATCTGTTATGAAAGTATCCAAGTTTATGATAATATATTGAGATATGATCAAAGTTCGTTTTGTGCTCTTCAACAATTCTTAGATACCATAAAAAATAAAAAATAAACTGAGACTAGCACACATGAATTTTATTTTACACGATACGAATTCTTAAGAAAACTACAGAAAAAGCGGAATTATTCAACTAATCGGCAAGTTACCAATATGAGTCACATAACAATAATGATAACTCAATGCCAAAAGACCCAACCAAAGCATCTAACACAAACTCCAGTACCAGATAGGTTTGATATAGTTGGTCTCTGACTTATTTGATTCAGAAGAAAAGCAAAAACCCAATCTATAAGTAGAAAGGAAAAAAAAAAAGTTTGGCTAAAGCCCTATAGCCTTTTATCCTTCCACGGATGCTGAAAGGAGATAAATAAAGCCCCTAAATTTTGAACTTCTCTTCTGTCTCCTCGGCTACAAAAATAGAAGTGTGCTGCTCTCTTCTTGAAGATATCAAACGACTCTCAGTCTGATATCCTAAATTCCACTCCTAAAACGTCTTTCACCATCTCATATGTCACAAATGCAATGGCAATCGATGGTACAACCTGTAGAAACACGAAAACAAAAACAAACCCTTGAGGAAAAATGTTTATTGTGTAAGAAAAGAAAAGAAAAAAGGGTTTTGTTATTTTGAAACAAACCTTGACTGAGTTGGGAACTAAACCCTTGTACAATGCTCCAAAGCCTTCATGACGAACTGTTTTTCTAAATGCATCAATCATACCGCTGTATTCAAGCGCGGCCTTGTTTCTCCCATCGCCTGTGACAACAGAGGAAGCATCTTTCCACCCAACCATTTGCATTCTCCTACGAATCACATCGAGTGGATAAGCAATTGTTTGACCAACTGTTCCAGCTATAGCACCACAAGAGAGTCTTGTTATAATGGTCAGATCATTGTTTTCTACAAGTCCGAACGGATTGTCTTTGACTAGCCAGTCTTTCAGGGACTCATAGACAGCAAAGTTCAAGCCCACATATGGAACCTGCATTTTGTCAAAAGGGTCTCATGAAATGGCAAATTTGTAGTGTTAAGTTCGATCCAGGAAAACAAAATGAGACTTACAACTCCAATCACTGATGGAAGCCAACCACGGTACAAGGCCCGGAAACCTTCCTCTCGCAGGACAGTTGACAAAGCATGTGCAATTCCTCTATATTGATAAGGAGAGTTTGCGGTCTGTGCACATATTCAAGTTTGCATAGTTAACACGATGACCAAATAGTAAACGGCTCCAGCAATTACAAAGTTGAGGTATAAAAAGTTACCTGAACAGTTAGCCTTCCACGAACCATATCCATCGGGTACGTTGCAGACATGGCTATTATTCCAGCAGTTGCACCAGCTCCAAGGCGTAAAAGAGGAGTGAGTTGAGCATTTTCTGCAGAAATGGCATAAACCCATGTACCATAATATTTATGAACAGACAACTGTTGTACCATCGATGTGAAAAAAATTGTGATATGAGTTCAACATAGCTCCAAAGGCTTCAATTAGCAACTTATATTTAAGACTAAAGTGATATGTAATATCACAGATTCTTCACCGGGGAATAATAAAAATCTTCTGCCGAAATTAGTTTACCGTTTTTTGTCCGCCGGCGATACAGGTACAGTAGGCCCCTACAAGAGAGAGAGAGAGAGTGAGCATAGATTAGACAAAAATTAAATCATGTATTGAGTATTTTGAAAACTCAAGAGAACAGAGTCTAAATAGGTTTAGAGGTCTAACTCTGAAGCTTGCTCGTAGCTGAAAAACTTCACAGCCGAATTTGGAACAATACGAGCACAATTGGTGCCATTTCCTTTGAACAGTCCACGAAGGCCCTCGGTTCTCCAAATATACTTCAACCCTTGAACTGTACCACTGTACTTTATGTTATGCGGATTTTGGACCTGCATATTGACAATGACCAGGTTAAGCTTCCGATTATTTATATATTCCAAAACAAAAAGGCATCAACGAAGAACAAAACCTGGAGTAATATCTTCATCCTTTCCAGAGGTGCAACTGCAGTTCGTGACCTAATAAAAACAGGCATCTCTGTTCAGATATTAACGGGAAAAGAAAAACAAAGAGTGAAAGATAACGCAAAGAGTGAAAGATAAAGTTACTAACTGCTCTCTTTTTTATATGTCAATCACAGGACTCGACCAAATAAAGTAAAGATGGACATTTCTGCTCTTGTACCTTTATAAATCATGCTAATCCTTTAGACATAAACCCGTATCTATAAGCAACGATTTCAATCTCAAGGAGAGGAAGAAAAAAAAAAGTGACTGATCTACTATAGATAGTCAGCAACCAGATCAACATCAATAAAGTTCCGATTTTTCATGGAAACCTACGACAAAACAAACAATAACACTGACAGTAAAAAGAGGACAGAATCAATGAGTTCTCAATCGTTCTCGAACAAATTAGAAGAACCCATGTATAATCCTAGTCAACATTTCACGAGATCTTTCATTTTCTCAACTTCCCTCTAATGAATCGATATAAAAGTAGGGAAAAGGAGATAAACGACTCACACTCCACCAGCGACGCCACCGGCAAAGAGAGACTTGCAGACGCTAAGGATAGCATAACTCGGAGCTTTGACTCCTTCTCTCGCTAGCTTCGCTTCCTCCGCCAGATTAACGATCGTCGAAACTGCAGCCGATTCGGTCCTTTTCACATCCTCTGATGCCATCGAGAAATCACCACCAACAGATAAATCGCAATCACACCAAATACGATTACGATCCCTCCTAAGATCTCTTCACAAGTTATGCCACTCCTCGATCTCTCCAGCAACGATCGAAACCCTAACAGAAATTTCCGTTTAAGTTAATCGAAAAGAGAGATCAAATCTACCCTCTTTCTCTCTGTTTCGGCGGCGATGATAAAAGCCAAAAGACACAACCTACTACTGATTAAGCCTCTGGCCTGACGACGCCGTTTTAATGGCAACCTTTTGTTACGGAAATTTACAAACCAAATCCTAGACTAACCCATGTTTTGTAAAATAGCCCTTCTACTTTGAAAAGCACAAAACTTTACTTCTAATTATTCAAAAATTCGAATTTCATGTTTGTATGTTATTCGGTTGAAAATTTGAGTAACATAATTGTAAGAGTGTATAATTTTTAACAGGAACAGGTTTGAATATGTCTTTTCGACTAAAAGTTTGAAAAGTATAAGCAGTGCTGTTATATACATACTCAAATTTTATTAAATTAAGGGGTTTGATCAGATAAAGAATTGTTTGTCTTCTTGCGTAGTTTAAGGAGATTATACGCAGAATATGGTTAGTTCAAGGATCTTTTTGCAAAAATTTCCTTATGTTGTGGTACCAAGTGTTATCCTACGCACATTACTAAGCGCGTAAGATATACTCTCCTCATCTATGTACGCCACGTAAGATGGTGTAACTGGTTTAGTGCTTGATCTGCTTCCATGCTGATCTGTTTGGTTACTAAAGGATGTAAGTTTCAAACCACATAAATTTCTGGGCTCTATAAAAGCCGAAATTAATTTCTTATAATTTTAAATACTTTTACAATACATACTCCACATACAGTTTCAGTTTCATTCTGTAATGAAAAAGTTATAGTATTTATTTACCTTTTTTAAAACTAATGTTGGGCTTAATATGGAAAGAATGACAAAAGATGAATTATATCTATAATTATTTTTCCAACGTTTTCTCCTTTTAGATATAGCAAATAGAATCTAAGTTTTCCCAAGATGATATCATGTATCAATTGATAAAATTACAACTGTCATTAAATCTTTTTTCTCGGCGTTTCGGAATTGGAGGGGCCATATCCAAAAATGGAAACATCACCCTAACACATAAAAAAGTTACACAACGAGTTTTTTTATGTTTAGTTACATTAGTTATAGAAGAAAATTATATACACAGATGTGTGTACAGTATAAAAGTGGATGATGTAGGACCACAATTGATAAGAATCAAATACCGAAAGCCTTATGGCTAGTTATTATTCTATGTGATAAGTCTTTAGATCACACATCAAAAAAGGTCAACAGCTAATACCCACTACTTGAACTGTCCAGTTATTAACATGTAATAATCATTTGTTTGGATATCTTCTGCTCTTTTAAAGCCCATATAGTGGAGCCTGTTATGGACCCCGAAAGATAGGGCCGTTAAAAGGGGAAGAACTCCGGGCCGGTATTAGGCCGAAACAGCTCGTATTTTAGAGAATTTCTGTCCACTAATTATTTTTTCTTATCAATTGATTGCTAGTCATTAGTCAACGTTAAGTATATCAAATTGCAAATTAATATCGACGGATTCGACTTGTTGATGCATATAAGTATATATATATATATATATATATACATGGCAAGTGGACTTTGATCTTAATGATCGTACAGGAGATGACTTTACAGCTGTAGCTTTTGTCACGACAAAAATAGTCAGAAGGCGACCTACACTATGCGATATCATTTTTATTATACACAAATATTCACATTTGATAGAAATTGAAGTACTACTTAAACGTTTACGGTTATCCGAAGCCCGAAGGTACTGAAACCCTGTTTCTTTTTACTAGTATTAATTTAACTGAGAAAATTTGTGAACTTTTAAATAAATAAAACTTATAAAAAATAAAAAAAAAAGTAAAAGCTTTGAGGGCACGTCTTGTAACATAGAAGCATTAACTTTGGACATAGAATTTATTTTGTTAATATATATAATAATTTACTCACTACTATAACTTCATTAGACTAGCTAGTTTTTTTTCGTACAAAGACACTCGCAAAAGGACATGAAGCTTTGTGCATTTAAAAAAAAACTATGTGAAGATTTTGTTTTGTTTTTAATTATTTTTGTCAAAACGACCCAGATATTAGTATGTTTGATCATGAATAATGAAAACCGGTAACTTTGTTAATAATATTTTTGACCCACTACGTAATTGGGCATTCTTTGTAGTTCACTTTTTTGGAAAATTATGTATTTATTTACTTGTCGGTAAAAAGTCATACTCATCTAGAATTTGGATTTCCCTTTAAACAAAAAAACGAAATTTATGAATTGGTTGGTCGTCTCCTTATCCCTTGGGTCAACGTGACCCGGTCCGCTCAACGTTAATTCTGATTCTACTTTCACGCGCTTTTTTACCTACGCGCTCAGAGTCCATCATCTTGAAAAGGATAATCAAAATCAAAACTATCAAAGTTTGATTTTTGCTTCATCGTTTCATTTCTCATCTTCCCCTCCTTTATATTTTCAAATCTTATCATCAATATATTTTTGTTGTCTTTAGATTCCCGGGAAAGAGAAGGAAAATGCGAGAAAAGTTGGCATTTAATTTTTAAGTATATTTTTCTTTAAAACCTTACAGCTCAAGTTTGGTAGTAAGTAAGCAGACATTTAATCCCAAGAAACGATTAAATCTTTTATACTACTTCGAGAAAGAAGAGTCTTTTGACTTTAATTTCTTCTGAATTTTGCAAAAACCTCTTTGAAGAAATTGGTTGCTTTTAAAGTGATTAAGGCATGGTTTAATTGATTATCGTTGTCATTTATTTCAACCGAAGATCATCAAATCCGTCTCTACTCACCTAACTCAGCGACGGCCATTCTTCGAGGTTCGTTTGATTATTAACCTTATAACCTGTTGAAATTCTTCGTTTTGGGTACTGAGAAATCCTCGAGGAATCGATTTTGCTTTCTCTGTGATTATGCCCATGAACTCAACTCTGTGATTGAAATTTTCATTTTTTTTTCAGTCGTCTGATAGCTTTGTTGTTATACACGAGATATGTTGTTTCGATGCTAATATATCGATCGGAGAAACATGTTGCTGGATCCGAATTTGATTTGAAATCGAGGAATTTATTTAAATTGCAGTTGAAAACAAGCAAAACCCTAGAAGCAGTCTTGTTGGATTTGATCATAGAAGCTGATGAGGTCAAGAGGTGATGCATACGAAGCAGATGGTAGATCAGATACTGGCTCTTCAAGAAGCGAAGAAGAAACAGGCCTCAAGGAGAAACATTCGCGACATGGGTCTCAAAGATCTGGGAAAAACGAGCTTGGAGAGCCAAATTACGGATCAGATTCCTCGTCTAGGAACCCAATTGAGTATACAGAACAAGAACGAGCTGAGCTTCTAAGAAGGTTAGATTCAATCAAAGATCATCTCCTTCGTGGTAATGCGGTTGATAAACCAAAAGAAACAGCTCCGAATCAGCCATTCCTCAGACCAGTCCATCTCCATGGTCCTCCTAATCCTGGACCTTCTTATTACCATCCATATCCAGAGCCTTTTCCTTACCCTGGAATGCATCCTCAAGGCTATCATCATCAAGATCCTTATGGATTCAATAACCATAGAAGACCACCTCCGGTTCCAAATCCAAGCTGGTATCCTCCTGGTCACTACCCTAATCAGATGGCTCGTCCATATCCTCCTGGAGGAGGGCAATACGTTGAAATTGGTTCTGATATAGTTGAGCCACATTCATACTTTCCAGCTACACCGAGTAGGTACAGTGATATGCCTCCGTACAGCCCTGTTTCCTCTCACCATCGTGGCGAGAAACTCACATCACCCTACAGTCCACCTGTTCACAACTATAATAACAGTTTGATGAGCTCTCCAGGTCCTCGAGGTGGGTTTGCGAGGTGGCCAAGTGATATTGATTCTGAAATGGGCGGTGGGGCTTTTGCTCGTGGGTATGTTAAGAAAGCTGTTTCGGATAGTGATGCTCGTCGTTGCCATCCTCTTGCTGGTGGTGCTCCTTTTATCGCTTGTCATAGTTGCTTCGAGCTGCTTTACTTGCCTAAGAAGAAGCTTTTGGCTCAGGAAAGGCAACATAAGCTTCAATGTGGTGCTTGCTCTCAAGTTATTAGTTTCACAATCGTCGACAAGAAACTCGTTTTCTCCTCTGGTAATGAGGAAACAGACAACACGGTCTCTCTAGAGGCTGAAGATAGAAGCGCGACAAACAACACAGTGAACAACTCAGGTAGCGATTTTCCGCGAAAGGATGAAGAAGAACCAATACAGGAATCAAACCGGGATACTACGCAAAGCATTAAGTCTGAATCTCAACACTCAGATGATGAAGAAAGATGGAGCATTTCTAGCGAACAACAACAAAAAGAGGTCAAATCTGTTCGTCGACGAGTTAAAGGCTCGAAAGCTCCTCCAGCACCGGCTGCTCCCGAGAGTGCCAGTCTTCTTGAACTTTTTGAATATTCCAATGTAAACCGAGCTGCACTCGCGTACGGAATGGCAGAGTTGGGTTATATCAAGCAAGAGTCTTTCATGAAACAGGACTCGCTAAAGCCGGAATCAGTAGTAGCTACAGAGACAGAGGTTTCATACAACGGATACTCCAACACCGAGATCTCTGAAGATTCAAGGTACTCAAACGGAAGAGATGACAACAACAGACCAAGAAGCGGAAAAGGTCGCGAGTCTGGTTCCACGGAGATCACAACGAGATCCTCTACTGATCGAAACGAAGATCAGTCATTTGAAGTTTGGGTAAATGGACATCTTATACCGGAAGATCTAGTAAGCAGTGCTGAGAAATTAGCTGGACCAATCCAAGCTGGAAAGTACTGGTAAAGCCATGAACTTCAACCTTCACTCTCAAAAAAAATCCATTGTCAGTTTCTGATATATGTATCTGATTTTCAGGTATGACTACCGAGCTGGGTTCTGGGGCGTAATGGGCAAACCGTGTCTCGGTATAATACCTGTAAGCCCCTTCACATATTCTTCTCTCAGTTTGATTATTTGAAAACAGTACATCTAGTTGATGAAAAAAAGCTAGATGACTTACTTTTTGTTGTTGTTGTTGTTGTTGTTGCAGCCATTTATTGAAGAGTTTAGCCATCCAATGCCTGATAGCTGCGCTGCAGGAAACACAGAAGTGTATGTGAATGGAAGAGAGCTTCACAAGAGAGATTTCGAGTTACTCGTGGGTCGTGGTCTTCCTCGAGACAAGAACCGTTCTTACATCGTTGACATATCGGGAAGAATCCTCGATGGAGATTCAGGGGAAGAACTTAAGAGCCTTGGCAAATTAGCCCCAACGTAAGCAAATGACACAGACACATACAGTCTTTTAGTTTTTAGATTTTGATATCAAAACACAGTTAGGTTCTGAGTTTTTTTTTTTTTTTTTTTTTTTTTTTTTTTTTTTTAAATGTTTGAAAACGGGAAACAGGATTGAAAAGGTGAAGCATGGATTTGGTATGAGAGTTCCAAGATCATTAGCTTCATGAAAGTTCCCACCACATGTCACAAGACACAATCAAACGATTGTGCCTCTGGTTTCATATCTTCATATTATTTATTTGTTTTTAAAAATGTAAAGTGTGCTTTTTAATTTTCTACTCATAACATGGGTTATAATTTATTTATTTTCCTCACATGGGTTAGATTTTGATTGAAGATTCTTTTTTTTTTTTCTTCTTTTAATTTATTTTTCGGGAAATCTTTTATTTTTTTCGTGGTCTTGCTATTGAGGACCTTGGGGTGTTATGATTGTATACGAATCGGGTTATGTTCGGTATAAGGTTTTCAATATTTCTTCTTCCTTTTTATTTTCTATTCCAATCAGATCAAACCGGTTATTATAGAGAGTTAAAATAATTTTGATAACTACTGGGAGAAAGAATCTGTGATATCATCAGCAAACTTCTTAAGTTGCTTTTTAGAACTAGATTAGGAGTTATCTCTAATTATTTACACACATCCATATTCCATATAAACTATAATCCTTATCCTAATAGGATTCCCCTCATAGTCATAGATTACTATTAACTAGCTCGCGATTATAAGTAAAACTCATGCCCATGTCTCAATTCTGTCTAATTGGAAACCTATATATATACAGTAAAACCTCAATAAAGTAATAATATTAAGACTATAATATTTTATTAATTTATCGTGATATTAATTTATTGTGATATTAATATAGAGAACATTTGTTTTCCACATATAATTTTTAAAATTTTTATTTGGAATAGTGTTATATTTCAAAATTTTAACAAATCTCATAATATATATTATGATTAACAATCATAACTATCACAATAAAATAGTTTTTAACATCATATTGAATCACCCATGTAAATATATATATGTTTTATAAGTTTAAAATTTATAAAAAACCATGGCTACTATCACTATTATTGATGATAAAATTAAAGATAATAGTATAACACATTTCAAAACATTTACATGTAAGAAAATCAATTATCACATCAAAAAAATCGTCATAAATTTTAAATGTATATAGTAAAACAGCAATAAAAGTTAATGATATAATAATTAGAGAGATGAGAACCAATAAGATCTCAACTTTAAATAAAAACAAAGACATTAGTCGTATTTTAGAATATTATATTTACACAAATTTTTATAATTATTAATTTATGTTTTTGTTGAGACTATATATTTACAGAAAAGTTTTTAAAAAAATTATTATCTTATCAAATTTGATGAATTTTTACATTAACTCGACTTAGAACCAGCAAAATTTATTAATTTATAATGATTATTAGTTTATCGAGTATTAATTTATAGAGGTTCTACTGTATACGAAATAAAATCTATGGTTGTGAAAAGGAAAGGAAAAAAAAAGCGTGAGATTAGGATTCGAACCCAGCTTCTGTAACGATAAAGCTACGTAGACCACTACACTAAAGTATCTTTATGCAACTTTGCGCCAAAACCTTTTATTATATTTGTTGCCTAAATCCATTGGTTTTATAGGCTATAGCCTAGAGCCGGCCCATAAGAGCATGTTCAATTCTGAACCTCCCAATGAGGTTCTAATCAATTTTTTCTAAATATTTTTTTGTAAGCTGGAAAGTTAAGAACTTCTCCATGTTTTATGTTTCCAACCCTGAACTCGTAATGGGGGTTCAAACCATTTATACAAACAGAAACTTTCTTCAGAGGCATTTGATCGAACACATGGGAGGCAGGCAACCGCAATCGACCTCAATTTCACGATCTGAAACCCTAATCGACGGATCGGTACCAGATCGAGGTAGGTAGATGCTACTACGGAGATCAGCGTCGGCTCTAGCAACATCATGCCGTTCTACCAGGGCAAAAAGAACACGACGGAGATCGGAACTCAACTCGCAGGACAGAGTTTGGTAGTGCTTACCGGCGGCTGGAATCTGGACGAGGTCTTGAAGTCGGAGATCTATAGGCTCGACGCAAAGCTGACACTTAGGAATAAATGGAAGAGACGATGCAGAAGAAGGAAATTTGGTCCGATGTCGTCGAGGAAAGAGACGATCCAAAAAGGTTTTCTCTAAAAAAAAAATTTCTTTAACCAATCCGATGATGCCACGTGGCTCTTGAACCTCTCCAAAAATGGGTTCTGTAAACTCTTATATTAGAACCTCTCCAAACGGGTTCAACACTTAAGTGGGCCTCTCTGATTAAATAAAATCCAAAAAATGTTATAAACCCCATGTTTGAACTCCTATAAACCTTGCGTTGGACATGATCTAAATCCATGTGTCTCAATATATCCCGTCTAATTGGAAACCCTAGCTCTTGTTACATTGGTAAAAAGAGAGATGGTTTGTTTTCAATTTTATTTTGTAAAGTTTATAAATTCCTTATTTCTTTTGGATTAGGATTTTGAAAAAAAGTTTCAGATATAAACGAAAGTCGTCTTCTGCTCCAGAAACAAAAAAAAAAAAAAAAAAGACTACGAAAAGAAAAGTTTTGGAGAGATATGGAGGATCAAAAGCAATTTAAGTGGGAGATAGATAACTTCTTGGAGAAGGAAACCACGGTATCATCACCAAACTTCTTAAGCGGCGACTGCGAATGGTAATTATTTACTGTACATATATATATATATATGTTTTGATTCTTGACTCATCCCGTAGATTCAATAAACAACTTATGTCGATATGATTAGATGTACAACTAAAAAAGGGTTTTTCAATTCTTCTCAGGTACGTTAGCGTATTTCCTAATGATGAGTCCAGAATGTATCTGCACGTCTGCCTTGGAAATCCTAATTCATTGCCACTTGGATGGAAAGTACGAGCTACTTTTTCATTCGTTGTGTTGAATCAATCACTCAAAGAGCTCTACAGATTAGATGGTAATTATAACTTATCTTCCATGTAGATAAAAATTTACTGATGATTTTTTTTTTTTTTTGTTTATAAAAAAAAAATATATGTTAAATAAAGCTTTCTGTGTTTTGCCTTGCAGAACCGCGCCGATTGTTCAGCGCTCAGGAAGTAGCATGGAGTTGTTATGTGCCTCTCGAGAAGCTTCATGAAAAAGGGGTTTTGGAGAAAAATAAACTCACCTTAAAAGTCCAAGTAGAAGTAGTTGAAGTTGTTGATGAAGAGAATGAGAAATTAGAATTCGATGGTCGTGTCCAAGTTCTTGCTTCTCAGGTATGATTACAGGGATGCTTTTTCTCGTTGTTGTTTTCTATTCACACTTTTCTAGGATTTGATCTCTAGTTAACGTAATTACATACTTCTCTTGTTAACAGGTGTATTCAGTGATCGAGCTTTTCATGAAGCACCCGGACATTGCAAGGAGTTTCAGACCAAGAAAGCATTTGGTGAAGACAGCATGCATGAACGACCTCCTCAGTTTCATCGAGATACTGAACAAGCCTCCATATAGCTTATCCCAGACTGAGCTAAACAACATTCTCAGGGATTTGATCGAGCTAGCAGAAGCAGGCATCACGCTAGACTGGATAAAGAAAAAGCATGATGAGATCCAAGAACGTGAGATCCAAGAACGTGAGTCCAACAAGATTATGATAGCTGAACTGAATAAGGGGACTAAGGCTATTACTCGTGATGCTAGAGACTGGCTTAAGGGTGTTGTTCACTCTTGGAAAGTAAGAGTGGGGGATTTGCTGATGTTTGCAAGGAAAAATAAAACTAAACACAGTTTCCTTAGTGCAGAGTTTGATGGATTATCGAAGCCATTATTATAAAGAATGATCTCTGCAGGTGCTACTTTGCTAATTTAAATAATATTTTTTTTTCATTTAATTTATAAGGAATCAACAAATCACTGTCCCATAATGAAATTTCTAAATATTTTTGTTTTAAACGGGCCTCGAGGTCCGTTCGTTTTTTTTTTTTAATATATTTCTTCCAAAAATAGAGAAACAACAAAATACTAACTAGTGACTAGCCATGAGAAACACAAGGGAGAATAAACTGAGCTACTGTCCAAAAGTATCAAAAGGTTGAGATTGTTGTAAAGAAGGACAGTAGAGATTCAAACAAATATGAGATAAAAGGCGTGAGGTCCAAAAGCAATGCATGTGCTTCACATAAACAAATGAACAAATCTTTTACTTATTGCTAATTTAAAAAATAAAAATAAAAAATGAGAAACTGTAAGACAAGGAGACCATTCAGAATCTAAAAAATGTTTATACCTTCTCGAATCTCGTTTAACCATTAATTATTTTTATGGGCATTGGGCAGACAGTCATTTTATATAATCTTAATCCACAACAATAGAGAAGGAGTTTAAAAACACAAGGGCAAAATAGTTTTTGGTAAAACAAGGGCCAACTTTGCCAAATGATCAGTGCCAACAATCTATATACTAAATGAAATGCAAAACTTTATAAGTTCTTAGAACGTGATCAGAAAGATCCTTGAGCACATTAGTCACACCAAATAAATGAGACGAGAACTTAGAAATCCGAAAACACATCCATGCACTAATCGGAACCCTTCACCTGATGTATCAAAAAGAGCAGAAATGAGAGCCAACTTAATATTGAGTTATCAGGACCATACTTTATGTGAATTACACTATAATGTGTATAGACTATTCTGTGTGACGTGTAGTTGTGTATATGGTAAGAATATAAAATTAATTTTGCGAAACTAAAAGAAAACAAAAATAAAAATAAAAAAATAAGAGACAGGAGAAAATCATAATCACCTTCGTCTTGACCACAAAGATCATATACGGATATCATCTCAAACCTAATTATCTCTCGAGGCTAAGTATAAAATCATTCAATGCCTTCACCAACCAGCGAAACAAAACTTACTGTTTCTCTTCTTCTTCAATGGAACAGCAATTAACTTTGTTATTGCCCAATAGCCCAATAGGCGCGAGCAATGAGGAAACCCTAGACGCTTCTCTTCCTCCCACCTCTACTACTCAAACCCATCGAACCTTTCTTAAATTCTTCGTTTACTTTTCCCTAATCGGTTTCGCTTACTATTTCATCATCTCCGGTTTCGCCGTCTCTCCAATTCCCCCAAAATTGCCGGAATCTGCTCCCGGAAACGGTAATTCTTGTTTCGCAGTTTTCATTTTTCTTCAATTTCGAATTTTGGAGAGGATATGGGAATATTTATGGAGTCTTTGGGTTTCTTGGGTATTTCCTTTTTGGAATCTAAAAAAAACCTTCTAATTTTGCGTTATAGTGAATTTCGTGTTATAGTGAATTTCATGTTATAGTGAATTTAGTGTTGTAGTGTTGTGTTCACCATGTGTTTGATGAAATGTTTGTGTGAACAATTTTTTTGCCAGATTCATCAACAAAGTGTGATCTGTTCACTGGAGAGTGGATACCGGATCCATCAGGTCCTCTGTACACAAATCTCTCTTGCCATCACATTCAAGATTTTCAGAACTGCCTGAAGAATGGACGGCCAGATGTGAATTATCTCTTCTGGAGATGGAAACCTCGTGGCTGTGATCTCCCTAGGTTCACTCCATCTCAGTTTCTCGATACAGTGAGGAACAAATGGTGGGCTTTCATTGGCGATTCCATCGCTCGTAACCATGTCCAGTCTCTCATCTGCATCCTCTCGCAGGTCCGTCAAAAGATTTTGTATCAATGAAAGTTTCCATTTTTTATCAACCAAAGTTTCCTTGTACTGCAAGAAAACAGAGGACTTGGATTTAAAGGTTAGATTTTTCTTTGAATTCGGCGCAGGAAGAAGAAGTGGTGGAAATCTATCACGATAAGGAATTCAGATCCAAGATATGGAGATTCCCTTCTCACAACTTCACACTTTCAGTCGTTTGGTCTCCTTTCCTTGTCAAATCCGAAACATCTGACACTTCAGATATCCAGCTTTACCTCGACCAGCTCGACCACAAATGGACCGACCAATACTCCAATTTCGATTACGTTGTTATCTCCGGAGGCAAATGGTTCCTCAAAGCAACAATTTTCCATGAAAACAACACAATCATAGGCTGCCATTACTGCCAAGGTAGAAACAACCTAACCGATCTCGGCTACGATTACTCCTACCGCAAAACCCTAAACCTTCTCCGTGACTTTGTCCTAAACTCAAACCACAAACCGGTGGTTCTGTTCCGAACCACAACACCTGACCATTTCGAGAACGGAGAGTGGAACACTGGTGGGTACTGCAACAGAACGATGCCGTTTCAAGAAGACGAGGCCAAATTGAAAACCGTTGACGATGTGATGCGTGATGTCGAGCTTGATGTGTTTCAGAAGTTCGGGAAAGGTTTCGGTTTAGGTTCCAACTTGAGACTGTTAGACACGACTGCGATGTCTCTTCTCCGCCCAGACGGGCATCCAGGACCGTACCGGCATCCGAATCCTTTTGCTGGAGTTAAGGATAAGAGCTCTGTTCAGAATGATTGTCTGCATTGGTGCTTACCCGGTCCGATTGATTCATGGAATGATGTTATGGTGGAAACAATACTTAACCGGGAACGGTATATTTGAACCGGTAAATGTACCACGATGTTTGTTTGTAGTTAGTTCCGGTTTATAGCCATTCATTTTCCCCGCTTGTTTGTATTATATGCTACTTGTATATTTTAGATTTTTGTAATGGTCTTCAAATAATAAATCGTGTGAGATAGAATATGAATGTTCGTTCCAATGTTTATATTGTAAACTCCAGATGACCAAAAATTAGAGATAGTAACGTAGTGAATAAATATTCGTTTTATACGACGTCGTTGTTTCCTGTGGAAGGCCAATAATATAAAGATTTACAACTATTGGGCCTTTCTGGGGTCCAAAGGGCAAAGAAGACGATGCCGTTTTATGTTATAAGGCTAATGGAGAGTAATGAAAACAACGTGCCGTTCTACTACATTAGCCGACGCTGTCTTGCCGTTGTTAGATAGATAGTTAGTATGATCGTTCGTGGTCAGTCGTCACGAATGACATATGCCATACGACAATCATTCGGTGGTTTCAGAGCGCATCTTTTGGCAGATAGATGATAAATTGATAACCAACAAACAATGCATAATTCAATAATAGTTTTTATTCGGATTTTAATACTGACTATAGATTTGTTTGCCTCACTTGGTATCTTATAAATTATAACAACTGTATTATTTATGTAATTATTGTATAGCTCGGTCAAAAAAAAAAATTAAAATATTATATTGTTTATGTAAGAAATTAAAATAACATATCTGTTTAAAAGTTGTACTGATGCGACAGCTTTATAGACTTGGTTCTTTTGAGTTAGTGCTACCTATACAACATGAACATTTACGTGTTTTTACTTTTTTTAAAAAGATAGAAGAAGTAATTGTTAGATTCCAAATACTTATCACTCTTCTTTATGTGGTTATAATAAACTTGGCAAATACCGATGCTATTCACCATAAATTGTTGATGCACAATTGCACAAGTCGTATTGACAAAGAGGTAAATAAATATATAAAGTATCATCGTCCACAAATAATGATTTATAGGCTTTTGTGTTCATTATGGTTTGGACTTTGGCGGGACATATTCCATTAGTAAATCATTACAATAATTATGGGCTTTGAGATAATTCCCACTTTCACCTTTTTCACTCAAACAAATGCTAAAGTCTAATCTATCGCTGAATGATTATATACCTTTCTATCGTCGCCATGATGTCCCAAAATATTTTTAGAAGTCAATTTAAATTTTGTATAGAATAGACTGAACAAAAAAGAAAATAGTGACGGCCGTGAGTAATTTCCTTGTAAATTTTAGGATGTTTTTAAAAAAAGGCTGTGTAAAAAAAATAACGAGAGAAAAATAAAAACCATTATTTTGTGGAGAAAAATATAAAACAAAATCATTGCAGAAGCATTACGTTTGCATGTCATCACATTCGCACGTGCGCTCAGGACATTTCACACGCACAAGTTTTTTGACCCACAATCAAAAAAGGCTGGTCCTCACTGATTTTCAACAATTTCCCAACCCCCTCTTCAATAATTGAACAGATAATACTATATCATTATGATGCGTATAAAACCAATCCCATTTTTGATATCACTTACTAACAATGTTTTCACTTAAATTACGAAAAATTTCTAGAATCATGGGTGGAATATCTACATATATATTTTAAAATCACAATTTGTGAATTATCTTTTTTCCTTAAAATGATCTATTAGTTTAAATTAGATCATGGTCACAACAACGAACATTCTACAAACGCTAAATATAAAAAATAGAATAAAAAACTATTTTCCCGTGTTAATGTTACACACACACACGAACTCTCTATATAAAGCCATTACTCAATACCTCATAAATTACAAAAAAAAAAAGAAGAGAAAAGTTCAGCAATCAAAAACCTACTAAAAAGAAAAAAAAAAAGATATATTCTTGAAGCTTTGCATCAATGGAGGAACAAAAAGCGCCTCACGTTGCGATCATTCCAAGTCCGGGAATGGGTCACCTCATCCCACTCGTCCAGTTCGCTAAACGACTCGTCCACCGCCACGGCTTCACCGTAACATTTCTCGTCGTCGGCGAAGGTCCACCGTCAAAAGCTCAAAGAACTGTCCTCGAATCTCTCCCTTCTTCAATCTCCTCCGTCTTTCTCCCTCCCGCCGATCTCACCGATCTCCCTCAAACGACTCGCATCGAAACTCGGATTTCGCTCACCGTGAGTCGTTCGAACCCGGAGCTCCGACGAGTCTTCGACTCGTTCGCGGCGGAAGGTCGTTTGCCGACGGCCCTCTTCGTTGATCTATTCGGTACGGACGCTTTCGACGTCGCCGTCGAGTTCCACGTGTCGCCGTATATTTTCTACCCATCAACGGCCAACGTCTTGTCGTTTTTTCTCCACTTGCCTAAACTTGACGAAACGGTGTCGTGTGAGTTCACGGAATTAACCGAACCGGTTATGATCCCTGGATGTGTACCCGTTTCCGGGAAAGATTTGCTTGACCCGGCCCAAGACCGGAAAAACGACGCATACAAATGGCTTCTTCACAACACCAAGAGGTACAAAGAAGCAGAAGGGATTCTTGTGAATAGCTTCCTCGAGCTAGAGCCAAATGCTTTAAAGGCCTTGCAAGAACCGGGTCTTGATAAACCACCTGTTTATCCGGTTGGACCGTTGGTGAACATTGGCAAGCAAGAGAGTAACGGGGTGGAAGAGTCCGAATGTTTAAAATGGTTGGATAACCAACCGATCGGTTCGGTTTTGTATGTGTCATTCGGTAGTGGCGGTACACTCACATGTGAGCAGTTCAATGAGCTTGCTCTTGGTCTTGCGGACAGCGAGCAACGGTTTCTTTGGGTCATACGAACTCCAAGTGGGATCGCTAATGCTTCGTATTTCGATTCGCATAGCCAAAACGATCCATTAACCTTTCTACCACCCGGGTTCTTAGAGCATACCAAAGGTAGAGGTTTTGTGATCCCTTCATGGGCTCCACAAGCTCAAATCCTAGCACATCCATCCACTGGAGGGTTCTTGACTCATTGTGGATGGAATTCCACTCTAGAAAGTATCGTAAGTGGTGTTCCACTCATAGCATGGCCATTGTACGCTGAGCAGAAGATGAATGCGGTTTTGTTGACTGAAGATATCCATGTGGCGCTTAAGGTTCGTGCAAGGGAAGATGGGATAGTGGGAAAAGAAGAGGTTGCTAGAGTGGTGAAAGGATTGATGGAAGGTGAAGAAGGTAAAGGTGTGAGGAATAAGATGAAAGAAATGAAGGAAGGAGCTAGTAGGGCGTTGAAGGATGATGGGTCTTCTACAAAAGCACTTAATCTTGTGGTTTTGAAGTGGAAAGCCCACCAAAAAGAGTTAGAGCAAAATGGCAAGCACTGAATATTTATGTTTGATCTGTATTTAAAGAAATATGGTGGGAAATGTGCAATTGTGTCTGTGTATGAATGTTATACTTCTCTTTGTTGCTTTGGGTCAACTTCTATTTGTAAATAATCTTTTGTTTTTGAAATTGTTAACTAAGTGTTTAAAACTGTTTATTTGTGTGATAAGGTTAGTTCGAGTCAAATTGTTGATACTTCATATTTTAATTCGTAATTGACTTATATATTAGCTTTTTCATCATCCAGATTCTTAGAGCTGACTGAAGGCAGATGCTTTATGATCCTTTCTCAAACTCCATAAACCAAAGTTTTAGCACCATCCACATGATGGTTTAAATTTGTGATATCTTTATATAGATTCCATTGCAACTCTAAAAGGTATATTAAATGGTGTTTCACTCATATGACCAAAATTTGTTGTGCAAGCGGTTTTGTTAGTCGAAGTTATATGGTTTGTGCGTAGGATGGGAGGAGAGGAGAAGAGAAGAGAAGAGATACTTAAAGTGGCTAAGGTACTAATTAATGGAAAGTGAAAAAAAAAAATTATGAAGAATAATATGACAGAAATGAAAGAAGGAGCTGAATGATGATGGGTTTTTTACAAGGCACTTAGTCGTGTGGCGTTAAAGTGGAAAGCCTACCAAAGAGAGTTAGAGGGAAAATGGCATATAATTAATATGATGATTTGTATAATGAAATGGTGTGATACGCGTAATTGTGTTTGTGAATGAATTGTTAAGTACATTTTTCTGTGCTGCTTTTGTGCATGTCATCAACTTTTATTTGTGAATGATTCTGGCTTTTGATTTATTGGTAACTAAGTTTTAGATGCATGGTACAATGTAATGAAGATCCGCTTAGAAAAAGATGGCGAAGTTAATAATATCTAAGAAAAATGTAATTTGTAGAAAGTCTTTTAACAATTAAAACTTTTTGTAGTCCATTTGGTTGAATTTGTAGTAGACGTTTTGGTTGAAATTTGAAGTGGATGGTTATATGATGATTCCGAATTTTTGTGACATAGAGTAAGAAGGGAATATTTTTTTTTACTATTATAAAAAGAGGTGATAATATTAAGATATATATATTTTGGTATGAAATATATATATGGGTTTTAGATGGTCTGACAAATAACCCTTAGCTTCAATACTAATTAAATCTCATATTCTCGTCAGTCATCACTCATCAGTCAACTATCTATTTCAACCATTTGTTTGCTTGGTAATAGGATATGCTTTACGATTTTAAATACGTCTTTAGCGTTAACTGATGAAACTCTCAACTCTCAGGAGATAAAAACTCAGAAATGGACGAAGAAGGTAATAACTAGTAAGTGTGTGTGTGACTGCGTGTGTGGAGTAGGTGAAATAGCGTTAAACTACAAAAAATAATACATGAGTGGGACCTGAAGACAGCATGTCGTTTTATGACTTGTAGAACGACCTCCACTTTTGTTTTGAAGTAGGTTATTTGCTATTTTCAACGTGTCAAAATGTTTTTAAGCAGTGGTGGAAATACCCATTTCTGCTACTTTCCTTCTAGAATGAATAGTATACAACTTTTTTTTGTCAAGAAAAAGTTAATACTATTACTTCTATTTTCTTCCTACACCAACACATCTTTGACCTATTCATATATTTGTATCACAACTTTATCTCGTCACATTAATAAAATAAAATAGTAAATGTTTAGTTTGGGCCTACGGGTTACCCTCGGCCTTATTTGTTATTATGGCCCTTTCTTATCTTGGAAGGCCCAAATAGTCTTAGCACACTACTACTGTAAATGGTGGTTCTAGAGATTGTTGATTATCTTAAGAAAGTTTCTTATTACAAAGTTGGTAAATGAAAATAATCAGTAAAACTTCAGAGATATTCAATTATTCTTCATGACCCAAAACCTCTCAATTTCTTCTGCCGTTCTGCCTGGGATCCTCCCAGCTATCAGTTCCCACCTTTCAATATCAAATTTAGGAAAAAACACAAATTAAACTTTTAATGTTCAATAAGCTATATTCAAAGTAAAGTCGAAATTGTAATCGGTAATAAGTAACTATTAAATTAATTAAATTAAAGAGGTTCAAACCTGTCACCGACAAGCTTATGCATTCTACAGACCAAATCTTCTTCTTCTTGATTCATGTTCACTGCTTCCCACTCTAGGCTACTCACTTCTGTTCCGTTGTCATCACCAAAAAATTCACATTTCTCAAAATAAATATAAAAAAGTTTTATTTTTCCAGTAAACGACGGCGTTTATATGTGTCAGCTTACGTACCTTCAGTCGAAGAAGAAGCTGCAAGAATTGGGTCGGTCTTGGGTTGCTTCGTCCTGAGATGCTTATCCATATCAAACGGCCCCGTATTGACGTTATGGACGTGAATGACTCGAGAGAGAGAAAAACTGAAGAAGAAATAAGTAAGAGAGAGAGAGAGAGAGTGGTCGTCTTTTGAGAGGAAGCACACGAATCATCCTCTCTATTTATAGCAACTCAATCAAGTAACCAACGAGTTTGGTCGGTTTCTTAATTTACTAATTTGGTTTTGTTTTCATTAATCAAATCATTCTCGCTCGTATACTTCAATCAATAAAAACCACATGTACACACGACTTCATTGACTCAAGTTTACTAAATTGATTCCTGCCCGTTAATTAAGATCATTAGTAATCAACCATTTATACTCACCCATATTATAGTAAATGCTTTAAAATTTACAACAAATATAGTTTTTTTTTTTTGACATCAACAAATATAGTATATAGTTTTGTATTTTCAAAGTAGAATTCTTAAGAAAATAGTTTTTAAATGATTCAAATTGATATTTATCAGTTCTGTTTATTAAATAAAGATATCAACTAATAAAAAAGTAATACTCCAATAACACTGTGATCTAAGAGACTGTGATAGCATCCAGGTATATCGATCTTTAAATCAAACGAATGATCTAAATTAATTGAGAAAAAAAATCCAATGCATCCCTTATTGTTCTTTGAAACCAAAACAAAAAATCGTTAAACTTCTGATAATGCAACGTTTTCTTTTCTGAAATCCATGATATATATGATTTGAGAATTTATATATTATATATATATATATATATATATATATGATTTGAGAATATATTGTGTTGTTAGCACTTAGCACTGAACACAGTGAAGTTGAAAGTTTGCTAGGAAGGAAATTAAATAAAATTTTGCCCTGGGGATATTCCTTTTTTATCCCATTCGTGTACTCGTAAATTTATCATATATGTATGCTATATAAATAGTATAGGTCATTCTCATTTTATTTTTTTTTTTGTCAACAGGTCATTCTCATTTTAATTTTATGTAACGACATATTAAAAAAGGTGGTTATATAATTGTGTTGAAAAAAAAAACTGAACCAAAAAAGCAGTTGTAACGAACACAAGACACGTGGATTGATATTAGGACCACCTTTTCCTTTCTCTTTGTTGGCTTAAAGCCCATTTAGGACCATTTTTGCATGATTCAAGACAAAGTATCCAATCCAACCCAATTTCATGTTTTGTACTGACATTCATTTACTTGTGGTGATGAACCTATCTCAATTCCATGGTCACAGCCTCACAGGACTGGGGGGGATTATAATTTCAAATTATGTAAATTCTTCTTTTATTAATGGTTATGCACTTATGTCTGCAGCAATTAAACGTCCAATTTATTGAACAATTTTAACAACTAATGTAATGTAAAGAATTAAGTGACCTATACAATTTTGGCAAATAACTAAACGTAAGGTAAGTTGACTGTTTGATTGATTTTTTTAAGCGAACCATTGCTTAATCAGTCAAACAATAAATTAACAAGCTAGGCCTTTCAATTATATAATAGTCAGGTTAAACATTTAGTTAAATGTCTAGATAATCGGATATACGTTTTATTCAACTAGCTAGACAAGCATTTTATAAAGAAAACAATGATTCTGGACAGGTTTATGCTAAGTAAAAAAAAAAGACAAGCATTTTATAAAGAAAACAATGATTCTGGACAGGTTTATGCTAAGTATATATCAAACTTTTCACTAAGCCTTTTAACCTTTTGGTAAAGGGAATCCAGACTATAAAAGAGAGAGAAAGTGAAACGTTCAACAAAGCTCCTGTAATTTCAAGATATTTGCAAAATCTTCTCCATAACTTTAATTTGTCTAATAAAACCTCTATATCCTTAATCCATCTGATCATCACAAGATTTGGTTAATTTCCAGCATCATGTGTAACTTCAAGCTTATATGAGAAGCTTTAGCTTACGAAACATACTGAAGTTATAATTTATAACCCACTTCTGTCTCTGAACAAAAATAAATAAGGGACTTCTCCTATGAACAACAATCAATTTCAAGGAATTAGCAACACCATTTTAATAGAAAGCATTTTCTTTTTCCAAGATCAGCTTACTGCAATATCATGGTTAGCTAACTTTACAACCTTTTACTACACATATTGGGTGAAGAAAATCCATAGGGATCTTATTTTCAGTGGTCAGTTAGTTGTCTGATATCGAAATACCTTTTACATTTAGTTACCTCTTTGATCCACCCTTGGGAACTTGGAAAACTCATTTTGGATAATTTTGAAGGACCATGGTTTTTATTTGATTTAAATAATTTCAAGGTACTGTACTTATTTCAGAGTTATGCATAAACAAGAAAGACAGTTTAGTCATTACTCATTAGTAAGTGTGCCTGAAATGTTTTTTTTTTTTTTTTTTTTTTGTAGTTACTTAACACAATTTGTGTGGATTGTGCAGAGGATTGCACAAATGAACTAAAAATGTCAATTAATTAATAAGAAAAAGGGAATGGTGTAAGCTATCAATCTTTGTGCAACTTCAATGATTAATTACTTAAAGAAGATGGAATATCAGCTCATGGTTGCTGTGAAATGTAACTATTGGAGTATGTTGTTGTAATAAATATGTACTGCTTAAATATTCAGACATAACCTGTGCTGAAAACAGTACAGAAGCCTAAAAAATTCAAATAAATTCAGCTGCCATGAAAGTCTATTGGTTATTATGTACTCTGTAGTTGGAAATTCCTCTATAGCAAAAGCGGAAGAAGACCCTTATTGAACTCTACCAGGCCTAAAATATAGGCCGGCCCTTATCCGTAATAATTAGCGCAAAATCATATCTTTGACTTTTTCTTGGTCAACGTTTTTTTTTTTAACTTTCAAGTTTGAAGCACAGCGTCAATGGCGGTATAAAGGAGGGGAAAAAACAGAGTACACATATCTCAGATTCAACAGAAGGTAGCATCTAAGTTCTCGAAGGTAAAAAGAAAACAGAAAACGAAGTAAAAAGAAAACAGAAAAAGAAGAAGTCTCTAAGATTCGAGCAATATTTTGCAGGAGGCAAAACCAGAACAAGTTCCAAGGAGGCTGCTTTTATTTAGGGCTGCGATGGTGTCGGAGATGTTGGAGGCTTCAAGTCAGGGTACTGCAAAACAATGAAGTAATACATCAGATTACAATAACTCATGTGAGAACTAGTGAATTCAAAAAAGATACTTCTTCAAGGATCAACGGATATCCTAATTATAACTACAATCCGCTTACAAAAGTAATTTCCTTTTTCCACCAAAACGAGCCTCTTAATGTTAATGTAAAAGTGGTTTCAGGAGAATGTAGAAACATCACCGATGCATATGGAGAGAGAGGTCTTGAATAAGATTTTGGTTTCGCTTCTGTTTTGGTAGGTTCTGAGATTACTTGTGCAGTGGCGGCTTTGATCTCTGGCACTGGCTCTGGCTCTGGCTCTGGTTTCGTCTCTGGCTCAGGTTCTTGTTTATCGACGGTGGTGGTTGTAGCTGCTGCTTCTGGTGTTACAGTTGCTGGTGCGGGAAGAGCTTTGCTGCTTGTTGATGGAGGAAGAAGAGCCTTTCCTATTTCCTGTTACTCAATGTTGAATTATCTATAGAAAGGGTTTCATAACTAGTGGAGATATCTAAAATTAGTTACCTTTAATTCATCAACAAGTTCTTTAGGGGCAACCTTTGTGTTCAAGAACTCATCCACTTGTTTCAGGGTTTGCTTTCGGTCCTGTAGTCGACATATAGAAGAACCATCAACACATTACCAACTCCGAGAAAAAGTTCAAACCCCGAATCTTGGAGAAAGAAGAGATGTGAAGAACTTACCTCAGCAAATAGAAGCTTCTTGCCTGCAAGCTGAACAAGTGCAGCCGAACCTAGTAGTTGAAGTATGGTTTCAATCTGGATGATGACAGAGATAAGACTTTACTACCGGCATTTTCTGGAGACAAAAAGATGGAGAAAGAGAGATAAAAACCGAAAAACCGACCTCTGTAAATGCAAAAACACTTAATCCAGCAGCAGCAGCTACTCCAAGAGCAACAGAGACACCATCAGAACTCTCCTGTACATTTATGTTTCTCCTCTTTTAAAACCATTTCCAGTAATGTAACGGAAACTTAATAATGAATGTAAAATTTGGATACTCACACCAAACACACCGCTGATACTATCCGTCAAACTGCTCAAATCAAGACTGAGATTCTTCTTTGGCTCTATCCAAGGCAAACCGCTATTCTGCAAAAATTCACATTTGTGAATAAATCAAACCAAAAACACTTTAACAAGCAAGCATTGTGGGAAAGGTGGAAGGGGAACACCCACCAACCAGCCTCTAGGTCCCTCCACTCCATCTTTTATGGCGTAAGCAGATTTGAATCCATTAAGGGCCACCAATTCAGCAACAAGCTCGGAGTTTCCATCAAACCTGGCTTTCCATTCAAAGAATTAGACTCTATTAAACTAGTTATAATGAAAACAATGTGTCAAATCTAAATGCTTCTCAAGTTCTCTCCAGCTGCAACACTGTATCTGATGTACAAATAACACTTATGATCATCGCTACTCGGTTTGCATCAAGTAATGCTGCAACTATAATTCAGTGATCAAACAATCTAAGAAGCTATAAAGATTCAATGTAGCAGTAAGCCTCTCAATACTTGTAACTTTCATCCAAAAAAGAAGAAGAGAGAAACTATTAGATTCCGAGAGCCTTACTTGTCCAGAATGAACAATGTGGTATTCTCAGGATCTTTAAACTTCAAGGAAAGCTTTTTCAAGAAACCAGGCTTGTCTTCTCCGTTATAAACAGTAGAAACCGTTTTTTTACCTAAACCCTTAATATTAGGAGTGCCCACTTGTCTGAAATCAGCAGAGGCTCTTATGTCAAGCAATTGAGCATTTTCATCAGTTCCCAACTTGGCATACGCATTCTTAGCAGACTCAACTCCGAAAGATTTGGGCTTTTTGTTCAGAACCTGGGACAGAACAAATGGAACAGCAAATGCAGCAAATCCACCGGCAATAACAAGAGGATTGTCCGTGACGAAACTTGATATCCCGTCGATAAAGCCGTCTGAATCAAAAGATGAAGGAGAGGTCATAGATTGTTGCAGAGCTTCCTCGTACGTCAGGGATTTTGCAGGAGCTGTTGCACTGCTTAAAACAGAGGTTAGAAGAGCTAATCCGCCATTGAAGCTCCTGAAAAAGCTTTCATGGGAGATTGGTTTCGGTGATTTCGGCGTAAAGAGCTTAGGGAGCGAAAAGGGCTTTCGTGGTTCGGATCTCTTCTCGGATAGAACCGACATAGGGCAGAAGCTAGCAGTTTTCAGAGCTTCCATGGCTTCCTCTCTATCTCTCACTCCTTCTACACCAACAATTGTCCTCTCCGTATCATCAAAGCTAAAGAAGAAGAAGAAGAAGAAGAAGAAGAAGAAGTGGAAAAAAACTGTGAGGACAAGCCTGAAGCTGTTTCTGGTAAGCTGACGTGGACTGTGTAATCAATCCTAGCCACCGCTTGCTTGACACGTGGCATTTTCGGATGAGATGTCTCTTGATCATGTCTTGGTGTAGGAGTATACTGACTTGACTTTAGTCCCAAAATTGCATGTCAATTCTTTGGCCACAGAATATTGAAAAGATACTTGCTTCTATAGAAGCCTCTAGATATATTTACAAAAACGCCATTTATCCCAGAACACAGAGAAACAGAGACTAGTAGTTTACAGAGCTTCCGTGCCATTTCTCAGCAGTTGTTTTAAGTTAACAAAGAAGACGAACTCAAACATTAAGTGATCGCAGAAGAGGATTCAAATGTAATAAATTTACAATAGCTCAAAGAAATAATCTAAACCTTGTCCGATCTCCCAGATGGAAATGCCGATACCCCAGAGACGAGCATTCTCAAGCCGTAGAAGGATTGACATCAATGTAGGATAGAAAACAGCATGCTTGATGTTCTTATCATCTCTATACATGAAAAGATGCTCGCCGCTCTCTTTATCCCAATGAAAAGTTGGCTTGTGTTTCTGGAGTAATGCGAGGTAATCCCTTCCGGTGATTGCTCCTCCGCCTCCTGAATCTTGCTCAAAAGAAAACAGTTTTATTCAGTTAATTTTGGAAAAAGGCGGGAAGAGAACAAGCGACTTAATTAAGCTTGGATAATTCATATACCTCCAGAGATTGAGAAATCGTTGCCGTAAAAGTTGAGACCAAGAAGAACTTTTCTGGCCAGGTTTGAATCTATGTTGTCGGATGAACCAAGTAGGAGCTTGAGGGTGAGATCTATCCACTTGAGAGGAGCATTAGGGCCAGGGTTCTGGGAATTTGAGAAATCATAGGTCATAAGAGAGAACCCATCAACTGAATCTTTCAAGAACTGAAGATCTTCTGGCCCAAAATCGTACATTTGGAGCTTCTCTGAACGAGGTGGACCAATGACATACATGAACTGCATATGCTCATTTCTTGGTGAGCTCGTGGAGTGAAGGGCGTCTCCAAGTTGTTTTACGAATTGCAGTGACTAGAAAGAGTGAATATACAAACCCCATGTAAGGTTACAGGCTTGTGACCATGAGATTTGATTCTTGTTACACACACAAATTAAATTTACAGACCAAAGGATGACTACAAGACATAATACCATTTTCCGCATCTCCGGGTCATGCAGAACGCCATAAGCTGCCCATCTTGACCAAGACTCTAGCACGACACCATCATATTCCATTTCCCTAGAGTTCCAGGCAAAAATTGATGACAATGGAGTGTCAAAATTAACAAGCTCTTTGAGAAAACTTTCAACATTTCCAGAGCATGAACTTTTACAAGATTTAGGCAAACCCTTACTTGCATTCTGCGACAATAAGGTCAATAGCTTTCTTCCTTAGTTTCTTTTTCCTAAGCAGCTCCCCAGGAATTGCTTCTAGAACAACTCTTGGTAATATCTACATGATATGATAAAAAAAATTCAGAACATCAAAGAATGAAAAATAATTTAAAGCATCAGCATGTTCCAGGTGTAGTTGGTTAAATTACCATCGCATTTCCTCTCGATCGAAGCTCCTGGATCCATCCCTTATCAGCATTATGTCTCCCTTCCAAAACCAACCCAGATCCTTGGCTACTAGAAACAGAACAAGAAAATGTCACTTTCCTATTTCTGGAAACGCGAAGATAAATGCAAGCACTTAAGAAGTCATTAACGGATATTTTTATACCTCTTTAGGTCGTACCATACCGGTGATAAATGTGTAAACTTGGAGTTGAATATCTTTGCGATATCATAGCCTTTAGAGTTCCTGCACATCATTTGAAGCATATAAGACCAATCCCGTGCTGCTCTCAGCGTCACCGAATTGTATACACATAATCGCAAAATTGCAAATTTTCAATATCTCACATCTCATGAAACTGTCCAAAGAAACTAGAAACCTACCATGGCGTAATGTAAGCTAACACTGGATAATCATAGTGCCTATTTGATGAATTATCTGAAGACTTGGAATGTTCCTGAAAAAACAAAAAAAATTCATACGATGAAAAGTGATCCTAAAGTTTTCAGCTTTCTTCAATGGATTCCCAAACACTGAACTAAAAAACTCTGGACTCACAGTGAGGATTTCTTGGAAATGAATATCAGTTTTAATAATCCCCTTTTGACGTATTGATGATGATTCCGTTTGGATGAGTCGATGAGCGAATTTGACTTTGTACACGATCATCGAAACGACGGGAATGACGATGAAGAAGACGACGAAAATGGTGATGAGCCTCCGATCTGAGTTTGGTTCTCCGACTTGGCCATCATGAGATTTTGAATCGTCTCGTTTCTTCCGCCGTTCCGAATCCTCCGTCGCCGATGAACGTCTCTCGCGCCTCCTCGCCATCGAGTTTCTCACGGCGGCAAGAAACTAGTGAAGAAACGGTGCCAAGAGAAAACGACGTCGTTTGTGCTGTGTGAGGACTGAGGAGATTTGTTTTTGGTTTACATTCCGGATATACCCTTGTTCTAGTCTAATATTACGTTAGAGACCTATAAGAAGATATCAGAGTCAGAGATGCTTCAAGATAAAAAATTGGAAAACAAGGAGGGTTTTATGACTTTATCGTTAAACCCCAATCCAAATCTTCGCGACCGGAAACAGCACGAGAAACTGATAATAGATTGAGCCGAAGAGATAAGGTGAGATATTTGTTTGTTTTTCTACGTATTTTCTGAATTCGAATCTCTTATTTCTTACTTAGAATTTCAACATTTCTTTGGTGAAATTCACAGGCTTTGAGTCTCACAGATGGAGCCCAAGCTTCTTCTTTCTGCTCAAAGACCCTTGTTTGTCTCCTGCAACTCACCTTTCAATGAAAAACCTTACCTTTCTGTCAAATCCCGTTTGCCCACGTCCACAATTCGAGCTGCGAGGTCTCAGTTTATGGGGGAAGGTTTGATTTTGGGGAACAAATATGGGTTTTGGAGCGCTTCGAAGAAAACCCGTGTTGTTGTTGAGCCTGTGAGAGCTGCTGTGAAGAGAAGGAAAGAGCTTACTTTCGATAACGTTGTTCAAAGGGACAAGAAACTGAAATTAGTGTTGAACATTAGGAAGATTCTTGTGAGTCAGCCCGATAGGACGATGTCTCTTAGGGGTCTGGGCAAATACAGGAGAGATTTGGGTCTGAAGAAACGTCGTCGGTTTATAGCTCTGCTTAGGAAGTATCCTGGTGTCTTTGAGATTGTTGAAGAAGGAGCATATTCATTGAGATTCAAGATGACATCAGAGGCTGAAAGGCTGTACCTCGAGGAAATGAAGATTAAGAATGAGCTTGAAGATGTATTAGTTGTTAAGTTGAGGAAATTGGTGATGATGTCGATCGATAAGCGGATATTATTGGAGAAAATTTCTCATCTGAGGACTGATTTAGGGCTTCCTTTGGAATTCCGAGACACGATTTGTCAGCGTTACCCGCAATATTTCCGTGTGGTTCCTACGCCTAGAGGTCCAGCTTTAGAGTTGACTCATTGGGATCCTGAGATTGCAGTGTCAGCTGCTGAGTTATCCGAGGAGGATAATAAGGCTAGAGAATCAGAGGAGAGGAATTTGATTATCGATAGACCGCCTAAGTTCAATAGGGTTAAGCTTCCAAGGGGTCTCAATCTTTCAAAGAGTGAGACGAGGAAGATATCTCAGTTCCGTGACATGCCTTATATATCTCCTTACAAGGATTTCTCCCACTTGAGGTCGGGAACACTAGAGAAAGAGAAACATGCTTGTGGGGTTATTCATGAGCTTTTGAGCTTAACGACTGAGAAGAGAACGTTGGTGGATCACTTGACTCATTTCCGTGAGGAATTCAGATTTTCGCAGCAACTAAGAGGAATGCTTATAAGACACCCTGATCTCTTCTACGTGTCTTTAAAAGGGGAAAGAGATTCGGTATTCTTACGAGAAGCTTACAGGAACTCTGAGTTGATAGATAAAGATCCTTTAACTCTTGTGAAAGAGAAGATGCGCGCGCTTGTTTCTGTACAGAGATTCCCAAGGAGGGAAGGACCCAAGAGAGAGGAAGATGGAAGAGACGAACAGATGGATGGAAGCGATGCAGAGGCTGAGGAGGAGGAAGAAAGTGATGATGAAGAATGGTCTGATGTTGATGGTTACTTGGAAGGTGAAGGTGGTGGCAATGATGACGAAGGTGATTGGACTGATGAAGAAGGAGAAGAAGAAGAAGAAGATGTGCCTCCTAACTTTGATGATGATGAAGATGAAGAAGGGGAAGGTAGCGTGAAGATTGGATTGAGTCCTTCAAGTAGAAAGTCAAGTAGTCCTAGAAAGAAGGAAGAGAAAGTACTTACTCCTGTGTTCCCTGATGGTACTCCAAGAGAAAAGTGGTAGATCATTACAGATTAGCTCCATCAAAAATGTTTACTTGTCTTGTATGAATCATTCTTAAAGATGAAACACTAATAGCTCAAGTTAGCTTGGGAACTCACAAGTTTATGTATGTTGTTGCTTCGTTGTAAGAACACTTGAGAATGATAATTAATCTTTCTCAATTTGTGTTTTGTTATAACACAAAAACGCTGCGTTTTGAGTCCGTAGTGAAATAAAACGGCTAGCTCTTATCCGGAAATTTTGAGTGAATAAAATGGAGAATATCTCTGTAACTTTCCGCCATTGTTACAGCTCCTTGTTTCTTCATCACTCACAGCGAAGATATCGTTTTAATCGTTCTTTGGCTTGTTTTTCTGTGGACATCAAGCATGCGTCGTTTGAATCTTTACCAATCTCAGTTTCTCTGGAACCGTCGTCTCCAAGTTGGGATCTTTTATCCCATGGGGATTTTCATCCGTTGAAGGAGCTAAATGGATGCAAAAATCTGATTTCTGTTAAAGCTACTCATGCTCGGATGATGAGGCTGTTCGATAGATTCGACTTGGAGTTCGTCGCCAGGCGCTTGATCTCTCGTTACCTTGAATTTGGAGTATTTGGGTATGCTAGTACTATTTTCTTCCTGGGTTTCCCTCGTAATCAAGTTTCATGGAGGGATTTCTCGGAAGAGGTCGAGAATTTCGGACTAGAGAAGTATAGAGTCTTGGAGGATTTTGTTCAGTTACAGAACAGAGGAGTAGAATTCGATGGAGTAGTTCTCGCTATGGTTTTGAGAATTTGTACTGTTCTAATGAATCCGTTTTTAGGTTTCACTATCCATGGCGGATTGATTAAGAGAGGTGTCGATAATTCAGATACACGCGTGGTTTCTGCATTGATGGGTTTCTATGGAAGATGTGTGAGTTCAGATGTCGCCAACAAGATATTCGATGAAATGCCTAAAAGAGATGATCTCGCGTGGAACGAGATAACTATGGTAAATTTGCGGAGTGGGAAGTGGGATAAAGCTGTGAAACTGTTCAGAGAGATGCAGTTTTCTGCTGCAAAAGCGTATGATAGAACAATGGTTAAGCTTTTGCAAGTTTGTAGCCATAAAGAAGGTTTAGCAGAAGGGAGACAGATTCATGGGTATGTTCTGAGACTTGGGTTTGAAACAAACATCTCGGTGTGTAACTCCTTGATTGTCATGTACTCAAGGAATGGCAAGCTTGAATCATCCAGGAAAGTTTTCAATTCAATGAAAGACCGGAATTTGTCTTCGTGGAACTCAATTGTATCGAGTCATACTGCGTTTGGTTATGTAGATGATGCCATGACTCTCCTGGACAAAATGGAGAGATGTAATTTGAAGCCAGATATAGTGACATGGAACTCTCTTTTGTCAGGCTATGCATTTAAAGGCTTATACAAAGGTGCCATTGCGATATTGAAGAGAATGCAAATTGCTGGTCTGAAGCCAAACACCAGCTCGATAAGTAGTCTTCTACAAGCTGTTGCTGAACCGGGGCTGCTTAAACTTGGAAAGGCGATTCACGGATATGTAATAAGAAATCAGCTTTGGTACGATTTGTATGTAGAAACCACATTGATCGACATGTATGTGAAAACTGGCTGTTTGCCTTACGCCAGGATGGTTTTTGATAAAATGGATGAGAAGAACATTGTTGCTTGGAATTCACTCATATCAGGACTTTCGTACGCTGGTCTGCTAAAAGATGCTGAAGCTTTGATGATTAAAATGGAAAAGGAAGGGAACAAACCTGATGCTGTTACATGGAACAATCTCGTTTCTGGGTATGCGACTTGGGGGAAAACCGAGAAAGCTTTGGCTGTGATAGGGAAGATGAAAAAGAATGGTGTGGCGCCTAACGTGGTTTCATGGACTGCCATTTTGTCGGGATGTTCCAAAAATGGCAACTTCGGGAATGCCCTCAAAATATTCATTAAAATGCAGGAAGAAGGTGTCTGTCCGAACTCAGCTACCATATCCACCTTGCTTAGGATATTAGGCTGCTTGAGTCTAGTATACAGTGGCAAAGAGGTGCACAGCTTCTGTTTAAAGAACAATTTGATCCGCGATGCATATGTTGCAACTGCACTAGTAGATATGTACACAAAATCAGGGGATCTGCGAAGCGCGTCTGAGGTTTTCTGGAGCATTGAGAACAAACCGTTAGCTTCTTGGAACTGTATGATCATGGGTTATGCCATGTTTGGGCAAGGCAAAGAAGGGATTGCGGTCTTCAATAGGATGCTTGAAGCAGGCATGGAACCTGATGCTATAACATTTACCTCTGTCTTGTCTGTCTGTAAGAACTCAGGTCTTGTCTCTGAAGGGTGGAAGTACTTCGATCTTATGATGTCCCATTATGGTTTTTTCCCGACTCTCGAACACTGCTCTTGCATGGTAGATATGCTCGGGAGGTCGGGTTATCTTGATGAAGCTTGGGATTTCATTCAAACAATGCCAATTAAACCCGACGCAACTATTTGGGGTGCATTTCTTTCATCTTGTAAGATCCACAGAGACCTGGAACTCGCGGAAGTCGCTTGGAAGAGGCTGCAAGTGCTGGAACCGCACAATTCAGCTAACTACATGATGATGATAAACTTGTACAGTAGTTTGGACAGATGGGAAGATGTTGAACACATACGAGACTCGATGAGGAATCAGAGGGTGAAAGTCCAAGATCTGTGGAGCTGGATTCAGATCGATCAAACGGTTCATGTATTTTATGCAGAAGGAAAAGCACATCCGGATGAAGGAGAAATATACTTTGAGCTGTACAAGTTAGTCTCTGAGATGAAGAAATCAGGTTATGTGCCAGACACAAGCTGTATACACTCTAACGTAAGTGAACCAGAGAAAGAGAGGTTGCTTATGGGACATACAGAGAAGTTAGCAATAACCTATGGCCTCATCAAGAAGAAAGGCTTAGCTCCTATAAGAGTGGTCAAGAACACGAGTATATGTTCTGATTGCCACACCGTAGCAAAATACATATCAATTTTGAGAAACCGTGATATAGTCTTACACGAGGGGTCTCGAGTTCATCATTTTAGAGACGGAAAATGTTCCTGCAATGACTCGTGGTTATAAGATAGATACTAACTAGCTCTGTTTTTCTTGTACAATGGTGCGTAAATACAGACACTGTCCAACAAACACCGTAAACTAAAATTACATCAAAACTTTACGACAGGCTCAACATGGCCTATGGAGCTGATCATAACAAAGCAGCGTGACCACGAGTGCTTCTATAATATATATTATGACCAGACTAAAGAATTTCTTAAAGGAAGAGTCTAAACACACTGGAGCTTTCTTTCCTTCACCGAGCTTCGATCACGTGGAACTATATGAATCTTCAAATGCTGCTGTATGATTCTTCTCTCTGTGTATCTATTTGAATGTTTTTTCAGAATGCGGCGATGGAATTGGTAATGTCCTGAGCAGCCAATCTTTCAGAGACACAAGCCAAGGATTTCAAGTTACACTTGATGAGTGCTTCCACGAAGTAACATGTCTCATCTTTGGTGTTGCCTTGAGGAACATCCACAACAAAAGATTCAATCACCATAGTTGCTGACCTCCCATCGATCATCTCCGGATGTACAGTCAAGATCGAAGAGTATTTCTGCAGAAAAAAGAGAGTCGTTACAACACTTCTATTTAATTTCTGAACCTGTTAAAAAGCTATGAGATTTGAGGAGGGTTTAACCAGTAAACTCACTCTGAGTCTGTGATCACCACCAATGATGTTGATACCGAGGATGTGTTCATCATCATCAAGCTGTTCCAATCTCTCGGTACTGGTCGTCGCAGGAAGACCAGATTTGACGTTTACTTCTCTGAGACTACCGATCTCAGGATCACCATTAACGGTACATCTGCTTATAAATGGTTTATATTTCTGCGGCTGATCAAATCTCCGAACCAGTGACCAAACCTGAGTCATGTATATACCACCATCGTTAGCACGAGAATCTGCCGAAATCAGCATATAAAAACAGAAAGATCGGGAACCCTAAATCCGGTAAAAATTTCAAATTCACGGTGGATCGGGTAAGAATTTCAACAAAATCCGAAACTGAAAAAACGAATCTGAGAAGATTAAAGTGCTTACGAGATGAACAGGGGCTTTAATGTATTTGACGAGAACAGAGGTACATTGGTTTTCACTGCAATGGTGACGATGATGCAACTGTGCGTATCTCGCCGTCACAAGAGCTCCGTACATCTCTGTGTCGTCTCCGATGATCTCCTCCATATCTTCTTTAGATCAGAACCTCTTATCTTCCTCCTTCTGTCCTAAAAAGGAATCTGGTGGGAGAGTGGATAAAAGAGAGAGAGAGAGGAAAGGAGATTGAAGAAAGAGGAATAAATTAGCTTTTATGGTTTTCCAAAAAGCTTTGATTTTCTTTTTTTTTAATACAAAAATTGTTAATTTTGGTTGGTTGGACTCAAAAATCAACGAACACACCGACATATTACCACCAACGGATTTACGATGAACCGACAAATCTTTACATGTCTTACGAGTCATGGTTTTATTGGTTTGTCGTCTCACCTTTTTGGACTAGCTCTTGACTTTTACCATGTGTAGTTTATAAATCTATCTTCTCCAACCAAAAAAGCTTTTAAAACTATCTGCGCAAATGAGGAAGCCAAATTTTCAAAAAAGTGAGCTGAAACCAACATATTTATTAATTTTATTAAGGAGAAAAATATATCTGATCAATATATACGTTTTACTGTGATCTCCAAAGTATTGCTATATTTGCTGGAAAGTACAAGTAATTTTAGGTTGATGTCAGCAACCATGAGAATCACATGCAAAAGATTAATAAACCAGAAATCAAACCGAAATTCTTTTAGGAAACAGAGAAGATTAGGCTTTCTCACGTTCTTCAGCTATTCTTTTCTTGATCTCCACGACTGTGTTGAAAACCCCTAGAGTGAGGCTGGTTACATTCATTTAGAGATTTATCCAGTATTTCTTCTGTTTCAGTTTAGATTTACCTTAAATAGGATTGAACACACTCCAAGGCCATCAAATTTTTGTAAGTTTCTAACTTTTGTATAAATTCTTGAAAACTACTGTATAGTCAAACAATTTGCCTGAAAAAAAATCGGTCATATATCCTAAGAAGAATTAGAAAACTCTGGTTAGTAGTGGGATTGAAGCAAACTGCGTCTAGCGATTCCACTTGACCTTCTTCATCACCATCAACGCCTTAGCCATCGCTGCCCTTGCCGTCTCCGTCGTGGCATTCGCTACTTGAATCATTTCCGCCGCCTTCTCCGCCATCTCCCTCGCGTCCGCCGCCGCCTCCTCCATATTTTCCACCATTCTCACAACCGAATCCCACGAAGATGGATCTTCCGCCGACTCTGCCCCGTACGTCTCCACCATCTCCACCATTGTTTCAACCTCTTCCACGATTTCCGCCGACTCTGCCGACATGGCATTGGCGTTCTTCATCATAACCGCTGCCTTTGCCACCATTGTTGACACCTCCTTCACCATGGCTACAGAGAACTCATCGAGCTTTTTTTTGTTAGAGTTGGTTTATCATGTCAAACCGGACAGTGTTACCGGCCGGTTCGGTCCTTTAACGAAACAGAGAGATTTGGATTTTCTTTTACAAACCTTGGGCTTTCTCACGTACTTTAGCTATCTTTTTCTTGACCTTCACGGCTGTTTTGAAAAACCCTAGAGTTGGCTTGTCACACACGAAGCAGTTAACGTTCTTCTCGTGATGCTGCATCACGAAACAAACACGACAACAACAATGAAGCTCTGTTTTCACAAGTTCCTGAGTCATGAAAGATATTGTTGAAAAGGGAATAATATATACCTTTAGAGCGCAATGCTTGCAGAAGTAATGATAGCATCTTGTTACAATCGGATCCAAGAATGGTTTTCTGCAAATGGAACATGCTAAGGGCAATGCATCATCTTCTTCCGCTGATCGCTCAAATTCAAGCTTCCTCGCTGTTGGTTTTTTGGCGACACCATCTTCTTTCTCCACTGCTTCTTCCTCTGTTCGCTCAAATTCAAGTTTCCTCGCTGTACTTTTTTTGGCGACAACATCTAGTTTCGAGCATTGGTTTTCCGGATCTTCATCTTCGTCTTCATCAAGCGTTCTCTTCCTTGTGGTTTTAGCGATTTCGCCTTGTTGAGACTTAGATTCTTGCTCTGGTGTTTGAAATTCTTGAAAAGGCGTTTTAGGTTCATCATAATCTGACATTCTTGCACAGATGAGACTAACACTTGACACTTTTCCTCTATGGATAATATACCTGCGATGCAAATAACAAATATTACATCCCGATCATTCTCTGAATGAAAAAATCTACCGATTCTGATTTTGATATCACAAATCACAACACTGGAGATATTATTACCGAATTCGTCTTGAAAAGAAGAACTAATAAATTGGAATTTGACCTAATAAACTCCATCTCAAACCAGTGATTCCCCTAAAGAAATCGCCTAAGTATAGATCAACATTATTCCAGTAAAAGAACGACGCAGAACATGCATATATGGGAAATATATAATCGAAAAAACCATTGAAGATTATTCTAAAAAGATAAAATTGTAGAATCAACCTTATCTTGAAAATGGCGGCAAAATTCTCAACTTCGATTGAACTAGAAAAGAATGAACAGAGAGAAGAAGACGACTTGAAAATAAAGAGAGAAAGAGATAACTAACCTCGCATTTACAGGAATCAAGTGATTATCGGAAAATTACGACGGAAACAAGAACACATACGGCGACGGTGAATGTGACAGCGTCTTCCGATAGCTGGAGCGATGAAGAGAATAATGAAGAAGAAGAAGAAGAAGAAGAGTTAGTTACGCCGGTTAGTTCACAATTTGAAACATATACTTGGGCTTAATGGGCTTTTTATTAAGCCTGAGCCCGTAAAATGTATTCGGCTCACCTAGTTTGACACAGTCTTCTTTTCAATTTTTGTTTTGTTTATTTTAGTTGTTCTTTTAATTAATTGTGAATATTTCCCTTTCCCTCTCTTTTGTCCTATCATTGCTCCAATTTCGAAGAAACTGCAAAAATGGGTCTCTATTTACCAGCGCCGTGCCAAGCTTGACGAAGACTGACTTTTTTTGACTGCGCGAGAAAATTCAGAGAATTAAATTCGAGAAATCTCCGGTTTCAGTTCATCGAACAAATTTTCTACTCTAATTTTCTTAATCGCTTCTCAGTAATCACTATTCAGTTACTTCGACGTTTTGGTAAGTTTCTGAGATCAGCGATTTAAACGTTTAATTTCTAATTTCCGTTTCCATATCTTCTTCGTTTGATTTTGATTTTTGTTATTCCTGTAACTGTTTCTTCGATGTATTATATGATTTTTATTTTTTCAATTTGATTTTGGGGACTTTAGTTTGTATATGATATTGGAATTTGTTGTTATATGATTCAGGATCCGTCTAAGAAAACGAAGGCTTGACTTATGGGTTTTGGTCACGACAATCGTCTAAGGTTGTTTACCTGCTTTAATCTCGTATGTTTTTATATGAATCAATTCACTGAGAGACTAGGAATATGAATTGATTACAGCTATAGTGGTCTAAATTTTTACTGTATCATAAGATTCTTATGGAATTGTTGTTTGGTGATGATTTTGTTTAGGTTCAAAGATTGGATATCAGAGGACTCATTATTCAAAGATTATGGTTACGGAAGAAAAGCTAGACCATCTATAAACGCAGTTTTGAAGAATGTTCGTAGAGGATTTGAGAAAGGGTCAGATAAAATCAGGACTTTTAAGAGACCATTAAGTTTTGGTTCACATAAGAAGGAGCAGAAGAGAGATTCTAGCACCCAGAAGAACATCATAAACCCACAAGGCTCATTTCTGCAGAACTGGAACAAAATCTTTCTCTTTGCTTCAGTGATTGCTCTGGCGATTGATCCATTGTTTTTTTACATCCCCATTGTTGATGGAGAAAAGCACTGCCTTAATTTGCACTCGGAATTGGAGATAGCAGCTAGTGTGCTTCGAACATTTATAGATGCCTTCTACATTATTCACATTGTGTTCAAGTTTAGAACAGCTTATGTCTCTCCTTCTTCCCGGATTTTCGGAAGAGGCGAACTTGTGGAGGATCCTAAAGCCATAGCCAAAAAGTACCTCTCCTCGTACTTCATCGTCGATGTTCTTTCTATCCTTCCACTCCCACAGGTACAATGAGTGCTTCTTGATCCCTTAAAGTTGCTAATATTTTAATGGTTCCTTGATGATTCAATAACATTCCCTCGTTTCTTCTGCAGCTTGTAGTCTTAGCTGTTATCCCCAACGTGAACAAGCCAGCCTCTTTGCTCACCAAGGACTACCTGATAACTGTCATATTTACTCAGTACATTCCCAGGATCATTCGTATTTATCCGCTTTACAGTGAAGTAACAAGAACATCTGGAATAGTTACTGAAACAGCTTGGGCTGGAGCTGCTTGGAATCTTTCTCTCTATATGTTAGCCAGTCATGTGAGTTCCAAAATCATTAGATAACAAAAATCTTTATTATTGTAATGGCGTCCCAAGTGATTTGATTGATCAAAGTTTATTTGAAAATTTACTTCTATAGGTGTTTGGAGCCTTATGGTACTTGATCTCAGTAGAACGAGAGGACAGATGCTGGCGAGAAGCTTGCGCCAAGAGACAAGGCGGGTGTGATTTTACATTTCTCTACTGTGATGAAAACAGTAATGTTATAAATGATTTCCTGACTACCTCGTGCCCGTTTATCAATCCTGATGATATAACAAATTCAACGGTCTTTAACTTTGGCATCTTTACTGATGCACTGAAGAGTGGGATTGTTGAATCAGATGATTTCTGGAAGAAATTCTTCTACTGCTTCTGGTGGGGTCTGCGTAATCTAAGGTTTGTGTAACTCTTTCTAGTCAGAACGACTCCATTTCGAGCCTGGTTATAGCAATATTTATGTAAATGTAGGAGTCATTGACGGCAGATAAGATATGATCAGTGCCTCTCTGTATTAGCATCTTTAGCCTTACAGATGTATCAGAGACTAATCTGATCACTTGCTTTCTCATTGCAGTGCATTGGGACAAAATCTCAACACAAGCAAATTCGTTGGGGAAATCATCTTTGCTGTATCAATATGCATATCTGGCCTAGTCTTATTCGCACTACTTATCGGCAATATGCAGGTAAATCCTCGAAGAAGCGCTTTAAACCACTCCTTTTACTCACGGTACTCAAGCCACGAGGAAGATAAGATACTGAATTTACGGTTTTTCATTACAGAAATACTTGGAATCGACAACAGTTCGGGAAGAGGAGATGAGAGTGAGAAAAAGAGATGCAGAGCAATGGATGGCTCATCGGATGTTACCAGAGGACCTGAGGAAACGTATCAGAAGGTATGAACAATACAAATGGCAAGAAACCAGAGGAGTCGAAGAAGAAAACCTTCTGCGTAATCTCCCTAAAGACCTCAGGAGAGACATTAAACGCCATTTTTGCCTCGACCTCCTCAAGAAAGTAAGTGCACGCAGCTTGTCTCTTCGATCTTCCATTGATATACATTTTTGCTCGAATCAAAATTCAATTCTTGTGGTGAAGGTACCCCTGTTTGAGATAATGGATGAGCAATTGCTAGACGCCGTGTGTGACAAGCTAAAACCAGTGCTCTACACTGAAAACAGCTACGCAATCCGGGAAGGAGATCCGGTGGAGGAGATGTTGTTTGTTATGAGAGGAAAGTTGATGAGCGCCACCACAAACGGTGGCCGGACCGGCTTCTTTAACGCCGTGTACCTCAAAGCTAGCGACTTTTGCGGCGAAGATCTTCTCACATGGGCATTGGATCCTCAATCTTCGTCGCATTTTCCGATCTCGACGAGAACAGTTCAAGCTTTAACAGAAGTAGAAGCCTTTGCTCTTGCAGCAGAAGATCTCAAGCTTGTGGCTTCGCAGTTCAGACGACTCCATAGCAAACAGCTTCAACATACTTTCAGGTTTGGTCTATTTTGACAGATCTGCTTCTCCGACTGTTTGGTTTAGTTCGGTTCTGACCGGTTTAAATCTCAGGTTTTATTCGGTACAATGGAGAACTTGGGGCGCATCTTTCATACAAGCTGCTTGGCGGAGACACTGCCGGAGGAAACTGGCCAGGTCATTAACTGACGAAGAAGATCGATTCCGGAACGCGATCGCAAAACGCGAACGCGACGAAGCTTCGTCGTCGTCGAGTCTAGTTGCCACGTTATACGCGTCGCGGTTCGCTTCAAACGCACTTCGCAATCTGCGTCACAACAACCTTCCTTTGCTTCCTCCTAAACCCTCAGAGCCGGATTTCACTGCAAATCATATTCGAAACCCTTAAAAATCTTTACCACACGAGTCCACTTACCACTGTAAATTCTCAATTAAAATAAATTGCAGAAATTTCGAATTGTCTATTTTTATATATAGATATTTTTTTTTTCATTTGAACTCAAAACTATGTATAGTTTAACAGAAGGAAAACCAAAGCCCATTAAGAAGCCGCCAAAATAAAAATCCCTTCTTTTAGTCATAAATCCAGAAGGAAGTCTCGTAGCCCAACAACTATAGAGAGAGACTTAGGGCTTCGTTTTTTTTTTTTTCAATCTTCCCCTTCTCTTCAGAAATCGATTTTCTTCGTCTTCCAAGCTTCGATAATTGCAAACTATGGCGGATCAGAGCTCTAAGCCGTTGCAGTTTTTCGTGAGGCTTCTTGAGGGAAAATCGATAACCTTAACTTTCTCCTCTCCATTAGCGTATGGTGACCAGATCAAGCAGCGGATCTTCGAGCAGACGAAGATTCCGACGCATCTACAGCGCTTAATATGCGGAGGCTATCAGATCTCCGATAGATCCGCGGTTTCGCAGCCTGACGCCACCGTGAATCTTGTCCTTTCCCTCCGTGGAGGTAAGGGAGGGTTCGGGTCGCTACTTCGTGGAGCGGCGACCAAGGCTGGGCAGAAGAAGACCAACAACTTCGATGCGTGTAGGGATATGAGTGGGCGGAGGTTGAGGCATGTAAACGCGGAGAAGAGGCTGGAGGAGTGGAAGGAAGGGGAAGAGGAGAGGAAGCTTGAGAAATTGGCGCATGAGTTTCTGAAGAAGCAGGCGAAAAAAGTTAAACAAGGTGTTGGCAATGGAGCTACGCAGAAATACGTGAAGAAGTATAGGGAAGATTCTGATAAGTGCATCAAGGCGGTGGATTTGGCCTTGAAAGAATCTTTCCAGAATGGGAAGAGGAAGGGGAAGATGGACGCAGAATCTGTAAAGTCGAAGCGACTCAAGATATGGTATGAACAAATCTCTTTTATCTTCCCATGGTTTAGGCATCTATGCTTGGAACAAGTAGCGATTTTGTGATATTATCTCTCGTTTGCTATATTCGGTGTTTTCTAGTTTTAAGTTTACCAAGCCTGTGAAGTTGATTGATCTCAAACTCTTTGTTATTGTTTTGAATTTATGACGCTACAAGATGGGTTTTGTGATTCAGTAGTGTCGCATAGATTCTGATATCTGATGATTTTGTGTTTTGTTACACTTGGGTTCTTCAATTCTCTGTTGCTTGTCTTTGATGATGTATTTGATATATATTCAGGAAGGGAAAGAGAGCTGTTGAGGATAGTGACAGTGATGATAGCAGCGAGGAGGAAGACGAGAAATCTGTTGTTCTAAACAGTAGTAGCCAAGTTGTTTCAGATAAGGATACTGATGAAAGCTCAGGCTCCGTTATGGCTGGAGCACATTATGGTGATAGTTCTGGTAAAGCGTCCTGCAATAGCGGTTCAGAGGAAGAGAAAGACAGTGCAGTGCACCAAAGTTCAGATGTAATTAAGGGAGAGATCACAGGTGTTCAAGGGATTAACGAAGAGAAGATGGATGATTCGCCTGCTGCTGTTGTTGATGAGATGGGTCGAACTGAAAAAGAGGAGAATTCAAGTGGAGATGCAGAAAAGAACCTGGTCGAGGCAGCTTGTGAACCACTAATTACGTCCAGTGTAGCTGTCGATAAGCAAGAGAATGATTCTGAAGTAACGACAGGAGTTGTTGCGGGAGAAACAGTGTCTGTTGTTGATGCAGTGTGTTGCAAATCCATGGAACCGCTTAACTTTGATGACTTTAATTCAGCAACAGATATGGAGGTATGGGTTTTTTTGAACATAATGTCAGAAACTCTAATTGATACGATCATTTAGTTCATGTGTTGCATCAAACAACTACTAAATCTTTATACTGTGTGTTTGGTTGCAGGTAATGGGGATGGAGAGATTGAAGAGTGAGCTGCAGTCACGTGGACTGAAATGCGGAGGGACATTGCAAGAGCGAGCTGCGAGGCTGTTCCTACTTAAAACAACACCACTCGACAAGCTCCCAAAGAAACTGCTGGCCAAGAAATGAACCATGTTCAAACCTTTTCGAAATTGACTCTGCTTGTTGTATTATTATGGAATTAGAATAACACAAACCCCCACTTGTGTAATACTAATAATATCAGTTCTAAGCTGCTTCAACTAATCCACCTAAGTTTAATCACTCCCTTTATCGCATTTTTCATCTACTAATGAATTTTCCCAGTTTTTCGGGAAGCTGTCGTTTCACAGTGAGATATATATAATTGGCGGACAAAAAAAAGTCAGAAAAGGAATAATATTCGACTCTCTTTTTAAAACACACAAATGATTGGTTTTCAGGAAATTAATTTTTAATAATCTGCCTTGATAGTATAGTGAGAGCAGCAGAGAGACTCACAATCACAAAGCTTCCCAAACCCAGATCCAACTCTCAGTTTCTTCTTCTTCTTCTGTGGACGATCAATGGCGGGCGTTTCTGTGGACGAGTTCCTGAATCGGTGCAAAGAATCTGGCGACGCAGCGTATGGCGCCTTACGCTCCTTGTTGGAGCGCCTCGAGGATCCGATTACTCGATCCGACGCTCGGATCTTCTTATCCGATCTCTACAAGCGCATCGGATCCTCCGAGTCCTCTCTCCAGACTTACCACTTCCATATCCAGGACATCTTCCTCGATCAATACCAAGGTACCATTTCATTTCATCAACCGACGAATGAATTAATTGCATGTTTACGAGTTGTGGATAATTGATATATTTTTTTTCCTTCTGATTGATTGATTTTCGGAGCGTAATCTCTCCGATCTTACATTATGAGATCACCGGTTGACTTGATGATCAATTTCGATTTCCCGAGAAATCGGCGGATAATTCCGGTGTCAAATCTCGGCGGCTTTTTTCTCCAATGGATAAGCTACATATACACATATATACACACATCAATTTAGCTTTTCAAGGTCTTTTTTATTTTATTTTTCTTCCTTGTCGCTTTCTGGTGACAAACTCAACTACTCATCTCACTCCTATCGTAAGTTTCCAAAATTAGTAACCATGGTATTATGACCTTTTTGTTGGATTCGATGGTCCTTTTTGCTTTCTATGGATGGTCCTTTTTGCATCATCAGATATATTGGTTACCTTATTAGTTATGAAACCATGCTTGTATCTAATATATATATTCCTCTTTTCTTCTGCAGGCTTTCAGACTAGGAAAAAGTTGACCATGATGGTCATTCCAAGTATTTTTATTCCAGAAGACTGGTCATTCACATTTTATGAAGGACTTAACAGACATCCTGACACCATCTTCAAGGATAAGACTATTGCCGAACTTGGCTGTGGTAACGGATGGATATCAATAGCCATTGCTGCTAAGTGGTTGCCTTCAAAGGTCAGTCTGTTTATGAATCTTTTTTTTTCCTTAATACCACTACTTACTGAATTTCAGTCTTAGTAAGATGGGAAACAGTTCTACTATTGTCTCGTTTAGTATGGATATTGCTCCTCGTATCTACCCTGAAAAAATGCTTTACAGTAACCATACATACAGGTGTCAAGCATATAACTTCACATTTACGTGTTTTTGCAGGTATACGGTCTTGATATTAATCCTAGAGCTGTGAAAATTTCTTGGATAAATCTGTATTTAAACGCTCTTGATGATAATGGCCAACCAGTCTATGATGACGAGAAGAAAACTTTACTGGACAGGGTGGAATTCTATGAATCTGATTTGCTTAGTTATTGTAAAGATAATAAAATTCAGCTCGAGAGAATTGTAGGATGCATACCTCAGGTAGTTTTTTCCATCTCTTCTCCAATAGCTTATATACGTCGGACTTTCAAACTTCTAAAATCTGACGTTTCCTTTATCTTATGCACTTGTGGCAGATTCTTAATCCAAACCCAGAAGCCATGTCTAAGATGATAGAAGAAAATGCAAGTGAGGAATTTCTCCATTCGCTGAGTAACTATTGCGCCCTTCAGGTAAGGGACTTTCTTTTCTGCAAAAATAATCCGAAAGGGTCCATAGCATGTTCACAAGCTTCGTGTGAACCAATTTCATGTTATATCATTGAACCTTTTAATCCGCAATGCTTCTTTTTCTTCCTTGTCTATCACAATTCATCGCAATCTCACCTTTAGATTTTTGCTAGCGCTATTGAGCCAGTCACAAGCATTCCTGACGTTCACATTTTCAGCCAAAATTGTGCATTTTTGGGATGAGTATTAACTTAAGAAATTGTTATTCTCTTCCTCTGTTAAATCCCCATCACTCTCTCTTTTTCTGTCGCCAGCGAATTACACATCTCTTGCTTTTATTTACACTAAATGATAGACCAGCTGCTGAAAACTTTGTTATGTGGCTGATTTTCCTGTGCCTGATGAATTTTGTCCATTTTCAGGGTTTTGTTGAGGATCAGTTTGGCTTAGGTTTGATTGCCAGAGCAGTTGAAGAAGGAATATCTGTCATCAAACCTGCAGGGATTATGATATTCAACATGGGTGGTCGTCCTGGGCAAGGTGTCTGTAGACGCTTGTTTGAGCGGCGAGGAGTCCGTGTTACGCAGATGTGGCAGACTAAAATACTTCAGGTAAAAAATTTATCTCTGAAAGATCATGCTCCTCCACAATGGCCACTTGACATATGACATGTGTGTTCACAGGCTGCAGATACCGATATCTCGGCATTAGTTGAAATTGAGAGGAGCAGCCCGCATCGTTTTGAGTTTTTTATGGGACTTTCTGGAGACCAACCAATTTGTGCTCGAACAGCATGGGCCTATGGGAAGGCTGGTGGACGAATTTCTCATGCTTTATCGGTTTATAGTTGTCAGCTTCGCCAACCAAATCAGGTGGGTAGATAAAAAAAAATCTTTAGTAAATATTTATGTTACGGTGAACAACAAAGAATCAATTTAGTGGTTATGATTGACAGGTTAAGATAATCTTTGACTTCTTGAAAAATGGATTCCAAGAAATCAGCAGTTCACTGGATTTATCTTTTGAAGATGAAGCTGTTGCTGATGAGAAAATTCCGTTCCTCGCTTATCTTGCTAGTGTTCTGAAAGATAGCTCCTATTTCCCCTTTGAACCTCCAGCTGGCAGCAAAAGATTCTGCAGTCTAATTGCAGGCTTTATGAGGACATACCACCGCATTCCAATTAATCAGGATGTAAGACTATTCCATATTTATGTTTTTGTCAGTTCTTTCTTACAGTTCCAGGCAATAATTTATTCACACAGATGTTGCATTTGTACTATACATGTTAATATATGAAACTAGGGGCCACTAAACATCTTTCAAAAAAAAAATTCGTGGAAGGAATTTGAAAGGAACACTTGAAACTTCCGGACTCATGAAATATGTAAAGCCTGATTCTTCTAATGTCCATGTGGAACCTTCCAATAATTTCTGAGTCTGCTTCTTTTTTTTTGCAAGAACATTGTCGTGTTTCCATCAAGGGCTGTGGCAATCGAGAGTGCATTTCGGTTATTTTCCCCTCGACTTGCAATTGTTGATGAGCATTTAACTCGACAACTTCCGAGGAGCTGGTTAACCTCTTTAGCCGTTGAGGTAAAGCGTATTTCTACAGCTAGTATTTTTACACTATTTTGGAACAAAATGATGCTAGTGATGTATTTTTTTGTATGTGAGCGCTTATGCTCAATTCTGTGTAAGGTGTTGCCTAGTAATATGAGTGGGTATAACTAGCTTAATGTCGCTGTAAATTTGTCGAGTGTCTCTACTATTGAAATTTACTTGGTAAATTGTAATAGATGAAAGTTCCGTAATAAGACATCACTTTACCTGATTTCGCTGTGAGTATATTGAGTGTCTCTCTGAGTAACTATGTCTGAAGATATATGTGTGTTTATTGATGGGTGATTTCTGTTTGTGATGTGCTTAACGGGAAACTTGTTAATCAATTGTAGAACACGAGCAAGGAGGAATCAGATGATCAAATCACAGTAATCGAATCCCCACACCAATCTGATCTGATGATAGAACTAATTAAGAAACTAAAGCCACAGGTGGTCGTTACTGGAATGGCTCAATTTGAGGTCATTACCAGTTCATCGTTTTTGCATCTGTTGCAAGTGACGAAAGAAATTGGATGTCGACTTTTCTTGGATATATCTGATCACTTTGAGTTGTCTAGCCTCCCTGCATCCAATGGGGTACTGAAATATCTTGCTGAAAACCAACTACCTTCTCATGCAGCAATTATCTGTGGTCTGGTAAAGAATAAGGTATAGTTTTCCTCCAACCACATCGCTGATGTTGTTCTATCTCTTCTGATTGGGAACAAATAGATCTAAGTTAATTTCCGTAAATCTCTTAATTTTTTTTGTCATGTGTTATATACCAAGTTATTGTTCTGCAGGTTTATTCAGATTTAGAAGTAGCCTATGTCATTTCAGAAGTTGATGGCATTTCTAAGGCCTTGTCTAAAACGGTGGAAGTATTGGAAGGTCATACTGCTATTATCAGCCAATACTATTATGGTTGCCTATTCCATGAGCTTCTGGCTTTCCAGCTTGCTGATCGCCATGCCCCAGCTGAGGTATGTACTTAAATCTGTTTTAGCTTACGTGTTAGATTCTTTTTCAGGGTAAGATGCGACTGTGACTTGCTTAATAGTATTTACTAATAGTATTTACTTTAAAAAAATACGGGCAAGCCACTCGGCAAGAACTGAAAGGCATGTGTGCTATACTTGAAATAAATTTTAGACATAGTACTGTTTTTTTTTTCATGACACCCTAAACTTTACAATCCCGGACCGATAGGAGTAACCAAAAATTAAGGATTAAGCTCTCCTTTGTGTTTATAGTAAGGGTTAGAACTTCGTTACTCAGTTCTCTGTTATGGCTTGTAGAGGGAAAGTGAGAAGACAAAGTCTGAAGATATCATTGAATTTTCAAGCTCAGCCGTCTCTGTTCTGAAAGATGCTGAGCTTTCAGTCACTGAAATTGATGACACTTCTGTAATCCACATGGACGTGGATCAAAGTTTCTTGCCAATTCCAAGATCTGTAAAGGCTGCAATCTTTGAAAGTTTTGTGAGGCAGAACATATCTGAAGCGGAAGTTGATGTCAACCCAAGTATAACGCAGTTTGTGTGGAGTAATTATGGGTTTCCAACGAAAAGCAGCACAGGCTTTGTATATGCTGATGGCTCACAAGCACTATTCAATAAACTGGTCATTTGCTGCGCTCAAGAAGGTGGAACGCTCTGTTTACCCGCAGGCACAAATGGGAAATACGTTGCTGCTGCCAAATTCTTAAAAGCTAAAGTCGTGAATATCCCTACTGAGTCTAGTGATGGCTTTAAGCTGACGGAAGTGACTCTAAAAAAAGCACTCGATTCCGTGAAGAAGCCATGGGTTTGTATATCTGGACCAACGGTTAGCCCTACAGGCTTGGTGTACAGCAACGAGGAGATGGATGTATTGCTGTCTACTTGTGCTAAATTTGGAGCAAAGGTCATCATCGACACTTCGTTCTCGGGATTAGAATACAGTTCAACTACCTGGGATTTGAAGAGCTCTTTGTCGAGATTGGATTCGTCCTTGTCGGTATCCCTGCTTGGATGTCTCTCTTTGAATATGCTGAGTGGAGCTGTGAAGCTCGGGTTTCTAGTATTGGATCAGTCTCTTGTTGATGCCTTCCATACACTCCCAGGCCTGAGCAAACCGCACAGCACTGTGAAATATGCCGCTAAAAAAATGTTGGCTCTGAAAGAAGAGAAAGCCAGCGACTTTTTGGAGGCCGTTTCGGAAACCATAAAAACGTTGGAGGGCAGATCTAAGCTTTTAAAAGAGGTACTCCAGTTAATGCCTTGATAAACATGCTGTTAATATTGCACCAGAGGAGTGAAATGTTCATCTCATAATCGCATGATGTTATTAACAGGTACTAGAGAACTCTGGTTGGGAGGTTATCCAACCATCAGCTGGAATGTCAATGGTGGCAAAGCCGAAAGCTTACCTCAACAAAACGGTAAAGCTGAAAGAAGGAGACGGACAGGAAGTCGAGCTTACGGATTCAAACATGAGGGACGTGTTTCTCAGCCATACCGGTGTTTGCTTGAACAGCGGTTCCTGGACCGGAATTCCTGGTTACTGCCGGTTTGCGTTTGCATTGGAGGATAGTGAGTTTGACAAAGCTATTGAATCGATAGCTCAGTTTAAAAGCGTCCTTGGTAATTGAAACTCTTTCAATTACGTGTTGCTGAACTAAAAGGGCATTTGCGCGTTGCTGGTCTTGGCCGGTATTTCTGGGACTTTAGTTCTGTTGTTTCTAATAATTCGCGTGCCCCTTTCTCGGCCAGCCCCCCCATAACGGCCAAAAGCGTGAACTTTTTTTCTTCATGCTAATAAAGGATGTACTATTCACAAACAGTCATCTATTTTTAATGTGAATAAGTCTCTGATGTTTTTCCATGTTATTGTCTTCTCTATGACGTTTGACTACAGTATGTGAAAATATTCAGATTGACGTGAAAAAAAAAGTTATATGACAAACCTATTTCAAAATATAAGTTTCTTAAATAATGTCAACTTTTCTTTCCCGACGTGAAAAAGGTAATGATTTATGTAGGTATTATTTCCTAACAAAAACTTCAAAATTCTTGTAAAATCTCGAATATGCCTTATTATAGTAATATCTTCCCTAAAATTTTCTACTACTCTTTTCGAAGTTCTTTACTTGTAGCTGTAATATCAGCTGTGATTGTTGTCAATAGCTTGATTTTAGAAAGATCTTGTACGAACCAGAGTATCTAAAGCAACACGTTGATTCTAAATGCGAAGGAATAGTTTACAACTACAATAATGTTACAGAGTACAAACCAAACCTTACAATGTAGAGCTTGATGTCTAATTAGAAGAGCAAACCAAGGCGTCTTCTGGTAGCTTCACTGTGTCATTGGGCTTTTGCATTATATCTTTTGCCTCTCTTATGGCTGAGCTCGCAGCATGTAGCACTATTTTCTTAACCTACAAATGCAGTGAGAAGTGAAGTAAATAGAGAGTTTTAACATAAGCTGAAACTTAGACTCTTGTAAACCTTCGAGAAACACGTTCAGCTATAATGAAATATTCAAACAAAGTACCTCTAACTTATCTTCGTTGGATCTGTGGTCTTTTGGCAATCTCCGAAACTCTTGTGTTAGCCTAAGGCATTCCTCTACGCTTTCAGGAGCAACAAAATCTAGAGCCACCTTTATGCAAGACTGCAAACATTTGCGTAAACGTTGAAATTTTCGCTTTTTCTTTGCTGGAAGAAGAAATGACTGAGCCAAGAGGGCTTATCTCCGTATGAATAAAAATAGATACAACAAGCTTACTTGATTAATAAACATGAGATGTCGAAAAAGAGGGAATTTGACTGGTTTCTTAGTTCTTACCTGTCTATTCCTCACTTGGTGAGGACAACCTGCAGGGATAAAAACAGCTTCGCCGAGGTGTTGCTCAAAGGTCCATGGTTCTATATCTGCATATGATCAAACATATATCTCAACCGTTCGCCACAGCAAAAAAGTGATAAACCAGCTTGTAAAGCAGAGCCGAATTTTACCGAATTCCTCCTTCAGCTGTTTCTTCTGGCTTTCATTCAAGAACAAAGTCTGGTCATGAATCGGGTGAACAACCTGAAATTAAACAGAACAAAAAAAATTCCAGAGCTCTAACGTATTAATGATCACTTCAATACGAATCATTTACAAGAGATGTATGTGGTGATACATACAGAATTCACAGGTTGGTTATTGATGTGACGAAACTCATGCTTGTGCCTTTTCAAATACTCAATAAGTTTTGGAACATCCTCTCTTCGAAAGATGTCCCAGATGGCACCACCATGCATATCAGTTTCCTTCGGAGTTTCTAGTTTCTCCTCTGGTATGGATATCGCAGTTGGCTGTGGGAGACTATCCTCTTTGTCACACGGAGGAGGAGTTGAAGGAATTGTTGGCATCATTAGCCCATTCTCCACCGACGGATCATCTTCTCTTTGGTAATTTGGAGATAATCTCTCTGTCTTTAAACAGATGTCATTATGATTCTCCTCAGCAATTGAAGGAAGTGTTGGCATCATCAGTCCATTCTCCACCGAGGAATCATCTTCGCTTTTGTTTGGAGATAATCTCTCTGTCTTCAAACAGATATCATTATGATTCTCCTCAGCAATTGAAGGAAGTGTTGGCATCATCAGTCCATTCTCCACCGAGGAATCATCTTCGCTTTTGTTTGGAGATAATGTCTCTGTCTTCAAACAGATATCATTATGATTCTCCTCAGCAATTGATTCGTTAGTCGGCGACACATTCTTCTGGGGGATTAAACTCGCATCCACCTTTGGATCATGACCTGACTCCATAGCAGTAGTGCAAGAATATGAACTAGAAGACTCTTCCATAGGGTCAGCTCTTCCAGTGTTAGTAAAGTCATCTGGAATTTAAACCATCTTTCTTCAATAATATGTCTATTATACATAAACATGGGAAAGAGCTTCTTGAGATATACCTTTTGAAACACACAATTCATCAACTTCTTGTGAGCCGGGCGGTCTCGAGCTGCTATTTGATAGTTCTTCGTTAGCTGCCTTGTCCTTTAAAACCTGTTCTCCCAAAGTACCACTGCATTCCTTTAAAGCTTTCCCATCCACTTCTTTCAGTGACTTGTTTTCAAGTTCGCTGGCTTCTGTTCGTTGGCCACCGTACTGTTTAGTCAACTTGGCTTCTGCATGTTTTTTCCGTTCTACTTTTATACTTTGGTATTGGCGGGAAGATATTTCCACTTTAGCTGTGTGTGTCAGCACATTGACCTAACTCAAAATTCATAGAACAATTAATCTACAAAGAATGGACAGCTCAGTTCCAGTGTAATAACTCTTTATGTCTACGAAGAGTAGAGGAAATTTTGGTGCACGTACCGCATCAGAAATATCACAATGTAGCTTTGTCACAGAATCTCCTCTATGAAGCTCTTCAGGGAAACCGTATGCAATGTATGTCTTGGGTCCAAGATCTGGCTTCAGGAATTCTTTTGGAAGTCTTGTTACGAGATTTAGGATACCAGACTTTGGGTCAGTGTAATCAAAGAAAGGCAATGCAGCAATAAACTCAGCATTATGCCTTGGAAGGCGCTTTTCGAATAGAGTTGATGGAGGCCAATCCTTCAATTTCAACATTTCTGGCCAACCACTGTTATGCATGCGGCCTTCTAAGTAGCCTTTAAAAAACTGGTGAATATTGATTTCAACCTACAAGAGAAAACAAGAGATGGTTATATGTAAAACTTCAAAAGGAAACAAATACTTCGAGTGTTAAAACACACAAAGAATCGGTTGTCTGACCTCGTTCCAGTCCAAACAATCCAAAGCTTTCACAGTTTTCGCCTCTTCTTTACATCCAACCTTTGGATCAATTTCCCTACAAGCTCTCCACATAACCATTGGTTCCCAACTTAGTCCAGATGTCTTCTCAAGTACATTTCTGACAATAACAGGTTCCGCCCTCAGCCAATGGGACTGAAAATGAGCAATATCTTCTTCAGCCAGATCAACAGCATTTGGGGAGTACAAGAAGTTATCATGAGCATTCTTCCTAAACGCTGCCTGCCTTCTAATGTGATCAGAATTGGCAATGCATGAGGAACATTCATGAGCAATATCTACATCTGGTGGCCTAAACTGCAGAGTAACTTCCTCTGCAACCGTTATCAGTTTTTCAACCCAATCGCATTCGGACAAGCGTCTCAACTCCAGTGTTGAAGTACCACAACCACCACACTCTTTTGGAGGGCATGGAATGCTACCGTTTGAGTTAAGCTTCCAATTAGAGAAATCCAAAGGGACATTGGCTTTGCAATCTTTTCCTTGACCTGCATTTCTTTTCCCATTTTTCTCTTGATCGTGGAAGCCATCTCTTAACTCATTGCAGCACGAGAGACATATATCGCATGAACAATCTGGGTTTGGACAGCTTCTGTAAAAATTGGCAATGGATGTGCTGCAGAGGTCACTGTCGTACAAGGGTGAAGAGATTTTAAGCAAACAAGGAAACACAGAGTACTGTGTAATGCTCTGTAAATAAATTCACACAAAAGTACAGTTAAATTGAGGACAAGATGCAATTCAAAGAAACAGATAACAAATGTGTATTAATACTAAAACCAAAACCCTAATGCAAACATAAGTCCATTTCTTTGATAACTATCCCATTCTCCACATCTTCTTCTTTATTAGATCAATTACAAAGCTTTGTGTACTTAAATTAATTACAAACAGAATCAATATTTGGGTTCCTCTTTTGTAATTTAAAGTTTTAGATTTCCTCCATTAAGAAAGGGTCTTTACTCATTTTGATATTAGACTTGAATTGTATGCAGCTTTTTCTCGTTTTCAAGCCTGGTAAAAAACACACAGAAGGATAAAACATGAAAACAAACAAGCTATTTTTAAATTTATCTTGAACGTTTCAATTTTATAGCTAGATTAGACAAAACAATAGCTTTTGTTATTCAGCTGTATTACAAAATCCCGTTTTGGTTTGTTCAGCTTACGAGTTTTCTCGTTTCAATGATTCTGCTGTTTCATAATTCCACTATTCTGCCATTCAGCTAATATACCATTCAAACATATTTGTGCTAGTAGCGTAACATTTCAAATGGTTGCTATTTTCGGAACCAAAACTTTTTTGGTGCTAATTTTGAAAATTGCTTCAAACCAAAACCCTAAAGCGAAACTAATACAAAAAAAGAGGCAACTTCAAACATAAAATTGCCAAACGAATCATAGTGTCCAAAACACATGAAAGACACCCATATGGTCCAACTCCAGATTACGTTGGATCAAATAATATGTTATCTATCCAGTGGGCTCAGAATCCATTGAATCATTGTATACTTGAAGGAGTATCAGTTTCCCATAGGGTGTTCCCGCATCAGCCGTTAAGGAACGAATTGTTTCCACGTTGCTTCCCATTTCCACCGGAACGATCAGATAGAGGTTTGTGGAGCCTGGTTAAGGTTTTAAGAGCAACTCTACAATGGCCAACATGGACTGGACTCCTCCAGAGACGCCAATCTGTTGTTGGTTCTTCTTTATCGCTTCCATCCTTGTTGTTACTCTTGTCTCGTCAGCCCAATTTGATGAGATAGTTTCCCTACCCGAGATTAACCCCCAAAAGATACCCAATAGTATCCCAGCAAGGTGCAGAACCCTTGTCCAGTTGTCCCCCTCAACGAAACCGATAGTTATGAAAACAAATCCCTGCCCATTGCTTCACACATGTGAAGCTTATTCAAAACTAAACTGAGAATACTTAGTAAAGTTATATTCTCATCAAGCACCTAACAATCAAAACACCTTAATTATTCCACCAAATCATTCCTTTTATTGTTCCATTGATTTAGCAATTAAAGATTGCTAATCACATCTCCTCGTGAACTTGGTGATAACCGCTATATAAGATTGTCTCTCCCTAGTGCTTATTTTCGAAGGATACAAGAAATAGAATATAAACTTTGAAATGTCAACCAAGCATTACGAAAAGAAAAAAAGGAGTTTCTCTAGCTTTGAAATGTTACCAGTATATGCGTTCACTGGGGTCAAGTTTGCACCAAGTAATATCAGATTCTGTCACGGGGACTCCTATAATAAAACAGGTTATTGAGTGAAAAATAAGAAAAAAAAAAGAAGAAATGAGAGGAGAGCAGAAGTGGCCATACCTCTAATTGTTGTTTCAACCTCTAGTTCACGGTTCTGCTCTGCATAGATATCCCTAAGAACTGGAAGAACTTTAACTAATAGGTACTGCAACTGCTTGAGCTTGACATTGGCGTCTTTTTTACTTTGTAGCTGAGATTCAAAAAACAAAAACAAAGTCAAAAATGAAGGAGACATTTCATCTGAGTAGATTTACGGGAAAGTAGCGATCTCAAGACTCATTACCTTCACAGCCAAAGGGAGACGCAAACAAGCTCTGCAATTGCAATTCCCCTTACAGAACGGACATAAAGCTCTAACTTCATCACTCGTTCTCTCTGGATACCTACAGAGATTCAGTATTAAACTCTCCTGATTGGTTAAGTAAGCACAGATTCTGCAAATACTTACCATCTCTTGATGCACTCATAGCAATAGCACTTCTTCTTACACTTTGAACAGAAGATAAGATCAATCTTACTCGTCAAGTTCTTACAATGATGACAAGTCAAACCCACATAGGTTCTGGTCCCATCAGAGTTAACCTAGAAGAAACAGTACTCGATCATTACATTTCCTTAAACACACAAAGCAAAGGTTCCTCCTTCAAATGTTAATTAAAAGATAAACGTCCCAGAAATCAAATCAAAATAAACCTCGTCTCTTTGAGTAGTAGTAGATCGCTTCGAAACCTCTCCACCATCGAATTTCTTTCCTCTTCTTCCTCTTCCGGTTCGGCCTGAATTCGAAGAACCTATGCTCACAGGATCCTTGTCTTTCTTCCTCGTCTTACGTTCCTTGACAGATCTTACCCGATCTGACTCATCGGGATCCTCTGAACTAATTCGCTTATCCTTCCTTCTCTCCATGCCTTTAAACGGCTCCCTCTGCGACGGAGAAGCGACCACCGGCGTTTCTCGTCGATCGAGATTTCACGCCGTATCTGATAGCTGTGCTAACATCAGACGGCGTTTCTGATATTAATAAGCGACGTGGCAACAATCCACAGTGTCTCTATATGTTTTAAGGTTAAGGATCGGATGGTCGGGATCCGTTATTAATTTTCATTTTTTTTTGCCATAATAAACTTTCTTTTAACTATATACGTCTATACCTGTATCTTTAAAACCGAACCGGTAATCGAACCAAAAAAATCTTTAAATTATAGGTTAATATGGTTTAACTAGGTTCAACCGGATTTGATAATATTTTAAACTTTTAATTAACTAAATAAAATTCTTCAATAATAATTATATTGTTTGGAAAAACTTTATTAAATAATAATAAACATAAAAATTAAAAAAAAGAAAAAAAATAACAATTTAAATATTTTTTAATTGAAACACGGTTTTATATGATTTATTAGTTCAATACGATTTTTAACCGATCTATGTGGGTTTTGATATTAGTTAAACCTGGCTAAATTTTCAGTTTGCGGTTTAACCTGGTTGGACCGCCAATTTGATCCAATTTTAGAAACACAGGTCTATGCCAAACTAAATTAGAATTTCAGTTTATAGAAAAAATAACTAACGAATTAAGTTCTCATTTCTGCCGTGGAAATCCCAATCGTGGTTGAAAACGCCGTGAATTGAAAAAAAAAAACAAAAACAAAAAAACGAAGAAAACGCCGTCATTAAAGACATTTGTCGGTGGTAATTACGTTAGACAAGCTTGCAAATGAGCCCACTGTCATATAACCTCAACATGGGCCATAAAAATTGGTCCCTTGTCATTTTGTTTAGTTTCACGAATTTTACTATTTATTTACCGAGATTGTTCGTTTAGTAAGTTAAAACATTATGGGTTGTTTTTGACGTCGACAAGAGTAGTGATGTTTTCTCGAAATTGTTGGTCTTTTAACTATAGCTATCATCGGAGAAGTGCATTGCGACTGTTCAAAGGCTTTTCTATGTGTTCGGGCTGAAAGCCTTTTTAAGAGTACTAATTTGGAACAAACTTGCGTCTTGTGACTCTTGTCTTGATTCCGAAGCTGTGGGTACTTTTGATTGGTTTTAGACTTTTAGTCAAGGCATTTCTTTCTAGTTTATGACCTTTACTTTTAGCATCGCCCAAGGCTGGTTCTGGGGTTTCACTAGCATTTTGATAAGCTTTGAATAAAAAACCTTTCGAGTCTTTGTTAGCATCACTGCGTCCTGGACTTTTGCATTAGACCTTGTGCTTCCCTTATGGCTGATCTAGCACCATGCAGCACTATTTTCTTAAGCTACAATGGAGAGTAGAGAGAAAGAAAACAAGGTTAATATAAGCTGAAACTCTTTTTTTTACCTTCCAAGATGATTCATAATATTCAGATATAATGAATTTGCAAGGTACCTCTAATATATCTTTGTTGGATCTGTGGTCTTTTGGTAATCTCCGGAACTCTTGTGCTAGTCTAATGCATTCTTCTACGCTTTCAGGAGCAACAAAACCTAGTGCTACCTTTATGCAAGACTGGAAACAGTTTGAATTTTATGATCACTATCATTTGAAATGCCTACATGTTGAAACTTTTTCTTTTTGTTTGCGGAAGGAGGAAACAGGTAATGAGCAAAGAGGGCTGATCCAGATGAATGAAAAAAAGAAGGAATATTAACTGGTTGCTTACCTGTCTATTCTTCACTTGGTAAGGACAACCTGCAGGGATGAAAACAGCTTCGCCGAGGTGTTGCTCAAAGGTCCATGGTTCTATATCTGCATATGATCAAACATACATTCATCATTAACCAGAGCAAAGAAGATAAATCAGCTTGTAATTCTGCACAGGTTTTAGTCCAAACCGGAATCTTACCGAATTCCTCCTTCAGCTGATTCTTCTGACTTTCATTCAAGAACATTGTCTGGTCATGAATTGGGTGATCTACCTGCAATAAATCAAAACAACAAATTCCAAATTTCGCATACATCAGTGATTAATTCATTACGAGTCATTTACAAGAGATGAATGTGATGATACGTACAGACTTTACAATTTGGTTATTGATGTGATGAAACTCTTGCGTGTGCCTTTTCAAATACTGAATTAGTTTTGGAACATCCTCTCTTCGAAAGATGTCCCAGACAGCACCACCATGCACAGCATTTGACCTCTCATTGGCATTGCCATTAGTTTCTTTTGGAGCATCCAATTTCTGATCTTGTATGGATTTCTCACTTGTACTCACAACAGGTTGTGTTGGACTATCCTCTTTGTCCCACGGAGGAGTTGAAGAGGTGTTGGCATCATTAGTCCATTCTCCACCGAGGGATCATCTTCTCTTTGGTAATTTGGAGATAATCTCTCTGTCTTTATACAGATGTCATTATGATTCTCGTGAGTAATTGAAGGAAGCGTTGACATCATTAGTTCATTATCCACCGAGGGATAACCTTCTCTTTGATATTTTGGGGATAATGTCTCTGTCTTCAAACAGATATCATTATGATTCTCCTCAGCAATTGATTCGTTAGTCGGCGTCACATTCTTCTGAGGGATTAAACTCGCATCCACCTTTGGATCATGACCTGACTCCATAGCAGTAGTGCAAGAATATGAACTAGAAGACTCTTCCATAGGGTCAGCTCTTCCAGTGATAGTACAGTCACCTGCAATTTAAGCCATCTTTTTTCAGAAATATGTCTATTATGCATAAACATGGGAAAGAGCTTCTTGGAATACCTTTTGTAACAAATAATTCATCACCTTCTTGTGAGCCGGACGGTCTCAAACTGCTATTTGATGGTTCTTTGTTAGCTGCTTTGCCCTTTAAAACCTGTTCTCCTAAAGTACCATTGCATTTATCTAAAGCTTTCCCATCCACTTCTTTCAGTGACATGTTTTCAAGTTCGCTGGCTTCTGTCCTTTGACCACCGTAATGTTTAGGCAACTTGGCTTCTGCATGTTTTTTCCGTTCTACTTGTATACTTTGGTATTGCCGGGGAGATATTTCCACTTTAGCTGTGTGAGTCAGCACATTGACCTAACTCAAATTCATAGAACAATTGAATGGACAGCTCAGTTTCAGTGTGATAATTCTTTATGTCAGCTTAAGACCACCTCAGAAAGTTCAAAATCCATGGTTATGTCTACGAAGAGTTGAGGAAGAAATTGGTGCACGTACCGCGTCAGAAATAATACAATGTAGCTTTGTCACAGAATCTCCTCTATGAAGTTCTTCAGGGAAACCGTATGCAATGTATGTCTTGGGTCCAAGATCTGGCTTCAGAAATTCTTTTGGAAGTCTTGTTACGAGATTTAGGATACCAGACTTTGGGTCAGTGTAATCAAAGAATGGCAATGCAGCAATAAACTCAGCATTATGCCTTGGGAGGCGCTCTTCGAATAGAGTTGATGGAGGCCAATCCTTCAATTTCAACATTTCTGGCCAACCATTGCGATGCATGCGGCCTTCTATGTAGCCTTTAAAAAACTGATGAATGTTAATTTCAACCTACAAGAGAAAGAAAGGGATGGTAATATGTAAAACTTTCGAGGAAACAATTACATCGAGTGTTAAGAAGTTATCATAAGCACATAGAATCGGGTTTACTGACCTCAGACCAGTCCCAGCAATCCAGAGCTTTCAGGGTTTTCGCCTCTCCTTTAGATCCAACCTTTGGGTCCATTTCCCTACAAGCTCTCCACATAACCATTGGTTCCCAACTTAGTCCAGATGTCTTCTCGAGAACATTTCTGACTATAACAGGTTCAGCCCTCATCCAATGGGACTGAAAATGAGCGATATCGTCTTCAGCCAGATCAACAGCATTTGGGGAGTATAAGAAGTTATCATGAGCATTCTTCCTAAACGCTGCCTGCCTTCTAATGTGATCAGAATTTGTAATGCATGAGGAACATTCATGAGCAATATCTACATCTGGTGGCCTATACTGCAGAGTAACTTTCTCTGCATCCGTTATCAATTTTTCAACCCAATCGCATTCGGACAAGCGTGTCAACTCCAGTGTTGAAGTACCACAACCACCACACTCTTTTGGAGGGCATGGAATGCTACCGTCTGAGTTAAGCTTCCAATTAGAGAAATCCAAAGAGACATTGGCTTTGGAATCTTTTCCTTGACCTGCATTTCTCTTCCCATTTTTCTCTTGATCGTAGAAGCCATCTCTTAACTCATTGCAGCACGAGAGACATATATCGCATGAACAATCTGCGTTGGAACAGCTTCTGTGAAAGTTGGCAATGGATGTACTGCAGATGTCACTGTCGTACAAGGGTGACGAGATTGTAAACAAACAAGGAAACACAGAGATGTCCTTGAGGCCTTTTTGAAACAATTATGAAAATAACTCCCTGCTTCACATGTGAAGCTTATCTATACTCAAATGAAATTACTTAATAAGATCATAATCTTACCAATAGAAACACCCTAATTATCCTCTCCCCCCCCCCTCCCCCAGTTCGTTCATTTTATACTTACATTGATTTAGCAGTTAGATAGTTATCACATCTTCTCGTGAAGTTGGTAATAATCGCTACATAAGATTCTCTCTCTCCCTACTGCCTATTTGCAAAGGATACAAGAAACAGTATGAAAACTCAATATCGTTCGTTTTCCCAAGAAGAAATGCCAACCAAGCATTAATAAAAAAAAAAAAAGAGTTCCTTTAGTTTTGAAATGTTACCAGTATATGCGTTCACTCAGGTCAAGTTTGCAGCAGGTAATATTAGATTCTGTCACGGGGACTCCTAGAATAAAACAGGTTTTGAGTGGATAATAAGAAAAAAAAAAGAAGAAGAAATGAGAGGAGACCACAAGTGAAGATCAAGTGGCCATACCTCTAATTGTTGATTCAGCCTCTAGTTCATGGTTTTCCTCTGCATAAATATCCCTAAGAACTGGAAGAACTTTAACTAATAGGTACTGCAACTGCTTGAGCTTGACATTGGCGTCTTTTTCACTGTGTATCTGAGATTCAGAAAACAAAAACAAAGTCAAAATTGAAGGAGACATTTCATCTGAGTAGATTTACGGGAAAGTAATGATCTCAAGACTCATTACCTTCACAGCCAAAGGTTGACGCAAACAAGCTTTGCAATTGCAATTCCCCATACAGAACGGACATGCAGCTCTAACTCCATCACTCGTTGTCTCTGGATACCTATAGAGATTCAGTATTCAACCGAATATTTCAAACTCTCCTGATTGGTTAAGTAAGCACTGATTCTGCAAATACTTACCATCTCTTGATGCAGTCATAGCAATAGCGCTTCTTGTTACATTTTGAACACAAGACAAGATCAGTCTCACTCTTTAAGGTCTTACATTGATGACAAGTCAAACGCACATAGTTTCTGGTCCCATCAGAGTTATCCTGGAAGAAGCAGTGTTAAAAACATATATTCATTACATTTCCGAGCAAAATTTCTCCAGATCAAAGTAAACAGCATTCAGACAGATGATTCCAGTTCAAAGCAATACAAACCGAAATTTAGAAGTTTAAATAATAGATGCATTTCACTCTCACAAAGAAAATGAAAATAAAAAATTGTTCCTCCTGATAAACAAAGCAAAATTCATAAAATGTCACTTGAATCATGGACATTCAAGTGATAGTGACACAAAACTTGCGTGACTGCGGAAAGATATACAATACCTATTCCAGAAATCATGCTCTCAAAACATAATGAAACTCGTTCAGAAATTAACCTTGTCTCTTTGAGAAGTAGATCGCTTCGAAACCTCTCCTCCACCATCAAATTTTTTTCTTCTTCTTCCTCTTCCGGTTCGGTCTAAATTCGAAGATACTGTGGTCACAACATCCTTCTCTTTCGTCTTCGACTCGTCGGAATCCTCTGATCTAATTCGCTTCTCCTTCCTTTTCTCCATACTCTCACTCCCTCTCCCCCTCAACGGCTCCCTCAGGGTTTTACCTTCTTTGCTTCTGTCTCCGATATATGAGAACTGAAATCGACGACAGTGACGTGGCAACTATCCAAGGTTCTCTCTATACTGGACGTTGTTAATAAAATGGGCCTAAACCAACACGAAGGCAACTATATTTTTAAATTGATTGAACTCGGCAACAAGAGGTTCCATGGTCTAGCGGTTAGGACATTGGACTCTGAATCCAGTAACCCGAGTTCAAGTCTCGGTGGAACCTATTTTGTTTTCCCTCCGGCCAAACTTTTTCCCCGGCGATTTTTGAACCCTAAATATAACGCCGGCCAACCAGAAAAAGCTCTACGCGGTATTAAAATCTCTTTTGATCTCTCTACTGTGAATTTTTTTTTTTTCCGTTGGAAGTTGGAACCATGGAGAATTCATTGCTTGATTCTGGGGAAACTGTGGAGATGGTTACTACCCAGAAAATCGAGGAAACAGTGAAGGGAATACTCAGAGAAGCCGATATGGATCAGATGACTGAGTTCAAGCTCCGAATCGCCGCTTCCGCTAAACTCGGTTTTGACTTGTCGGCGACCAATCACAAGAAGCTAGTCAGAGATATTCTCGAGGCCTTCTTGCTATCGAATCCCGACGACGGGACTGTCCACGGTGAAGCAATTGTACCGGAGACGGTGGCTCCGGCGAATAAAGAGGCAGATTCTGGTGCTGCCGCTGCCACTTCCGCTGGTACTGAAGATGAACGCATTATTTGTAAGGTTGCGACTTTGTTCTGTTGTCTATGTTTGATTCACTGTATAGAGTAGAGATTGTGATCATTGCTAATCACTTTGGTATAATGTTAATGGCTAATGCTAGGGACTTGAAGCTCTTGTTAGGTTTGTGTATTGTGGGTTTTGCTGTCTTGAAAAGTTGTGGTCTTTAACTATAGTTATCGGAGAAGCGGAATGTGACTGTTGAAAAATACAGAGGCCAAGCTTTTCTATCGATTGGGGAGAGTTGTCAGGAAAATGGAAAGCCTTTTAGAGGTAATTTGGTACAAACTTTGTGTCTTGTCTTGATTCTGAAAAGCCATTTTCGTTCTAGTTGTGCTCCTGTTGGTTTTTACTGCTACACTTGTCTTCACGGATTCTTCTTTTGCATTTTTCTAGTCCTCTCTATTGGGGTCATGCAAAACATTTCTTTCCTCTGCTAATATCCTTTTTCGTTTTTGTTGATGTGTACTTACGACATTAGTTACTTTTATCGGTTTCATGCTGGAACTCTTGTGCTGAAAAAGCTTTCGTTTTTTCTTCTCTATCAGGAGTACATTTGTCAACTAACCAATGGTCTGTGATCAAGAAGAATTTCGAAGCCATAGAGGAAGGTATTAAACAGTGCCAATCAAAATTACGGTAAGAATGTTACATTATTCATGTCTATAAGGATTCATGTTCTTTTGTTCCCTAGCATGTTTTCAGTGTTTCATGGCATTACTGTCTGGGTAGTAATGATCTTGGTTTTACACATTATGTAGATCTGAATCAAAACAAAACGGAGATACTTCTGAGGCTGTGGATAACAAGACCACTTGCAGTTTTTCAGTTATCGAGACTTCACGTTTTGATGGGAGTGGTTATCTTGGCTGGGCATCACAGATGGAACTCTTTTTAAAGCAATTGAATTTGAGTTATGTTCTCTCTGAACCATTTCCTGTTACCAATAGCTCTCAAGGCCCTGAAACCAACCCCAGAGAAATAAGTCGAGCTGATGCTGCAAGGAAAAATTGGTGGAAAGATGATTACCTGTGCCACAATCACTTGTTGAACTCCTTGTCAGATCATCTATACCGTCGATACTCGAAGAAATTCAAGCATGCCAAAGAATTGTGGGACGACTTAAAGTGGGTCTACCAGTGTGAAGAATCCAATTCAAAGAGGTCACAGGTCAGAAAGTACATTGAGTTCAAAATGGTGGAAGAGAAACCGATTCTTGAGCAAGTCCAAGACATTAACAAGATTGCGGATTCCATAGTGAGTGCTGGTATGTTTCTTGATGAGACATTTCATGTGAGTACCATCATTTCCAAGTTTCCCCCGTCGTGGAGTGGCTTCAGCACCAGATTGATGGAAAAGGAGTTTTTACCGGTCTGGATGTTGATGGAGCGAGTAAAAGCTGAGGAGCTTCTGAGAAATGGAGCACAAAGGGTTACATATAGACCAGCCACAGGCTCTTCTCAGATGGAAAGGATACATAGTCTAGGAACAACAACGCATAGGGGTTGGAAGAGGAAAGAACCCGAGAGAGACGGGAGAGTCACCATCGTCTGTGACAACTGTGGGAGGAAAGGACATCTTGCAAAGAATTGTTGGGGTAAGACATTTGATGAGAGAGCTTCAGGTAAACCGAATCCGGTTACTTCTTCATCCACTGAACCTGTGGTTTCAGAGACTCAAGCAACAACCAACAGTGGAAGGGAGTAATAAAAAAAAGTTCATATTTCCGGATTACAAAATCACAGCCTCCCCCCAAGGGAAGATGAGAATCAAGATCCATTCCAAGAGGATCAGCCTTTTCTGGCTTTAACATCTTGAACCACCAGCTAACCAACATTGAATCTTCTGAAACATCCGTTCATTTTGTTATTTTGGTCTTAGGTTTGTAATTTTAGTTCAGGACAGTGAATTGTAACAAAGGGAAAACAGAGAGATGGGAAATAGAACAGTTTTGGCCTTGATTTAATGTAAAAGCAATTGGATACCTCTCAATTAGTGTACACACTTTAAACCATTCATTATGACAAGTCTTAGAGATAGTACAAAATTGTGGTGCATGTATCTCACAACCAAACAGATCAACATACTCCAAACCTTAATAAACAAACGGGTGGTGGTTCGAATCACGTTTCTTCAATAACCAGATTAACAACAACAAATGCAGAAACCAATTGAGATCACAAATTTAAACAACTCTTTCACTACTGCAATACCAAAAAACTTTTGGTAGTCAACTGATTTTAACATTCATACTGATGATACTTTTTGATGTAAGCCTTTCATTCTTTTCTTTGCACACTAATTAACGAGGATCTAACTCAGTGATTGTAACACTATTCCAAGTCTGTGGAGTACTACCTGTGTGGTTGTCTCCCATGTAAAAACCGGGTTGTGAGGGCCTCGGTAAAGTGAAAAAAACTTGCATTGAACATTACAGCAACAGAAGCCATTGTTGGTCTACTCTCTGCTTTCTCCTGAACACATAACGAACCAATGTGGATGCAGGGCCGGATTTGGGCCAAACCCATTGAAACATTTGTTTCAAGCCCCCAAATTTTTTTGTCTAATTTAGCTTATAAATTTGTTTAAAAATTTATAAAACCAATTAGGCCCTCATTTTTGTTTTTTGTTTCAAGCCCTCAAAATCTCAGATCCAGTCCTGTGTGGATGGATTTTATGATTTCATCACTTAAACCTCTGGTCTCAATTAGACTTGGATCCACAATGTTCAACACTTTCCCTTCTCTCTTTGTGTTTTATTTTCTTTAATCAATCATCTACTCCGCTAATATTGTTTTCTTGCAACCCAATTCATACATATAGTTTTTCATTTGATCATATTACATAAAACAACCGCCAATATGTTGAACCAATTGCAGTTTAAATAATAGAGTAGTGTGGCCGATTGATTAGTTATTGGCCGATAAGACCTCTCCAAAATGGGAGGTTTGGAGTTTTACATATATAACAAAACACATGCAAGTACAAAAAAAACGTAAATGAAAATAATTTTGATAACTAATTGGAGAAAGAATCTGTGGTAGCATCAGCAAACTTCTAAAGTTATACAAATATGATTTATATATACAAATAAGTTAGCCTTATCTCAACTAGATTAGGAGTTATCTCTAATTATTTACACATCCATATTCCATATAAACTATAATCTTTATCATTCTCCTCATAGATTACTATTAACTAGCTCACCATTTCAGATAAGTAAAACCCATGCCCATGTCTCAATTCTGTCTAGTTGGAAACCCATATATAGCTCTTGTTACATTGGTAATAGAGATGATAAGTTTTTATTTATTTAATTTTTCAAGTTAATAAATTCCTTATTTCTTTTGAAATAGGATTTTGAAAAAGTTTATATATATGTATATATATATACAGTATATATATCCGGGTATATGGGGGAAGTATCAAAAACAAAGTTTGTGAGAGAAATTAAAGTCAGTTTTGGAGAGAAACAAAGCCTAAGAAAAGAAAAGTTTTGGAGAGACGGGTCAAAAGCATACAACAAGTTTTACGTTTGAGATAGATAACTTCTCGGAGAAGGAATCTGAATCGTCACCCAAACTTTCTTAAAGCTGCGGCTGCGAATGGTAATTATTTACTGTACATATATATGTGTGTGTTTGATTCTTGACTCATCCGGTAGATTCAATAAACAACTTCTGTTTAGTCGATATTAATAGATATACAACTAAACATGTTTTTTTTTTTATCATTCTTCTCAGGTATGTTGAAGCTTTTCCCAAAGGACATTGTATTAATGATCGGTACATGTATATGTACCTCTGCGTTGGAAATCCTGATTCATTGCGACTTGGATGGAAAATACGAGCTAGATTTGAGTTATTTACATTCAAAGACACTTTCAAATTTCATTCTTATAAAAAAAACACTTATAGCTATTGGGTAACTTATTTTTTGTTAATTCGAAATTGCCCTTCTTGGATGCGATAAGGTGGATGCAAACTAATAGATAGCAGATTAAACCCAGATTTCAAAAACAGTAATTATCTTTTTCCATCTATTTTATTTTATATTTTCTGTATTATGAAAGACATAAAATATTTTTTTTTGTTAGAATGAGTTATAATTTTATTTTCTCATTGTTTTAAGATCCATTATACTATAGTTTATTCTTCAAACAAAAATTTTTCAAAAACATATGTATAAAACTTTTTAAAAAAATCAGAAGTCTAGGCAGATATCCACTTAGAAAATATGATGTGGATGATGCATAATGGACATATAACATGGACTTGATTGCGTGGATATGTTTTCATTGAGGTATCTACATAGAAAATATGATGTGGATGATGCATAATGGATATATAATATGGACATGATTGCGTGGATATGTTTTCATTGATATATTCAACATGGATATACATTTTACATTGTTTATAACCTATCTCCATATGATCCACGTCCCCCTTATGGACAATGTAAAATGTATATCCATGTAGAATAAAGCAATGAAACATATCCACTCAATCATGTCCATGTTGTATATCCATTATACATCATCCACGTCATATTATCGGAGTGGATATCTACCTACACTTTTGATTTTTTTTAAAAATTGATACATATGTTTTTGAAAATTTTCTTGTTTGATAAATAAACTATAGTATAATGGATCTTAAAACAATGAGAAAATGAAATTATAACTCATTTTAATAAAAAAAATTGTTTTATGTCTTTCACAATACAGGAAAATACAAAACAAAACAGATGGGAAAAATAAGAATTATTTTTAAAATCTAGTTTTAATCTACTATCCACTTCTTCGAATCCACCTTATCGTATCCACGAGGGGTAATTTCGGGTGATTTGGGTATAAACAGTGAAATAAGTTATCCAATAGCTGAAAGTTACTTTTTTGTTATTTGAGTTATAAAAGTGTCTTTCAGTGTAATTATCTCATAATGTAATTATTTTCTATGTAAAAGAATTACTGAAGATTTTTTTAAAAAAATATATATATAAATATGTCAAGCTTTCTTTGTTTGTCTTACTGCCGATTGTTCTGCGATCAGGTAATGACATGGGGTTGGTATTATCCTCTTGAAAAATTTCAAGAAAAAAGGTTTTTGAGAAGAATAAACTCATCTTAAAAGTCGAAGTAGAAGTAGTTGAAGTTGTTGATGAAGGAGAGTGTAACTGGGAATGAGATGTTGAGTTCAATGGTTTCCAAGTTCTTTATTCCAAGGTATGATTAAAGGATGCTTCTTATTTTATTTCTTCCTGCTGTTTTTGATTCAAAATTTTCTAGGATTTCAGTTCAATGATTTAGACTATTTTGTACAAAATCTATTATTTTGATTACATGTCTGGATTTTCAGCATATTCAGTGTAGGATTAAAGAGGAATGTGTGGCTGTTGTTTCTGCCAACCTAGAATATTCTTCCAATGAACTGTAATTCCAGTTTATTTTTTGTCATTTAGAGCCTGTCAAACGAATTTTAAGCCGCACAAAATAGTATAATCGTACTAGCAAACATCAAAGTAAAATATTGGTTTTGTACTATTTATGAACATAGAGATTTTGATCATTCGTCACATTTTATTTTAACTATACACATGAGATTTTGACTATTCATGAGATTTTGATCAAGAGTGGTTTGTGGAAGTTCTTTTGCCTTGGTATCTTTTGAAGCAGTACGATCGATCAGAAACATGAGGATGTTGGTATTGACAGCTGTGATAATAGCGTGTGCAATCAATGTGAAAGTGGTTCAAATGCAGATGAGGATGAAGTAACGCCGTTTTGAGAGATAGGGAGAGAGAAAAAACTTTTGACCATGAAATTCAATCCTCACCAAAATCGCTGAGCTGGCATAAGCGAAGTAATTAATATAACCGTCGGATTACAATCAATTTTTACCGTTGATATACTGGGATTGTTGATATTGCAAAACCAATTTCTTTACGCCGATTAACGCAGCCTCACAGGCAGCCAAATCAGCTTTCTTAATAATGCCCAAAAGCTTTATAGCTCTTCGTACTAAGACCATAGGATCTCCATGGATGTGAAGTAAGTAGGTTATACGAATGTGTCTACCACCTGTGTAACCCTTTAGTCAGATTTTATATCTTTCTTGTTTATATCTATAAGGCTTGTAGCTGTGTATGTATCTAATATCCATGCATATATAGCCATAGGGTCGTGCGTATGCATGTATATATATCTATCTAAAATCAAATGATTTGCTGATGACATTATGTCTTCTCTTCTTTCTTTTCCCTAGCTTGTTTAGCACGATAAGAAACGACCTTATAGATTGTTAATTAAATCTTCTTAATTAGAACCCTAGAAAGACCTTACAAAAAAAAAAAGACTTAAACCAATTGAGTTTGCACATAATCATTCTATTAACAGTTCCGGTTTCAGCCTATTCAAGTAATTTATGGTGTTCTTCCTCGAGAACCGGTGGATTTATCCAATCTCCCAGATTGTATCGCATACATGGTGATGCAGCTTCTTTTATTAATCAAATTACACAGGCTCATGACAATACCATTGCTAATTTGGAATCGTCAACTTCTAAATATAAGCAAGCAGCAGATCTTCACCGTCGTCACCTGGTGTTCAATGTTAGTGATTTTGTCTGGGCATTTCTTACTAAGGATCGTGTACCATCAAATGCTTACAACAAACTTAAAGCTAAGAAGAGTGGTCCTTTGGAGATCTTGGAGCGCATAAATGACAACGCTTATGGGCTACGTTTACCTGTAGATGTTAACACTTCTGATGTTTTTAATGTACCCTACCTTACTCCTTACGTCACCACCGACGCAGGCTCTAATTGGCAGTCGAATCTTTCTCAAATTGGGGGCCTAATGCAGCAGCATCGTCGGAAATAACTTGACATTCAAAATTGTCAAAGTCCTATACTTACAGTTTTACTTTAATGATTTTTCCTTTAATCTTTTAGTTAGCTTAGTTTTTCTT